ATGTTTTTTGGGGACAAGTTGGAAACCAAATTCAAATTCATGGCTTTTGTGGCTGGTTTTCTTGCCACTTTTCTTTCCAATATGGACAGGATTTCGCCTGTTGGATTTCGATCTGAGGAAACCTTTCTGGAAATCAAAAGGAAGCCAGCCCCACATTGTCCACAGCCAAATTTTCTTGGTGGCTCCCAGCCATCCCCTGGGCTTTTTAGCCTTTTAGTGTTTCGTGGTATATTCCATTTAACCCACTAAAAGTTAGGCACATCCACAGTGAGGAAGTGGTCTGCCGTCCTGGTGCCCTTGACCACGCTGGTCTTCCCAGCGGTTGCCATGGGATCCTTCGTGCTCTACTCCTTCCAGGCCCGGATGGGAAGGCCCATGGATCGGACGGGCGAATGGGCCCATGAATCGGCCGGTGTCCAGTTCGTGGGGGACCCCAAACAAAAGCCAAGGAAAGGGGGATACAGCAAATACAGCGATTCAGCACCTTTTTGCGAGGTTTGAATATCAGTGCAACATAGTGGGCATGATTTGATTTATGGAAATGGCGGGGACATGGAATTGAAGCGGTCCAAAATCAGTGGGTTCCCCTTGGGTTTGTTTTGACACCAGAAAAAAGGGGAGGTACCAACTCCGAAAGAAGACGAGCGCATTTACTTTTGGGCTAAAAATTTGGTAACGGATTTGTTGACGACTGTTTAGGAACTGGACTGTTCATTGAACTTACAAACAAGTTAAACTTGTTGCAGAAGTTCAGGAGGGTCAACAGCAACCAAGCAAATTTTCTACGGAAAAGAAGAACAACACACACAAAAAAAACAAAACATTGCGTTGGGTGAAAGTACATGGCGCAATTCCACCATGGTTTGATCATCCCCTTTACCGACATAAAGGGTTGCACCATCTCCTTTTGCCCAAGTGTAGCCCTTCCTGAAACCTCCTGAGCCCCACCCAACCTGTTATTTTTCGTTAAACTAACAAGCAAACAAATGGCGGCCCCCTATCCCAGCCAGGTGCGCCCTTGTATTTTTGTTCAAGTGGTTTCACTTTGCGGGGCCCGTCCTCAAAAGTACTTCTTGAGTGGTTTCCCAAACCACAATTTGAGGTTGTCTTCAGGCTGTCGCTTTCATAGACCCTTGGGCAACAATGTTTAAAATGAAGCAACCAGAGCCTCCCTTTCAAAAATGGAAATTCAAAGGAGGTTGTTCAAACTCTCGTTGTTTAAATATGCTTCAGACTAGGGTTGGCCGCTGAACGTAAGCTTCCCCAAGGTTGGAGGCCTTTGCAGGGCATCCGAGTTCGGCGTTCGGAGCCGCTTCAACTGAGACGGGTGGCTCGGTACCAACTAAACAGCCAAAGCCTCCATGGAGAAATCAAGAGGAGGTTGGACAGCAAACTCGTTTCCATTTTGCAATTTGCATAGGGTCCAGGCATGATTTTATTTTAGGACAATCGCAAAAACATGGGGTCTCGTTCAATTTATACCCATCCCATCATGGTTGTTGTTAGGAAGCATTTTACATTTTGGCTTATTGTGTTTTAGTGGTTAAAATCCAAATCCACTTAACTGCTGAACTTTTCATTTTTGCTTCTCTTCCAATGTCAACCAGGCCATGGAACCTGAGCTGTCGGGGCGTTGTGTTGTTGTCAGGAGGACGCCTTCTGGCGTCTGGTGCCGGGGACTAAGCGGGCGGCGGAGGCAGAGAAGGCGTGGCGGGAGCACCCGCTCTTCAAGGACTCCAAGGACGGAGGGAGGGGGGTGGGCGGGGTGGGGGTGGAGGGGTTGAGGGCTGGGGGGGTTGGGAAGTTGGGCTTTGTTTAGGGGTTGGGGGTTTTGGGGGGGGAGGTTGGGGTTGCCATGACGATTTACTAGAAGCTGAATGCCCTAAAGAAGATAGAAGCGGAGTGTTCACCATACGGGGGGGGGGGGAGTGAAGAGCGATTTGGGCAATAGTCATGGAACCAACAGCTTAACAATATTTCTGGCTCCCTAAAGGAGGCAACTGAGTTCTAGCATAATCTAGGGGCATTCCATTGTCACAATGGGTGCAACCAAGCTTTCCAGTGCCTCTTTCAGTGTTGGTAAGTGAGTTTGGACGCCACTCGACATGGAATCAACCGACCAAAAAGACGTGGGTTCCCGTTTTCCCCCCTCCCAACTTGGCGCCCACCCCCCTCTCAGCCTTATCAACTTGCTGGTTCTCAGCATCGGCCAGGATGCGATGCAACAATTCATGTTCAATCATTGTTTTTGTTATTTTCAGGTTTGCATGTTCTCTCGAGGTTTGCTGGTTTAGGGTTCAGGGTTTAGGGTACCAATGCTCTTATGTTGAGACATCCAATTTGTTTGGGAGTTGGGGGTTGGGGGTTGGGGGGGTCGGTGGGCTCCACGTGGAGTCTTTTGTTTCCTTGGTTCGAGAGGCGGTGAAGAAGTTGGAATGACTCCAAATGGCACCCCCGCATCTAAGAAGAACCCCGAGAGTTGATGAATAGGGGGGCCCTCTTTTAGCAGTTGGATTCCTTCAGCGGAGAAGAACCAAAAGCACACCAACGCCTACGAAAAACGCCGGAAGAAATAACAACAAAAGACCCCCCCCAAAAAAACAAAAAAAGAAAACGGCAAAGGCCTCGTCCCCCCTTTTTCCACTACGCCCTACCAAAAACAAACGCCACCAAAAAACAAGACCAGAAAAAAACGCAGCACCCAAAAACCGGCAAGCAAAAACACGGCATGCCTCGTCCTTTTTTTGTTGTTTTGTCTTTTTGCCGAAGAAAGAGACGAGGACCCCATGTTCGGCCTGCTGAACCCGGACGACTACGAGAAGGGCCTCGAGGAGGCCTGGGAGCGCGCCAAGCCGGCGGGCAGCACCGTCACGGTGAAGGAGTCGAGTCGCGCGGGGCGCGTCTTCGGCTCGCGAAGACGCGAAGACGCGCTGGGGTTTCCTCTCCCGGTTTTTCTCCCAAGTGGTTTTTCTCGCTCCCCCGGTTCCCGTTTTTCCCCCCCCCCCCCCCCCCCCCCCCCCGTTTTTTGTTGTGGTTCTCGGTGTTGTTGTTTTTCCCCTGTATTTTTTCTTTTTCAAATCGCACACGGCTTGGAGCTGGTTTTTGAAAAGCTCATGATTGTTTAGTTGTTGATGTTGTTTCTTCGTTTTTTTTTTGGGGGGGGTAGCCAGGGTTTTTGGGAGACAAGTTTGGCTTGAAACATGTCGGCCCTGGCTCTTAGCGCTTAAACACTGTGGTTCTGTGGTTGGGAAACAGCCCCCCCCCAACCACACCGAGGCGTTAAGCAGTAGCGTTTCAAACCACAGTTCGAACCATGAATTCGACGAGGTGTATGAAGCCATGTGACTTGCACAACCCTGAGGACAAGCTGAAGCAGCTCTCCAAGCAGGATGCATCTTGGGCTGGCAACAATATTTCCACAAGGGTTCGGCAGGGCAGGGTTCGGCAGTAGGGACTAGGAGTTTGTAACTTTTGCTTCGGGCATATTCGTTAAGGCAATTAAGTCATAGGTCAAGTGAGTCAAGCCAATTGGCTGAGCACCAAGGCCCCTCACTGGGAGACCTGGAGGAGCCTGTCTGCCTGAGGCCCAGGGCCTTAGCGCCTTGGGCCGCAGGCCCACTCGATCATTTTTACCGCAGACCGGCTCAGTCCAGAAAGCGGCTCAGTGGAAAGTTTCAGGGGACCCCACAGCGGACGAAGCTTGTCTAGGTCCCCCAGCTAGGTGCCAACTTTCACCGTTTCTTTTTTGGGGGAGGGTTACCCTACTAGAAAAGGCTACAAAAAAAGGGTACCCTTATTCTAACCTCTCTACTGGAGGACCTAGTCTGATCAGTTGTTGTGGGAAGCGACAAGGAACAAAGTCAGCCAAGCTTGAAACAAAGCCTACAGAGCCAAAGAACCTCGGGGCAGTCTGGTTCGAGACGCTGGCTGGCTGACGCAACGCCAAGTGCCGCCCGAGCTCACGTCGGATCAGCTTTGCGGGGGAAAAAGGATAGGCGCTCAGAGCACGGGCACGTGTCACTTCAAGGGTTGCAAAAGGGCTCAACAGATTGCCAGACTTATTTGGTTGTATAGCAAAGTTATAGAACATACTTTTGAATTATTCAATCAGTTGGGTTGACCTTGTGATCAAGGGGTTATTCCAAGTTGCCAGCCACTTACTAACTTGGTCGAACATCCAAGTAGCTTATTTGTTTACTTTGCTTTTTGGGGTTCCTTCATCTCACCATTCAACCAGGAAAATTCTGGACCAGTGGACCCTCTGTTGGAGGATCGCCTTTGCACCTCCAATAATGAAATTTTAGGTCGCCAGGTTTAGGGCAAACAAGCAGGGTTTTGGTTTCCTTCGATTTCCCGTTTTCAACTTTGCACCCTGCCGATGAGGTTGGAGCTTGATTGCTCATTGCGCTGGCTAGGGATGAGCAAATGAGCAGATGTATCAGTTCGCCAAAGCCAGTTGGAAGTTTTCAAGCACCTCACCAGTGTTTTTGCTCTTGTTGTCCACCTTTTGTAACCAATGCTTTCCCCCACGCGCCAATGGGCGCGTCAATTTGGGTTTGAGCAAAGGGCAGCTACCGGCGACGCTCGGGGCCAACTACTTGCTCTTAGGGTCTTTAGGTCATGAGGAAGCGGACCCCACAAACTGAACCTCCTTTTAGGGGACCCCTTTTTGGGATCCCAAAGCTAAACAGATACTCTTGACATCTCTTGACGGAACTTGTCCCATGCCGTAAACTTAGGTGCCCTCATTTTTCCGATTTTTATTGTCTGATTCTGAGGATGCCTATCCAGCTCGAAAACGGGGAACGTGTGTAAACGAGGGACAGCACAAAAATGGGGGGGCCTGCCTTCCCTTTGCCTTTCTCTTTGAGCGTGTGCACAAAGTCCGGCCTCAACTCAGGCAGTTCGGAATTTGACTGGCTTTTTGTAGAGGGCAGAGGGGGTTTCTTAGGACCTGCAAATGCAACCCGGTCTGAACCACCTGAGAAAAGCCGAGCGAGGCTTGATGCACCAGACTTCCCGGCCTCTTCCAGAGTTGCACGGGGGGCCGGAGGGCTTGTACTGCCGTGACCTCACCGGCAGACACTCGGCGGAGTGACCCAAGCCTCTGCAAGTTTCGATGAACTAGTTTGGGTGTGTCCTCTTTAGTTCTAGGGGACCCATGGGTGGGGGTTCCTGTTAGGGAAACTTTAAGCTCACTTCCTGAGTTCCTGGACTTGAAACTTTTGGGAAGATCACTATTGGTGGTAAATGGCAAGTTCTCTCTCTTTTCCCATTCCAATGAGGAAGTGAGCAAAAACAGCCTCAAGAGTGGAACCCATTTGTTGCCCACGGCCACAGCATGAGGGACCCAAGAAAACCCTCCCGATGCAAAAAAAGTCAACTCCAAAAAGGCGCACTACTTGCTGGGCTGAAATGGGTCGAGTCAAAATCGGAATCCCGGGACTCAGCGTGTGTTCGTGCGCGCTTGCCCTTGCTTTGCAGCAAGAGTGCGTTAGTTGGGAAAATCATCAGACATGTGGGACGAAGCTGGTGGCGCGTCTGCTGAAAACCAGAGAAACCTTGGGACTTTTAGAGGGTCTCAGACAGCTACCGTGCAGAACTTGTCTTTTCAAACACGAGTCTCCGAAGCTTCCTTTGGCGAACCTTGGGCGTTCTTGCGTTCTTCTTTGTTTGGGCTCTCCTTAGTCGAGGTTTTCACCTCTCCAATTGCGAATTGAGCCAAAGGGCAGGAACCGAAGTCGAGAAGTTTCTGAGCCGATTTGCTCAGACAGTTTGGTTCAACTGGTGCTTCAGACACAGCGACCTCCAACAGTGGCTCAAGGGCTGGAACCTGTTAAAGCCTACGTTTCGAGGTGGAACCCAACTCACTTCCTGAGTTCGTTGACTTCAAACTTTTTGGAAAGACCATTTTGGTGGCAAATAACAAGGACTTGTTTCTTTGCTTCCCACTCAAGAAGATAGCCAAACCCCATGCTCAAAAAAAAAGGCACGTGTTCCCTTGGACTGTCTGAAGGCTGAAGGCCTGGTGGAACCCAACAAGAACAGCACCGGTCGGCCTGTTTGGGGGGATTCCCCCGCGCCCCGCCCGCCTCAGGGTGGCGGTCCCTCCAAGAGCCGGGCGCTCGGCGCTCCGCATCAGCTGCTCCGGCACCTCGAGTGCGAGAGGCGCGGTTTTGGGTAGGGGCTGGGCACCCTCCGTTGGACGTTTTTTTGTTTTTGTTTTTCTCCCCCGGGAAATGGACAGCTTGAATGCCTTTTTTTTTTGGGGGGGGGGGTCCATTTGCTTTCCGTTTTCCTAAATGTCATTTTTTGGGCTCCATGTCGAATTTTCAGGATAGCCCGAACATTTCCCTTTATTTCCTTGTTTTTTTTTTTGGGGGGGGGGGGGTTCCAGGTCCACGGTCTTTCCCTACATGTTATTTTGTGTGCTTTGTTTCTCCCCGAACAGCGAAGCATTGGGGTTCTAACTGGAGGTGTAAAGAATGGGAAAGTGTGATGCCGGTTCCGGGGTCCTGTTTTCCGCTTGTCTTCCTGTCTCCCAGTCTCTCCGGTCAGATGCCTGCTGTGACGCTGGCTCCGGTGTCGCGTCTTGTCTCCCTGTGTCTCCCAGTCTCCGCGGTCAGATGCCAGATGCTGTGACGCTGGCTCCGGGATCGTGTCTCCCGCTCCCAGTCTCCGCGGTCAGATGCCAGATGCTTTGACGGGAGACACGGCCCCAGATGCTGTCACGCTGGCTCCGGGCTTGTGACTCCTGCTTGTCTTCCTGTGTCGCCCCGCGGTCAGACTCCCGCTTGTCTCCCTGTTCCCAGATGCTGTGACGCTGGCTCTGGGGTCGTGTCTCCCGCTTGTCTCCCTGTGTCTCCCCCTTGCGTGGCCCATTTGAGCCTTAGATATGTACTTTTGTTCTCGATAAACAAATATTTGACACTGATTGCTTTGCTCAGGGTTCTGAGCTGCTTTTTGGAATCACTTCTTTCTCAAGTGCGGGTTCGCATCCTTGTTTCGCATCAGCAGAGCCCTGTCGAGCCTTTAATCTGTATATTGCTCTCGATAAACAAATATACCGTGACATCCGCCTGATTGCTTTGCTCAGGAAACTGAGCTGCTTTTTGGAAGCTGGCGCATCAGCAGAGCCCCGCCAAGCCTTAAATATGTACTGTTGTTCTTGATGAACAAATACCGTGACATTCGCCTCATTGCTTTGCTCAGGCTTTTTGGAAGTGCCGCACTTCTTGGTCAAGTGCAGGTTTGCGTCCTTCTGGCGCATCAGCAGAGGCCTTAAATATGTACTTTTGTTCTCGATACACAAATATACCGTGACATCCGCCTGATTGCTTTGCTCAGGAAACTGAGCTGCTTTTTGGAAGCTGGCGCATCAGCAGAGCCCCGCCGAGCCATAAATATGTACTGTTGTTCTCGATCAACAAATACCGTGACATTTGCCTGCTTGCTTTGCTCAGGCTTTTTGGAAGCCAGTGCCGCACTTCTTGGTCAAGTGCAGGTTTGCATCCTTCTGGCGCATCAGCAGAGGCCTTAAATATGTACTTTTGTTCTCGATAAACAAATACCGTGACATCCGCCTGATTGCTTTGCTCAGGAAACTGAGCTGCTTTTTGGAAGCCGGCGCATCAGCAGAGCCCCGCCAAGCCTTAAATATGTACTGTTGTTCTCGATCAACAAATACCGTGACATTTGCCTGCTTGCTTTGCTCAGGCTGTTTGGAAGCCAGTGCCGCACTTCTTGGTCAAGTGCAGGTTTGCGTCCTTCTGGCGCATCAGCAGGGGCCTTAAATATGTACTTTTGTTCTCGATAAACAAATACCCTGAGATCCGCCTGATTGCTTTGCTCAGGAAACTGAGCTTAAATGTGTCTGTTTTCTCGAAAAACAAATATATTGGGACATCCGGCTGATTGCTTTGCTCAGGGTACTGAGCTGCTTTTTGGAAGCCAGTGCCGCGCTTCTTGGCCAAGTGCAGGTTTGCATCCTTCTGGCGCATCAGCAGAGCCCAGCCAACTGGCCATAACTGACTGGTTTGCATCCTTGTGGCGCATCAGCAGAGACCAGCCAAGTGGCCGTAACTGACTGGTTTGCATCCTTGTGGCGCACAAGCAGAGCCCAGCCAAGTGGCCGTAACTGACACGGTGTGGATGGACGCGATGTGTCCTCTTCCCAAAACAGTGGACTTCCTACAAAAAATGCATGGACGGGTAACTATGTGTTGCTCACATAAGCTACTCAATTTCGCACCTTGCATGAAGGAGACAAGCCTTTTTTGGGTTATACAGGCCTGTCATGTTTTTTGCTGTTTGGGGTCGAGGCTGGTGTATTTTTTTTGGAGTGGGTCCATGGGAGTATTGGGGGGGCCTCCTTTTTTCGTGCTAGCCGCTAGCCGTTGGATTTACCCTTCCTCCCACCAACATGGCACCTGACAGGGGCCCGGTCCCTGCAAGAGGAACCTTATTTTCCAGGCACCCTCCCACAAATGATACGTTAGTTGGGAGGTAGTGTAGCTCCTTGGCTTCCAAGCCTCTATCGTCCCAAGTTCACAGGTCATTTTCCCCCAGCCGCTGTCGCAAGGCCGGAGACGTCGCCCCGCAACCAGCGCCAACGCAGCCAGCGCCGCTGGCTGCAGCGCCACCGCAGGCGCTAGCCGCTAGCAGCTGGGAATTGGACGTGTCCAAACATAGACCGGTCCACGTGATTAGCCTCCTGTTTGCTAACATGGAACCTGACGTTTCGGGGTCCTGAAAGACTATTGTCCTTAAAACGGGACCCTTTGATGGTTCCATGGCAACATGGACAGGAGGGTAAATGATGAACTATATGACATTGAACCCTTGAGTTGTTTCATGCCGTTTTGTTGGGGGAACAATGGGCATCCGCATGTTCCAAGAAACGGGCTGGCCTTTGGAAGTCCAGAATTCCTTGCCTGGCGTTTTTCCCGCCGCAGTGGGCTGGGCACCCTTGCGCGGCTAACATTGAAGCTACCAGAAGGCACCTTAGGCGAACATTTTGGGTGCCTGCAGCCCACATGAGTCGCGGACGCTATGAACATACTTCTTCTTTTTTTTTTTGGGGGGGTGTCTTGGTTTGACAACCCAGAAGTTTGCTGGAAGATCAGGAGAAAGCATATGGCGATGAGCTCTGTGATCGGGAGCCACCTCAAAACTATTAGAACCCAAATGATGTTCACCAAGGGACCAGCTAAGCCAAATAGGTTGGTTCTAACCATGCCAACCACTTGCCAATCGGCCAAGTTAGTAACTTGTTGGCAGCCTAGATTAGAACCCCACTTCATCCCCATTCAGTGAGGTTCACCCTTGTTGTTTGGGGGTATAAATTGGGGGGGCCGACCACAAAAGAAGCGAATCGAGCATCCGAGTAGCTTACCGTTTTTTGCTTTTGCCTTTTTGGTGTTCCTTCATTTCACCTTTCAACTCGGAAACTGGGTCACTTGTTCAAGCTAAGGGCTCTGGCCCAGTCTGCTGCCTCCGTGGTTAATCCGTCACCCAGAGGCGAGCGAAGATCCGGAGGTGCGAGCAGCCCAAGAGGCCTTGCGCCAAGCCACGGCTGAGACCTCCAAGCTCTTCGGCAAGGGGTTGTTGAGCCCAAAGCGAAGCGATTTTCCGTTTCGCTTCAGGGTTGTGGGGTCAAGTGGTTTGTCGTCACTTCTGTGATGCAAGAACATCTCTCCCCTGTTTGTATGGGGGGGGCTAGTCTTTGGGAGGCCCTTTTGGTTGTATCACAGGACCTGACCTGTTGATACCTTGCGGCTTTCCCATTTTAGTGCATTAGTGATGGTCCGAAAAGGTGACCACCGTTGTTGGCCGAGTTCCATCCCATGGCGAGGGTAGCTGCATGGCTAACAGCTCCTAGGTCCTAGGTTTCCAATCTTTTTGGGGGATGGTTCCCCTACTCAAATAGACAACAGAAAAAATGGTACCCTTATTCTGACCTCTCTACTGGAGGACCTAGGCTTACTTCCAGATGAGGAAGTGAACGGCAAAGTTGCTCACACCCGAGATTTCCAATTTATTTGGCGCGTAGGCTGAAGTGGAGAACTTGCTCGGGTCGACCGAATGTTCGCTTACCCGTCCCCCGCGTGAGGCTAGTTAGCTTTGTTAAGGTTCAAACCAAGAACAAGCGGCTAACAGGCACTTGGCGAATCCAACATCCGGGCTTTTCCGGCAGGGCCCCTCGCCCGCCAAAGAAGCGACTGGGCTCATTTATTTTGACTGTTTCTGGAGGTGATCAAAGTCGGAAAATGAAATCGGTTGTTTCCCTTTAAGCCACAGGGGGTGACTTCGATGGTAAAATACTGAGGCTAGAACGACCCTCCGCCCACCCCCCCTGCCCGCATCCACAAAGCAAACTGATCATGGTAACAAAAAAGCCTGAGGCAAGAACCCCCCCCCCACCCAAAATAAAGAAGAAAAAGACGAACGAGGCCCCAGAGCCGAAAGCCGAAAGTCGAGGCTGTGGGAGGCTGCCAAGACCACGCTGAACCCGGAGACCTTCGCAGCACTGAAGCGCCGAAGCCTCGGTTCAAAAGTCGTGAGGTGTCGAAGCTTGGCTCCCAGCCATCCGGCTCCTTAGCTTTTTAGTGTTTAGTGGTAGTTGGTCCGTCCACGGCACATAGACGGCAGCTGATTGGGTGGTTGGAAGGGGAATGGGGGGTTGGGGATGTAATTACGTTCGTTGGCACGCGCCGTGCGTTACGTGAGCCCATCGTACACGCAGCAGCGCACGTGGTGGGGGGGGGAATGGGGGGTGGGGATGTAATTACGTTCGTCGGCTTGCGCCGTGCTTTACGTGAGCCCATCGGACACGCAGCAGCTCACGTGGTGGCGGGGGGGGAAGGGGGGGATCTAAATATGTTCGTTGCCGTGTCACGATGCATTTGGACTATGCGTTGCTTTTGAAACTGGAGGCGCTTTCTGTTGTGCAGCGGGTGCACACAAGTAGCAAAACGAAACCCTTTGCAGGAATTTGTATATAAACACGTGTATATACATATATATATATGTATATACATACTTATACATGTGCCAATAAAACGTTCTGTGGCCTATCAGGATGTCGATATTGAACATGGGGTCCTTGCCAGTGTCCTGAGGGCAAAAGGAGGTGTTCAATGCATTCACATGACACCAAGCAACCACACATCGACGTTTGCAGAGGGTTTTGTGGCCTATCAGCATGTCGATATTGAACATGGGGTCCTTGCCAGTGTCATGAGGGCAAAATGGAGTTCACTACATTCACATGACACCAAGCGACCACACATCGATGTTGGCAGAGGGCTTTCCTCTTTGGGGCGACCCTTTCTGTGACAAGCACGGTGATATGATACTCAGAAAGGACGGTGATAATTACGAAGGCTCTCGGCATGCAACATGGTGTTCGCAGTGTTTTGGCAAGTAGTTGCACCCCCATTGCGAAACAGTCCTCGGACTCTTGAATAACGTGGCGCCCGTGGGGTGGAACATAGGCTTGCATGTGAAACTGCTCGTAATTGCGGCGCAGAAGGGTGTGTCTCAGGAAAACACGTTTCCTCCATGGAATTTACAGCGCATGAGCGCAGAGGCGGTGACGTGCGTGAGAAAACCTCAAGGCCGGCTATGTGCCGTATACCTAGTTTCCATTTAACCCACTAAAAGTTATTCTCTTTTAGGGGGGGGGGTCTGAGGGCAGAAACATTGCTACTTTTGTGTGCCTGATGTGTGCCTTGTCTGTGTTTGAGGCTTACAAGTTTCGCCTGGTTTAAAAAAAACAAAAAACAACGGGGAGTCTGTACCCCCACGCAGAAATCCAAGCAGCCAATCCAAAAGGCCACATAAGGTCATGTTGAATGGATGACCCGTTCAAAACCGCTATGGATCATGTGGGTGTGCACGCCAATTAGCGGGCAGCGGAGTAGATGCTGGCAGAACAAAAACTCAGCTGAGACATTTAGCTGCTGAATGACAATCCGCAAGATCCGAATTATCTCCTTGGGTTACGAATGGAGTTGCCTGCGTAGTGGTTGTTCAAGGGGGGTTATGGATCCGGACTACATTTTGAACAGCTCCGAAAAGATGAGGATAGGTATTGATGAGGTAGATATGAACGAAGCTAGACTATGTGGCTTATCTCGCAACATTCATTTTTGACTGGCCAAAGCTGAGGATGTATATCAAAGCCAGGTTATTGCGGCTTGTCATCCGACATTCTATTCTCGTCAGCTTGATTGGTTTTAGGCATGGCCCAGGATCAAGCCTTCCGAACATCCTGCGTTTTACATCCCCAAGCCTTGGCGGGGCGTGACTCACGCTTCAGGCGGGGCGGAGCTGGAGCGTTTGCAGCGTGACTTGGAGAACGAGAAGCTGCGGCTCCAAAGTTCCTGGACGCTGCTGCGGGGCAATTGCGACCGGAAGCACCTCGGTGCGCCGATGCCGGTCTTTTGTCACAGGTGCGGCAGGTGAAGGATCAGGCAAGCGTCGTTCGAGCTTTGGGTTGAGATTTGAAGCCTTGGCTTTGGAGGAAATCGTCGCAAGCAAGCTTGCCGGAGGTGTTCAAGGTCAAAAGTGCACAATCCTTTTCTTAAAATTGCCCCAGTTGCGCAGTGGTGCCCTTTTTTCATTTTTTTGGAAGGGTTCTCCTTTAAAGTCAGCCAATACCAAGAAAAATCGGATGTTTTTTCCCGCATGGAAATCCACTGGGCATTTGGGTTGCCTTTAGGGAAGATGTCGCTTTGGACTCAGGTGAAGGCTTAGGAGCGTAGTTTCGGGCCTTGCTGTATTTCAGCCCCGACTGGGGAGGGTTGGTTGGCTTGGGTGTTGCATCTATGTATCTATAAATATGTTGAGGTACTCCATGGGTCTATTTCAGAAGGAGATTGAATTGGTCATCTAATTTTGCAGGTTTCTGATTTCTATCGCCACAGGTTCACGATCCAACTGAGGCAGATGGGGGAGATCACACGCCTCGCTGCGGGCTGCGTCGCTTGCCAGTGGGCTTGTTATTACCCCTTAAACTCACACCGTTACGGTAACCTGTTGTGCGGGGTGAGTGGTTTTCGGGGTAGTCTCACTTTCTGAGTTTCTGGACTTTTATATGTTTTTGGGAAGACCATTTCCTGGTAAACAAAAAAAGTAGATTTGTTTTGGCCAATCTACTCAAGGAGTGAGTAGGGGAAGCCATCTTAGAGTGGTCCAATGTAGGAGAAGTACGTGGATGTGCGGCTAATTGGCAGAAGCAGACAGGCCCTTGACTAGTAAAGCAAAAACACGATGAGATGTTGCGGAATTGGTGCAAAAATATCAGAAAAGTGCGGCAGCAAACTATGGGGAGCCATCATGCAGGAGCCACAGTCTGGTTGGCCACCATGCAATGGAGTGGGGGGTCCACGGCCTGATTAGCTTATCCTGGGATCCTGGAATAGACCCCCCAGCCCCTCAACCCCCCAACGGCTCTATGAAAGGACTTGCATGTATGGCCTTGGTGTCTCATGGGCAGTAAGCTCCCTAGTATCTGGCCATGTTCACAGGTGGGTGAGAGCGCACGGCGCAATTCTATCATTTTGGTTTAGTCATCCCCTTCACGTACATCTATCGAGAATTGTGCTATTTACGTTCACCCTGATGTTTGAATCGGAGTTTCACGAGGGTTTATACACTTAGGGGCTCCCTCAAATTTCCCAAACAGGTGGTCTAAAGGGCAGAATTAGCTTGGTCTCCAAGTGGGTAAGCTGCTAAGAGCGGAGGTGTCCTTCTTGGTTGTTTTGGTCGAAAAATAGATGGCGATTCCTGGTTGACCTGGTTTAATCATCTACCAGGGAAACCCATCTATTTCCCCCTAAACGCACGCCTTAGGGTTTCTTTCACCTCGGGGGTAGATGGGACTCTTCGGGGGTAGATGGGACTCGGAACTCCCAGGAGGCCGGCCGCGCCCTTTCCGTGGAGAAGGCTCGATACCTCTTTGACCCACAGCCCACAGCGACGGCACGCCGAAGACGATGCTTGGCCAGTTATGAGCTCACCAACTCCCTGGTAAACGAGCCGAACCCCATGGAGCTCCGTTACTCGGGCGGATTTGGACTTGAAAGGAGGCGGCCCTTTTGGGGGGGGAATTTGCCATGCGCCACGGACATTTGATCTTGGACAGATTCTGGAACAGCGCCTGTGTCCTTCTCTCACTTAGTTGCAGTCGGAAGCACTAAAAAGAGTTCGGGTTCCGATCTGGCACGGCAGTGTATGCCGCGCGTGGACGGATCTTCCTGGCCAATACTTTGGTGATGAAACTGTTGGATTGGAGGTGAACTCCTTGACCTAGATGCGCGTTGACACATCTTGCCACCCCAGCCGGCCTCTGACAAACCAAGCCAACAAAAATGCTGGGCTACTTGGTGTGGTTGGGATCCGCTGGCCGCCTGTTGTCGAGCATGTTATCTTGCGAAGTGGATTCAGCTCCGACGGAGCATCATGAAACATCTGTGACGTCAAACGCAAGACTCGGAGTGGTTTCGGGGTGCCCAGGATTCAGCAGATCGGAGAAGGAGGCCATGCCGGTACCCAAGTATCCCAAAAAGAACACCCAAGTCTCCAACCCCGAAAGGAACCAATGTTTTGGGGTGGACAAAGTCCTGATTGCTTATTTATATTTGAGCCATTTTTGACTCACCTGAACATGATCCGAGCTCACCATGGTGTCGGTCCGTCGCTCGTCCGTCGCTCTGAAACCCTGACCTGTTCAAAGCGATCTTTTGACCTTTGAGTTTCCCCTTTTTGGCCCATTTTGAGTCATGGTTTCAACAGCCCAAAAGGTTCACCACATATTTCCGGGCTTAATGAGTGCTCGAATGGCAAATTGTTTGTATCTGGTCCTTCTCATTGCTTCACACTCCGGAGTTGTCATCTGCAGCCCGCCTTGGACTCCTTTCCCGGCTTGTTCTTTGTGCAGGAGAAGCCCCGCTTGCCCCCAAGGCTGGTCCTGACGGCTTGGACGGCTTAGGATCTTGAAGTGCGAACGTGGTGGTGTTTCACTCTTCTTGGCATGTGTTGTTGAGTTTGCGCATTGGTTGTTTCAACTGTTTTTGGGTTATGTGTACGGCTATCGGGTTTTAGTTGTGTTTGGTTCTGGACAATGTTTCTCGGGCTGTTAGCAGTTGTGGGTTCTGTGCATCTTTGCCGGATTTTAGTTGGTCTTGGTTTTGTTCTGCTTGATTGTTGGTTATGTTTATTGGTTAAGTTACGCTCAATAATCTTGGGGTTCCGTTTGCTGTTGTTTGACTTTGCTCATGTTGATTGATTGTGGGGCTTGGCTCTTTGTTGTTCTGGTTATGTTCATATTGATTGGGTTTTAATATTTTGTTGTTTGTTGACTTTGGCGGTTGCCGGTTGTGCCTTTGGTTGTGTTCATGTTGAATGATTGGATTTTAGTTGTTTAGTTGGTTCTGTTCATCACTATTGTTTTGGGCTATGGTCATGTTTAGTTTTAGTTTTGGTTGCTTGGGCTAGCATGCAATGCGCAAGGGTTGGAACATATCTAGTTGCATGATGCTAAACAGCCCTTTTATTATTTTCCTAAAAGGCCACCAGAATTGCCAGATCCTCCGATTTAATACCAGGTAACCCGATCTCGGAGAGGTTCTCACTTTGCGACCGGAAACCTTCATGCCGCAGGGTTGTTCCAAATCTCAGCATGCCCCAAATAGGAGCCCCCAATTGCATATTCGGGCCAACAGCCACAAATAAGGCCGGTTACGGCGAGTGGGATTGCCCTTGAACCGCTTTAACCTCCCTCAAGTGACCCGTTCTACCCTCGCGAAACAAGGGTGGTCAGATGTGGGTATGGGTCAAACTGAAATTACAAGAAAACCGCAGGTTTTAGTCCTTGGTTCCATTTGCCAGGCCCCCATTTAGGGTACCTATTATTGAAGAAGAGTCAAATCGACCCGGCCATCAAGTGTTTTCTGCAGCGACCTCGGGCGATTTGACAGCCACCATGGAGGCCCGGTCTTGAGGTCAAGTTTGGGAATGGGAAATTGATGGATGGATCCCTTGGTTCGAATCATTTTGCGGACAAGGAGCCAACCACCTTGCTCCCGGATGCAAGACGCCTTCCTTCTGATCCTCTTTGGAAAGCCTTAAGGAATTGGACCCATCAGTTCAGGGCATCTTCCAAAGCCCAGCTGTTCGCACGGCTTTCTTGCCAAAACCTGGCCAGGGTAAAGTTCATGGAAAAAAGCGATTCGCAACTGGCGAGCCAGGTTCCCTTTAGTTTCTTTCTGACAGGACTAATAGGTGCGCCGGCCACTCGGTGGCTCGCGCTTTCCACCGGCTTGCGCGCCGGCGCGCGCGCGCAGGCCCCGGGTCAAGGAGGAGGCTGCGATGGGAGGAGCCTAAGGCGTACTCACCAACGAGGTCGGGAGCCTGGCCAAAATAGCGTTGGGGGTGCTACCTGGTGGGGGGGGGGAGGGGGGACCTCGAGCCTCCATGACCTTTCTGTGGGCTACAAGGAAGCACTTTTTTTGGATGAAAGGGGGTTGTTGTTTTTTTTGGTTGGAAGGGAAATCAGCTCTGTTTCACTCACCTGGATGGATGGGGTTCATTGGAAGGCCAAGCCCGGGCAAGTTACTAAATGAAGGCTGGGGGTATCCAGATTGGCTTGTAAAGAGGGAGCGATTCAGAAGCTACCAGGAGTTCTGCAAGGACATGGTAGTTTATAGTAGGTTGCCAAGAGCAGTCCTTGTAGAACTTAAGCAAGTAGATTGGTTTTTATGGCCAGCCGAAAACCTGTCAGAAGCAGGTCGGAAGAACCAAAGGTCGATTGGTTTTCGGCGTTCAGGCTGGAATTCACTGGGAAGGCCCGGAAGGGTGCCACAGTGGGCAATTCCCACCTGCGACATAGCTTTCCCTTTTGCGAGCAAAATAAATGCCCCGTTTCTGACATTTCATCAACACTTGCGGTACAACGGCTTCACTAGGCTAGCCATCTAGCAAACTCCCAGTTCATCCAAGGGTTGCTCATATCCCACCTGTAACTGCTGCTGGCCTAGTGTTTCTTCATTTTTCCTTTCAACCAGCACGGCAAGCATTCTCCTGCAATGACCCGCAAGTCTGGCCAAGGTGCCATTCGCCCCATCTGGGACAGGCGCAGAGCCTGCGGAAGGAGGTGAACCGGAATTCAGCTTAATTCGGATGGATCGATCTGGCAGGGGGCTCACGTTGCTTCAAAAGCTTCTTGGGAAGATGGTTTTGGGGTAAGCAACAGGTTTGGACAGTTGACCAGTTCCCAAAGGAAGCGAGTTACGAGCAGACCAAAAGGAGCAAAAGGGGATTTGCCTAGCTAGTAGCACATCGGAGTCTCGAACGAGCCGCGCGGCAGGCAAGACGCCCGCCCAGTTTCAGGCAACCGTTGAACGAGTTCTAAACGGGTTCCGATTAGCACAGAACCGTTTGTTAGAACACGTTGGTCAGAGCCATCACCCCGTATCTGCTTTTTCCAATCCAAACTCCCAAGAACCTGTCAACATTCCTTGGAGGGTGCCGGTCAGTGGTGCCTTTGTTCCAAAATGCAACCTCTCCAAAAGGGTGCCCCTTTTTCCTTTCAGGACCGCTGGTTGCTGGTGGGCAAACAAAATACGCCAAAAGCGCCCAAACGCCAAAGCGCGCGGACCGGACAAATGCTATTGGCTTTGTGCCAGCCCCCTGCCCATAGAGTTCGCGCTCGAATTCGCGCAATCCCGTAGCCAAGCGCATGCTGCGAATGGCGATCTAGCTGGCGACCTCGCCTGACGAAGAACATGCGAGAGTTGATAGGTGGAAGGCGGTTTCGAGGCATCCCAGGACAACATCCTGCACCATTTTGAAACCAGGGAAGCCGTTGCTTGTGGGCTTTTTATAGGGGAATCATGATTTTAGGAATTCTGGGGTGGTGCAGGATTTCGTCCACCCACAGTATCATTTGCGAACGGGGATTAGATGGGGATTGGCTGAGAGACCCTGAAGAGAGACGACTTCTCACTAGGCCAAGACAGTTTTGACTTACTATATTTGTTGTGGCATGTCGTGACTCTTCATTGCCGAAGTGACCTCTAAAGGCCCTTGGGCTTCCTGAATTCCTTTCGCACCGGCCGAACATGTTTGAGGTCCATTTGCGCCGATTGCGGTTGAAGCTAAGGCCTTCGAACTCCGTAGTCCTTCCATTGGCAGTCGTTTGCAGGTTGAGCCTCAGGGAAAAGCGACCCCCTCACTTTGAGGGTTTGCCCTTGGTGTATGTCCGGCTTAAGGTATAAAGGTACCTGGAGTCTCCATGCCCCTCTTTAGCTGGGTCCATGACCCCATTATTTTAGGTAGTGACCAACCATCTTTTCAGGGTGGCCCTTTAAAAATGGGGTCATTACCCAAAATACAGGGGTCATGGACCCATCTTTTCAGCTGCTTGCCTCGCCATCCGCCCGCCATCCGCCATATTTGAGGCGCGCGAAAAACCCGCAGCCGCGGCGTCTCAAGGCCAGACCCATGAAGATGGCTCCGGACATTTTGGACAGCCTCAGCGCCTCGGATGGTTCTTTTTTTGACGAATTCTCAAGAGGTTTTGTCGCTGGGATTGCGTTATTTTTTGGTTTACCTTCAGAATGGCCTTCACGATGGATTTGGTTTTGTTGCTGGGATTTTGTGTTTGTGTGTACCTTCAGGATGGAGTTTTGTCGCTGGGATCAACTCCGTTTGGATCTTTCGTGGGTTTTCACAACAATGGAGCCGAGCCCAAGCTCGAACCCTCCCTGGCAAGTCGGAAGCCAAAGCAAGCCGCGCCAAAGAAAAAGAAGAAACACAAGACGAAGAAAGCCCAGGGACCAAACAAGGACTCTTTCGGAACCGAAAGCAAGATGCCATCGCTACCAACACCAGGTTACTACCAAGAAACCGCCCGCCGGCCCGGCAAATCGACCGAAATCGACGGCCTTGGAGGTCGAGTCCAAGAGGAGATCGACAAGTCCTTCGCTGCCCTGGAGGCAGTGAGTAGCGCCTTGGAAGTGGGCTGGGTGGGTGGGCAGTTTTGTGGGTGGGGCTGGGTGGGTTGGGTCCCAGTGGTGTTTAGTCACCCTTTCGGTGGCTGGTTGTAAGGGAAAACCAAAACGACACACATATGCTTATTTTGTTTTGATGGGTATTTGGAGTGGACACAATTTTGCACCAAGAGTACTTTCGAGAACAGACCCGGAAAAAGGAAACTGCAACTTGGGACACAATTCCACTGCTGGAGACTGGTGCTGTCCCTCTTCAGCCCTCGATGGGTTTTTCCTTAGAGACGCTTGTTGTCCTGCCCTTGGACCTTTGCGCTTTGAAGCAGACTGTTTTTGTCCAAAAGTGCACAGTAGCAACTGCGTCACGTTTCGGGGGTTTGCGACGTCACCCACGGATGAATCTTTCATAGGGATCTACTTAACTCTGTTTTGGTTGTATGAAACTAGTTTAAGCCCAGCCCTGGCATTTTTTGTAAGTGAAAACTGTCTGTCCACAAGAACACCTCACTCCCCATGTTCGTGGGCTCTAAACTTGGGAAGACTGGCAAACAGAAAGTTTGGACTTGTTTTGGCCGCAGTGAGCCACCTAATGTTGTCACCGTAATCAACCCCAGTCTATAAGGGGGGTGTCCGTGGGTTTAGTGGTTGGAATCATATGACTTTTGGGGCCCCCACCAGGGGTTGGGTCGACATTACCTGACGTACTTGATTGCCTCCCCAAAGCAACGTGAGCAGAACCACAAGTCTTGGGGCCCGTTGCCCTGAGTTTGATCTATCCTTTCAGATGTGACAAAAACTCAAAATATGGACCCAAAATGGGATTCACCCTGGTCAATTCCCATTCCCATTCCCATTCCCATTCCCAGGCACGTGTTCTGCACACGGCCGGTCGCTGAGGTCAGATTCACTCCATCCGCGACTCCGTCGCGGAGACCAGCGAGCGCCCACTCTCCGCGCCTCTGAGCCCCAAGAGCCGCGGCTGCATCAATGGGTTTGACCAGGTATTGCGTCAATATGGCTACCACTAGGCTTCTTTGATTTTTTTTTTGCCAAGGGATGTTAGGACTTTAACTTTTTAGCCAACTAGTGGGTTTTCCGTATTAAACCACTGAAAGTTATTCACTTTTGGCAGGGGAACAGAAAGCAACCGAGGAGTTTTACATCTTGTCAATAGGTATGGCTACCTCTACGTTTACATCAATACGTATGGCTACCTGTGGGTTTTACATCAATAGGTATGTCTCTTATGGTCCCTGAAACCTTTTGGACGCAAGGTTCGAGTTCTTGCTCAAAACATGAGCAACTCACTCCCTGAGGCCCTGGACTTTTAGTCACTTGGGAAGCCCCCTTTTGCTGCTTTTTCTGGGCCGACCCTCCGGAGGAAGTGACCCCAGAAAATCGGAAATTCGTCTGAGGACCCGGCCCAACAAGCCGCTAAGAGAGCCCGCGCCTCTTCTGGCGCACCGGGAGTTGAAGTCTCAGCGGAACCCGCCCCTTGGGCCAAGGCTATCGCTCGCGGGAGACGAATGGAGACGAATAGATCGGGATAGAGGTGTGGGGGAGGCTGCTTTATGAAAAAACTGGCAGGATTTGGGGGGGGAATGGAATAAGGGGGGTCTAGCTGTTGTTGATTTTCGTTAGCTCCTTTGGATGTGGCAAAACTCGAAAACGAACAGGACCCCCTCAATGGGGTTCCCTTATGGTATGGAGGATCTCCCAGTTTGAATTGCGACGGGAAAAGCCATCTGGCGCGCAATGCCTCCATTCACGACATGTGTCTTTTCCGACCCCAAGCCTGTTTTGGAGCGCTCCAAAGAACGAGCACGGGGGTCCCCGGAAAGGTGTTCAGTGGATTGAGCCAAATTTTTGGGGTCAACTTGTGGTCCTGGTTCAGTCCGTGCCTGATGGCTTCCGGGGAGGGGTTTTAGTGGGTGCGTGCGTGCGTGCGTGCATGCGTGCGTGCGTGCATGCATGCGTGCGTGCGTGCGTGCGTGTGTGTGTGTGTGTGTGTGTCCTTTTTTATTGGTAGAAAATAGCTTGGGTCTGGTTCAGGTTGTTTCATAACCTACCAGGGAAATCCATGATCATCTACCTGAAGTCTCCATGACCCTTAACAAATTGGTCCATGACCCCTTTGTCTTGGGTAATGACCCCATATTTAAAGGGTCATGGAGACTCCAGGAATTTTCCTAAGAGCCTGTCAAAATGCCGCTCCTGTCGCACCGAGGCTGAGCAAAGCGGCACCCACGCTCTCAACCAAGAGTGGGGCTGGGGTCGAGAGCACTCAGCTCCGCCTGCACGGCAGATGGATGGATTTAGCCACCCAGAAGCTCGGACGTTGGGGCCCAGACAAACAAAGCAAGTCGACCCCAAACAAAACTAGGTCCCCCAGCTAGGTGCCAACTTTGACTAGACCACAGAAAATAGAAACGGTACCAACTTATTCTAACCTCTCTACTGGAGGACCCAGAAAACACGTTGGTTTTCCTGATGTTGTCCAGATTTAGTCAAGGTTCTACAGGGTTAACCCTGTATTTCCAGGCCCTTTGGGCAGGGGGTCTAGGGTCTGTCTCCAAAAAGTATTCTCAAAAAAGGGTACCTTCAACAAGAGACACCCACTTAGAGCTAGACAATGTGATATAGACCACTTCAGAAGTGGGGTCAGGTTCCCTTTTTGAAGCTGTATGTGTCAAACTAGGGATTTGGGCCCTCCATTTTCTTCCTGCTGGTTCCCACTCAAGCCACCCTCCAAACCAGGCTTGCCCCCCATATTTCCCTGTTTGGCAGTTTGGCCACCGTTTTTTGGGCCAGGTCTCTCGCGAGTTTCCCTCTGGAACTATAGACCCCTGTTTTAGGTCAGGTTTGAGTGCTGCCGTTTTTGCGTCTTGGCTCCCCCCCCCGTACCGACTTGTTTCCTGAAATTCAGGCCCGGCCTGGACAAGGGTGGTTGGAGGAACCAGCTGGGTGGATTTGAAGAAAAGCATATTGACACTTAAGTCTAGAGGTTGATGTCAACTATCGTTCTTTTCAAGAAGCGGCTGTTTCCAGCGGGTTTTTGATGGTTTTCTGAAAAGAAATTTCCCTGGAAAGAATGGGGAAGGTACGCGCAGATTAATGGCATTTGGCATTCGATCCAGGACCAGCTGGCACTGGGCGATACCCAGCAAGCCACACCACGCACGTATCTACTTAGTTTGCTTCGGTCGGCAGATCCGACCCCAGGGGACGTGCAGCGTATGTATTCGCTCTCTGGGGGCCGGAGGGGACGTAGACATCCTCAGTTGTTTTTCACGTTGAAATGTCCAGAAAGCAGCCTCCCTCTTCTTTGATGTGTAATCTGCATTCGACATCAATTGAAGGGACTATGAGCAAGGTTATCAGGCAGTTACCAGGAACTTAGCTGGAGTGAGCATGACAATCATACAGACAGGATTAGTATATAGACTGAATATCCTGCCTTCCCCCACCAACTAAATGGCTGAAGAAAGGGTAAGGATGAAAGCAGGATGCTGCTCTAACATGACGGGAGCACTACTTGGAATGGTCAACATGACCAGAAAGGATATGGAAGCTGGATGGGACTCTAACTGCGTCCTTGGCCTTAACTTTCGGATTCATCCGGACCGTTCTAATCAGTTCCCTTTTTTGGAGCTCATCAAGAGGGGGTTCCGGATTCAGCCCCCGGCTTAAATGGGCTTAAAGCTATAGGGGTGTGATTTTCAAGAGGCCTTCAGGGGGTTCTTTATGAAATTGCATAGCCATATTGTGTTGTATGTTCCTCATATCCCCACACCTTCCCTAGACTCTATTTGTAGCTCCATGTTCCCTGTTTTGGGGAATGCAGGATAAGCGGAGTTGGGGGACCCCGCACTGCTACAGCCTTGAGGTAGAGCGGTGACCTCATCTCCCCTCCGGTTTGACTCGCGGGGTTTCCTGATCCCAAGGAGCGCAGAGGGGCCAACCTCCAACCGGAAGACCAAGATACGGAACCGTATGAGCTCCGCAGGCGCGCTGCAGCCGTGTACTACCGGACAAAACAATTCTGCACCTATGAACCCTGGAATGATGATTCCCCCAAAACTGCCGGCAAAACAATGGTTTCAACCATAATTCCAAAGAGATGCAGGAGTTTGTCCGTCCACAGGTTGGTTTCCTCCGAAAGGTTGGTTTTAAGCATCACCCTGGGTTGCAATTTGAAGGTTGCGACTCAGCGGGGTCTTGATTCCGGTGAATGGGAATGGCCGGATTTCAGCCATTGACATGACAATCACTTCAAGGTTGACCACAGATGGAATATGGTGTGTTTGTATATACATATATATGTATCAGTTTGAGTTGAGGGTAAAAGCTAAGGTAGTCGCAGCAGTCAATATACGTATCTATATATTTTCTAGACTAGTTTTAACATGACCTGTTAGTTTTTTTGTGGTGTACCCGTTTTTTTTTGGCACATGGCATTTGGCTTACAGTTGGGCTTGAAATTGGGGCTGTGTGCTTTCAGATAAGCTTCTGCTCATTTGTATGTCTAATTAGTGCTAAATAACAATCCCAGTACATCCCAGTACCTCTTTTGGGGGAAAAAGGGTCCAAGTACCTTCTAAGGCTGGGAATATTAGTAGGTCAAATTCGACAGGGAAAGAGGGTGTAGTCTCAGGGTGTAGCTCAACTTGTCTCAGATCATTGTGGTTGCCAAATGTGTCCTGCGGCTTCTTGACCGATAGTCGGCCATTCAAAGCAATCCACCACTGCCCACAATGTGTTTGTCTTTTTTGGCCGAGTCTTGAAGTCTGCAATTCTTGCAAGGCTACGCTTGGATGCTCTCTCTTTGCAAGTCATATCCACGCTTAACCCCCAAACCCTGATAATAAAAAAAGAAGTGAATTAGCCTTCTATCCACCAGAATGGAAGCCACCAGAGGGTGTCTTTGAAAGACAAACGGTGAACAGGAGGGTAGGGCGGGTAGGGCGCAATGTGCGCAACCGCAACTTTGGAGCTCCAATCCATAACTGAAGCACCACCCTGTCAGCTATGTGCCATTTAACAATCGCTGGACATATGTTGTTTTCCCAGGGGCCGAAAACGCAAGTAGAGCTATCCACTGCCCCCTTTTTCCGCTGCCCGTCCCAATCGATTCGCCAGGCGAATCGGAGGGCACGCAGATTTCGAAGCACAAGGCCATTGAGCCGTTTCACCCACAGAGCATGTTTCGGCTTTGCTGGGACATGGTGGCCATGACGCTGCCCCTCGGCTTAGAGCGGCAGCTTTTGAGGGTGTCTTTTGAGGGCACCCTGTTCAAGTTGGTTTCGAAAGGAAACCTTGCATTTCTTTAAGAAGATGTTATTTTACCCCTTGTTGGCAAAACAACTTGTTGGTTTTAATTTTCAAGTGAGACTATCACTGCTGGAAATATGTTTATTTTTGCAGGGGGCTTCTAAATGGAAGAAGCCCATGAAAAACCGAGGGAAACGGCTTTCATGATGAACAAGTGCAAACTTGAAATGGGACTCCAAGCAAACAATGCGGTTGTGGGATCGGGAACGACCGTTTTTTTGCGGGTTGAAGGCTGGCGGCCAAGCCACCGCCACCAATGATGGGATTGAAATCGGGAAAGCCAACAAGGGGAAGCTGAAGTGAAGAACCAAAGAAAATAAACAGAGAAAAGGAATTCAGGATGGAGCCGCAGACCTTCAGCTTCTGAAGCTTGGCATCTCAACCAGGTTACATGATCTCCTTCCTGATAAAGGAAGGCAATTCAACATGGAATGTCAGCTTGCCAGCGCTAGCTCCCTCCTGGGCTAGCTCCTGCTTGGGCTTGGGCGCCGCACGCCCCCCCGCAATGCACTGAAAACAAAGGCGCGGAACGCGCAGTCAACGACAGCCTGGAGAAGAAGCCTTGCCACGGCATGTTTTCTTGGAAAGAAGGTCTTGCTGCAATTGTTTCCTCGGCCTTTCAAAAAAGAACACTTGACCAAGAAGCAGAGAAGCAGTCGCCTAATGGGATATAGCATCGGAAAAGCCACTTTTCCACGTCAGGGTTGGCCAGGTCAGGGTTTGAGCGTGATGGTATCAGCCCCCACAAGAACTTGTGGAAGAACTACGCGAACGACTCCGGCCAGAAAGTCTCGGAAGACCTGGGCGGCGGGCCCGTCAAGCTCAGAACAAGACTTGGCGAAACTGCGGGGGGGTTTAGACATGTTTAGACTTTCCGGAAGAACTCGGACAAGCTGGGCGGCAAAACGCCGCAAGACTGAGCGAAACCTCGGGAAGAAAGTGGCCGCAAAGACAAACTGGCCGGAGTCTGCAAAAACTGCCAGAGAGAAAACGGCGAGACCTGACGATGCGCAGATTCGTGAGAGAAGCGCCGGCGCAAATCTAAATGGGAGGTTCGAAGTGGTAGGAGTTGATCACTTATTACAGAGATATGTGAATGTGTTAGGAAAAGGTGGCTTAAGCAAAAGGACTGTTAAGATTCCAACAGCTTTGCGGCACCAAATGAAACCCCATGACTGTAAGGATGGATATCCTACACTGGTATTCTCAGAACGATCTTGTTTCCACAACCATGCTCTGGTCTACACAATCTCCCGGGGGCGCGGGGGTATGGATTCCCTTGTGGCCTGTCTCAGGATATTTGGTGACACGGTGACTCTGCCGCTGGCACTTGCCTGGGACGTGCAGATGGGCGGACCGGACGCTTTCAGCCAGCTCTTGCAAGTAAGCTGCTTGGAGAAAAGTCCCTGGTTAAAGGACCAGCTGGATCCCACTTGGGCAATCTAGTATAAGTCCCAAATTCAGAACTCGCAAAGGCCAAGAAAGGTTCATAGATGTTCCTAGAGCCTTTTCAGAAAACGCTCCTAGAAGGCTCTGGCCGAGGGACCCTCTTGAGACCTGTTGGTTCCGGCCACGTGTTGCAGAACCAGTTGCAATTGAGATGTCCAAGCGACGTTGGCGATTGCCTTCATTTTTTTCAAACCTCAGTTGTTTCTGGTCAGGAGTCAGTACCTGGGTGGGGCAGTACCTGGGTGGGGCAAAATATGGTTTAAACACCACCTTTACAAGGGAATAATCATCATACCCAGTGGTTTAAACATTTTTTAGCCAATGGGTGGCCAAAAACCACCCGAGTCAGTACCCTCTTTTTAGGTTACTTGGTTTGGGCCTTAGCTTGGGGAAGGCCGACCTACCCACTTGCCTTCGTGTGCGGGGCTTACGCGCTTCGTAGCCTTTGTCGGATGGGCGCTTGGTGAAGTGGGTTTGCTTTAGGGTTTGCACTCAACTGACGCAGGTAGACCCAACCCCTTAAACCTACCCCGGCCCAAGGTATAAAGGGTATAGCTCATGAGCCCAGCCTGGAAAAATGGAAATCGACCAACCTATATAGATGTAACACAACTTGAGTGCTTCTTCGCGCACTTCTACTGCTTCTCACGGCGTGTGTGGTTTTGGGCTTTGGTGAAACCTTTGTGGAACCCGGGGTGTTAGGAGTTGTTCCTCCCCGTGCGACTTGTTTCAACCTGTCATCCAAACCCATCAAGGTCCCACAAGGGTGGTGGGGAACAAGCGTGGGGTGGGCACTGAGGGGTTTGAATCCTACGGAACGCCTCTTGACTGTCCCTTCTGGTCCACCCTGTAAACTTGGTGGCTCCCAGCCATCCCCTTAGCTTTTGAGTTCTTTAGTGTTTAGTGGGGTTTTTCCATTTAGCCGACTAAAAGTTAAACTTTTAGCGGGGGATCTGAGGACAGCTCAGTAACGCAGAATCCAAAGGATGTGGCTTAAACGAGGGCGTTTCAAGATGCCAGGCGGCCTGGCCCGCGAAAAGTCTTTGAAGCTCGCCTTGGCTAGATGCTCGCAATTCCACTTCCTCCCTTGAAGGGTGCCATGGACATGTCGATTTTCAGCCACCCCAACCAATATCCGCCAAGGTCCTCAGGTGGTCGCAATTTGGACCGGCGTGAGGTGGCCACCGGCTGGGTCTTGTACCTCCGCCACCAAACAAGTGAAGCTCCTTTTCAGGTATAGCGCTTACCTTAGGTACCCACAAAAGCCGCTTTCCGCCCCTCAACATCCATCAGGCACCAGGATTCTCGCCACGCATCTGGGTTCATGTCCAAGGTCCCCAGGGGCCACATCCACATCCCTTGGTCCCGAAAGTGGATGGACCTCCATGTATATAGAGACCTCATTTGTTCAAATCCGACCTTTCGACCTTTTGGTTTTCCCATTTTGGCCCATCGTCATGGCCCCAAAGGGTGATCACCTTTTAGTCCCAGGTCCTTTGGGGCAACGAGGCTCTTCGCATGGCCTCTCCCGAAGTCAGAGCCTCGGGCGCCACGTCTGCGCAATCCGACGCGAGGCTTCTGGGTGAGCCTCACCTTCTGGAGCTCCGACTTGCTGATGAACCTGAACACCGCGCGGGGGCCCGGCCTTTTAATTCGTGTGGGGGGCGGAGCGGGCAATGTTTCAGTGGGGAGGGTATACATAATATAGTGTGTATATATATATATATAATACTATATATACCTGGAGCACCCTTCGTTACATAGATTTCTGCCCTTAGCCCAAACGTATTGCAAAACCAGGGGTCGTCACCAAAATATGGTAAACGTACACTTTTTCCTCTTCGAGCGTTTTTACCAAAACCGGGCTGGTCGGTCCTCCAAGATGATCGGTCGCTGAATATTCAAAAGGAGCGAGCAGAAATCAACGTGCAAAACGAGCGCAAATATCCGCAAAACGAGCGCACATATCCGCAAACGAGTGCAAATTTAAAAAACGTAACAATCCCTCCTTCCTCTGGATGGAAGAAGGGGATGTGGTCGAGCGTTTTTTTTGGGGGGGGGCGAGCGTTTTTTGGGGGGTCGAGCAGAAATCGGTAGTTCGAGCGTTTTTTCCTCGCACCTAAAAAAAGAGGCACGTTGGGTCCGTTGGGTGCCTCAGGTATGTATATATTATATTTTTGCATACATGTATATAGTGTACATATACAAATATATATATACTTTAGAGCCTCCGGCTCAGTCCGCCGACATTGTCCTCTCCCTTTTCTCCTTCTTCCTCTCTCCCTTGTCTCCCTGGTGTGTTCTGTCGTCCTCTCTCCCTCCCTCCGCTCCCCATCCTCCCCATCCCCCCAAGCCACTCTCTCCCCAATCTCCCTCTCTCGTATGTATGTATGTATGTATGTATGTATGTATGTATGTATGTATGTATGCATGTATGTATGTATGTATGTATGTATGTATGTATGTATGTATGTATGTATGTATGTATGTATGTAATGTAATGTAATGTAATGTAATGTAATGTAATGTAATGTATGTATGTATGTATGTATGTATGTATGTATGTATGTATGTATGTATGTATGTATGTATGTATGTATGTATGTATGTATGTATGTATGTATGTATGTATGTATGTATGTATGTATGTATGTATGTATGTATGTATGTATGTATGTAATGTATGTATGTATGTATGTATGTATGTATGTATGTATGTATGTATGTATGTATGTATGTATGTATGTATGTATGTATGTATGTATGTATGTATGTAATGTAATGTAATGTAATGTAATGTAATGTAATGTAATGTAATGTAATGTATGTAATGTAATGTATGTATGTATGTATGTATGTATGTATGTATGTATGTATGTATGTATGTATGTATGTATGTATGTATGTATGTATGTATGTATGTATGTATGTATGTATGTATGTATGTATGTATGTATGTATGTATGTATGTATGTATGTATGTATGTATGTATGTATGTATGTAATGTAATGTAATGTATGTAATGTAATGTATGTAATGTAATGTATGTATGTATGTATGTATGTATGTATGTATGTATGTATGTATGTATGTATGTATGTATGTATGTATGTATGTATGTATGTATGTATGTATGTATGTATGTATGTATGTATGTATGTATGTATGTATGTATGTATGTATGTATGTATGTATGTATGTATGTATGTATGTATGTATGTATGTATGTATGTATGTATGTATGTATGTATGTATGTATGTATGTATGTATGTATGTATGTATGTATGTATGTATGTATGTATGTATGTATGTATGTATGTATGTATGTATGTATGTATGTATGTATGTATGTATGTATGTATGTATGTATGTGTGTATGTATGTATGTATGTATGTATGTATGTATGTATGTATGTATGTATATGTATGTAATGTAATGTAATGTAATGTAATGTAATGTAATGTAATGTAATGTAATGTATGTATGTAATGTAATGTAATGTAATGTATGTATGTATGTATGTATGTATGTATGTATGTATGTATGTATGTATGTAATGTAATGTATGTATGTAATGTATGTATGTATGTATGTAATGTATGTATGTATGTATGTATGTATGTATGTATGTATGTATGTATGTATGTATGTATGTATGTAATGTATGTATGTATGTATGTATGTATGTATGTATGTATGTATGTATGTATGTATGTATGTATGTATGTATGTATGTATGTATGTATGTATGTATGTATGTATGTATGTATGTATGTATGTATGTATGTATGTATGTATGTATGTATGTATGTATGTATGTATGTATGTATGTATGTATGTAATGTATGTATGTATGTATGTATGTATGTATGTATGTATGTATGTATGTATGTATGTAATGTAATGTATGTATGTATGTATGTATGTATGTATGTATGTATGTATGTATGTATGTATGTATGTATGTATGTATGTATGTATGTATGTATGTATGTATGTATGTATGTATGTATGTATGTATGTATGTATGTATGTATGTATGTATGTATGTATGTATGTATGTATGTATGTAATGTATGTATGTATGTATGTATGTAATGTATGTAATGTATGTATGTATGTATGTATGTATGTAATGTATGTAATGTATGTAATGTATGTATGTATGTATGTATGTATGTAATGTAATGTAATGTAATGTAATGTAATGTAATGTAATGTAATGTAATGTAATGTAATGTATGTATGTATGTAATGCGATGTAATTTAAAGTAATGTAATGTGATGTTGTGTAATGTAATGTATGTATGTATGTCTGTCTGTCTGTATGTATGTCTGTATGTATGTATGTATGTATCCTTGCACTTCCCCTTTGCTCCCCAGTATTTCCCGCAAACAAACACTGTTTTCCAGCGTTTTCGCAAAGATGATGTCCAAAAACACAGAGTTTTTCCAGATTTTCGGCAAAAGGATGCAGGAAGCCCAAGCCAGCAAAAAAGCCGGCAGGGGGAATCGAGCCTGGGACCCCTGTTTTGCGACACCGGGTCCCCGAAGACTACGTTTAGTGGAACGTCATCAAATTGCCGCGCGGTCCTTGGGGGGGGGGGGGGGGCCCCCCCCCCCCCACGTATCAGACGTCGGGGGGGGGGGGGGTTAGGGGGGGGGTTATCCTCTATCCTCTCTTAGGTGTCCGACACGCCGAGCAATGTCGGCGGATATATATATGTTTATGTTGTATTATGTTGTATTCATATATCAAGGCATCCTCCAGAAGTCCCTACCTGAAAATGCCCTTGAGGTGGGGCAGTTTGACACAGTCCAAGACGAATCGACTGGATTTCGCATCTTGCGGTTCCATGTTTAAAGTCAAGGTCTCAAAAGGTGTTCTGCTCTTGCACCCAAACAGTACGACAACGAAATCCCGGGTGGGCTTCTCAATGGGAAATCTTCTCAGGCGCTCCAAATAGGCTGGAATTCGATGTACTTGGGGCCCTCAGGCAGCCAGGTTTCGAGAGCCCCAAATACCTCCGGTATGTTCAAGGGGTGTGTGTGTGTGTGTTAATGGATGGGTTTGGGTCCATGGACAGCTCCAAGAGCCTCTAAGCACCGGAAAGAAATGGTTCCAATCGGTTTTTGCCTTACGGGCCACTAGCAACCCGAGGCTTCAGGCTCAGTTTCCCAAGTGGACTTGAGTTGCTAGCTTTTAGTAGTCTTCCCAGCTTTCACTCAGTTGCCCAAAGCGAATCGACCTTTTGACCTTTTCCTGTTCCCTTGGTCCATGTTTAGTCATGGCCCCAACAGGGAATCACATTTTATGTCTGGCAACTTGAGTTAGGAGTCCAGGTTTCCATATCACGTTGCTCCTTAATGTTGACTCCATTTTTTTTACCCCTGCTTGTTCACATGGCGGTGTTCCCTTCCGATTTGTTTTCTTAATCCCCACTAAAATCAGGGAGAAGAACACCCATATCAATAAACACCTGGAGTCTCCCTAACCCGGGGTCATGGACCCATTTTTAAAGGGTCAGAAGGAGACTCCAGGCAGGGTTTTTGTTTGGTCCGGGGTCAACATGAATTAGTCCCTGGAGTCTCCATGACCCTTAAAAAATGGGTCCATGACCCCTTTGTTTTGGGCAATGACCAACCATTTTGTAAGGGTCAGAAGGAGACTCCAGGTCCACGTTTGGTTCACTTTTTTGGGCCTTGCTCGCTTGGCGCGCTCTTAGGCCACCTATCGGAGGGGCGTTCTGGTGACTTCGCGCCTGGGCATCCTCGTGAGCTATGCCAGGGGCTGGCTGCTCTTTGATGCGCCTCGAAGGCAGACGCGTTGGCTGTGGGTCAAAAATAGGTACCCCAAATGGCACCCTATGGAAACAATGACTCAAACCTGTGCTCCAATTCCTGGTGGTTGAATTTTGACCCATACCCATTTCTAGGCTCGAAAACTAGAAAACAATGAAAAAAGGGAAGCTTGAGGCTGAAAGGGAACGGCTACTCAAGGCACCTGTCGTTTTTTTGTAGAGCTCTCCTTTTGGATTCCTTCCGTTGTTTCTGGGGAGTATCTTGTTCCCCTCTAAAAAATCAGGAGGCCCCACGATGTATAGAATATATTTTCTGGGCTGTCCTTTGATGCTTGCTAAACGCCTAACTTTTAGGGGTTAAATGGAAACTGCCACTATAAACCCGAAGAAAAACGGGACGGCTGGGCCCACGCCAAATGTGGGATGGATGCCACAAATTTTGGGCTGCCTTGCACGACCCCTAGTTGGCGGCTTGGGGATGTAAGCTGCTGTGCAACTAGGGGGTCTCCCTTTCAATCCCGAGAAAGTCTCTGCTGAACATCCACTGGTTTCGGTTCCCAAACCATTGTCGGTACCCGTCAACATTTTTTGACTCTGGGGGTGTCTTTTGGCACAGCCTTTACTGTTTCCATGTCATGCGACGAACCGTAGTCATGCAGGACTTCGGCCGTGAGAGTTGCAAGTAAGGGGGGGCCAAGACGCGAGACCACTGTGGCTCACTATGGTTTGCGTGGCCAGTAGCGCAACCTGAGGGGCCATCCATCCGTCCAGGTCTTTTGCAAGTGGATTCCGCTCTTTGTTTCACGTTTTTTTTGGGAAGGGTTCCCTTTAAAGTCAACCAACCAAAAAGGATGCCCATTTTTTCTCAGCATCTGAGCCAGTTTTCCTTGGGCCAAAGAGGGCTCTCTAGATGATTGGAATCAGACAAAGTCATGCTGGGAGCAACATGATCTTCAAGTTAGTACTCCGCTGCGACGGAACTATCCCCAGCAATGCATTTGTGAGGAATCTGCTGTTGGGGACGAGGCTGTTAATTTGCTTCTGTGCTGATTAGCAGAAGATAACCGGCCAAGGGCTTGTGAGCTGCGAAAGAGGCCGGTTTGCTATGAAGCATGGGAAGGCTGTTTTTTCCATTTGCGGAAGTGTTGAGTGGTTTTCCCTGGTTTTTGGGGAATCTGTCACTGAACCCAAAGGCCTGGCCATCACGTCGAGCCGAGTGTCGGGTGGCATATGCTTTCTCCCTTCATGGGGCCCTTTTGAATCAAGGCCTGGTTGAGGTATAAAATTCCCGGCAGTAGATATGGGCAAGTACAGGGGATGACCAGAGGAACAAAACCGCATTGAAACTACCTGGAGGCTCCTTCTGACCGTTTAAGAATGGGGTCATTCCCCAGAATAAAGGGGTCATGGAATCAGTTTTGAAGGGTCAGAAGGAGACTCCAGGTTTGGAATCGCCTTTCCCTTTTTGGTGTTCCTTTGTCCCTTTCAAGCACCAAGGTCTAAGGTTTTCCTAGGGTCCAGCCGTTTGGTGAGCCGTGAGCCGCGGAAGAAACACCGCGATGAGGTTTGCCTCTTAACCTTCGACGCCTTCTACGTGGGCTCGAGCGCCAGCGTTTCCAGCGGCTCCAGCCGAAAGTCTCTTCCAAGCCGATGTTGCCGTCATTCTGGGGGTTGACTCAAATAGCCCTTTCTCAGAGGAAGAGCATCTCAGTATTTTTGGGGTAGCTAGACTGAAACATGATACATAGTAAGAGTCAACCTTCTCTTTCCGGGACCGGGAATGGGACCTGTTGGGACCTGTTCTAATCCAAATCCAGGGGACCTCCTTTGCAACCAAAAGGAGCTCCTTGCAGAAGTCTTACTGTTTGAGTCGGACTTTCAATTCACTTGACGCACACCCAAGCCAGGAAGTGAGTTCTTGTTGGCTTCGAGGTGTTCGGGAGATCCCAAAGCGAACCGCCTGTTGCGGCCATTGTGGCCGTGTCTCGTTCAGTGGAGCTCCAGCCCTTGTTTCAAGGAGTTGTTTTTTGGTTTTAGGGGTGTCAAGTTTAGAGGGGCCGTTTTTGGTGTCCGTTTAAAAGGTGCGTAGGGTCCCTTTGCTGGGGCTATAGTTTTGACCCCCCCCCCATTGTTTTTGGAATTTTATACTTTATATTTTCCAACTTTGTTGCAATGTGTGGGCGTTTTTTGAATGCAGAATCCTTACCTTGATCTTCCACCCTGAAATTGGCTGATCCTCCAGTAAAACTCACAGGGGAAGTCAGGAAGGATCCTGCTTTTCATGGCCCATGGAAGGCAGAGGTTGGCATATGTTGGCATGTTTCCCAAGAACGGCAGTCGACACACACCCCGCTTAGAACGACTTGGTTTCTAATTAATGGCCGGAACGTGCGGGGATCCGCAGCCTGCAAGGTGACTGTCAAGGATTCTTCCCTCGCTTCCCCCGTTTCTGGATAGTCACTTCCTTAGGACATGAGCAAAAAGTCCAGGGAGTTGTAGCAACCCAAGGCGTAACAGCAAGTTGCTTTTTGGGGTTGGGCCCGTGCAGTCATTCAACTTGGTTTTGAGCTAGTTGTTTTTGTTTTGCGCAGGGTCCCTGAAAGGATACCTGGGCCCAGTTAAAACATCACTCAAATACTAGCTGGTGATGATGGTAGTTGGATGTGTTTGACTATTTATGGCGAGCTTACGTTCGGGTAAAACGTGCGCACCATGAGACATGTCCTTTACTTGGGGATCCCTTGGATGAACTTTTGGAACCATAGTATAATTTGCAGATGGATATGTAAGAACGCGTGTGCTTGACCAGACAAGCTGGTTAAGAAGAGGATCCCTTGCTTTAGGCGTGGTGTTTGGATGTACCCTGGATCCACATCACCAGCAAGAGGATTTTCCGTCAGGCAGGTGTTTGGATGAAGAAGCTTATGCTGCTGAGGTGAACTCCGGCTCCTACGAGTCACCCGGATCCTGAGACTGCTGCGGCTCCTGCGCATGTTGAAGCTCACAAAGGTGAACTCCATCATAGAGGCGGCCCTGGGGGCGTGGGGAAGGGGAAGGGCGGTTGGGTGGGCGACGTTTTGGTTTTCGAGGTCCTGTGGGGCGGGTTTCGGAAGCAACCAAGCAACCAGCCACCTGACCGGGGTGAAGCCCTGGCCGGGGCTCGGAACAAAAAAGGCAGCCGTTCCCTTCGGACACACCAACAAAACTAGGTCCCCCAGTAGTGCCCTTTGATCAACTGTTTTGGGGGAGGGCTCCCCTACTAAAATAGACCTACAGAAAAAGGGTACCCTTATTCTAAACTCTCTACTGGAGGAAATAGAAATTGAAGGATTTGGTACACTTGGCATTTGGAGTCATCCATGTAAAATCCAAAACTCAAAACCACAAGCCCTGCTGGTTGGTTGGACCATGTTGGACCTAGGGCTGCCTATTGGCTTTGACTTGGTGACAGTCGGGGCTGGTTACGGGTGCGTGTTGGGCTTGGTCTTAGGCTGTCTTTGGATGTCGAGGGTTGGCGTTTGGGTCGGTTCTGGTTGGCTTAAAGCTGATTTGCGCTAGGTGTGCGACTCGTTTTAGCAGTGGCTTTTTAGGGTTGCTTTAGGCTGTGGTTATGTGAGTTTTGGGCTGGTTTGGGCTTGGTTGCGGGGCAACTCCAGGCCCCCAGGGAATACCACCAGCTGCCCCCAACCTAAGAGTGAAGCAAGGGTTCCCAGCCAACCTTGGAGGCACATGAGGGGAAGCCTTGTGCTGCCGGGGCTAGTAAAAAGCCAAGGGCCAGTAAGAAAGACGCACCTCCACCTTCCCCTCGGGTTTCCCATGAACAACTGGCGGTTTTGGCGCTCATGCAAGTGACAGGGTTGCTCCTCACTTCCTGAGTTTCCGCACTTGCGACACTTTTTGGGACCACCATTTTGATGGTACACAAGAAGTCTAGGCTTGTGTTGGCCAATCTCAGGAAGTGAGTCTCACTTCCGGTGTCGGGCTTCTTTTTGGGAAGATGGTCAGACGTTGGGCCAAATCAAGGGCTCAAGTAAGGCGAAGATCTAAACAGGGGATTTAAGTTATTTCCGGTTGAGAAATCCAGCCGGTGTTGTTTTGACGTTTAGCCACGTTTTCAGCCCCCGGTGACCCCCAAAATGTCTGCATCTGGGTCTGAGATAGCCGAAGCCGAAGCGGCTTCGAAATTTTGCTCGCGAGACAACAGCCATCCAGCAGACGCAGGTTCAGACAAGTCAGGATCATCCAGGTACTCGTTTGTTTTGCTGTTGTGTCAAGGCGGCCAAAGGAACACTGCTTTTCCTTTTGTCCATTGAAACCAAGAAATGGTAGCTTCAAACCACACTGTGATGGAATGCTGCGCCTCAAACCAAGTTGCGGGAGCCTTAGGGTAACATTTGCAGATAACCTACTGTGGATGGACCAAATCCTGCAACAAATTGAATCCATGGTTGAAGTCATTTGTTGTTGGTATTTCCGGGGGGGAATCAAGTCCTTCCGGGGTTTCTTGGGTGGTGCCTAAGAGGATTTCGTCCAGCCGCAGTATCCCTGCAGCGCAAACGAAGGAGACTGCCGCCAACAGCGGCCGGCAGTGGGTCACAGTGGTGATCGCCATTACGAACACCTCCATCGCGATGATCTTTTGTGCTCACGTGCTGACCCAAAGCTGAAGGGAGTTGGCTTTAGTTGTTTTTTGGGGGGTGCTGGCTGTATTGCTACTTGGTGTGTTTGTTGCATTGCTTGTTTGATTGCTTGCTTGTGTGTTTGCTTGCTTGCTTGTTTGTTTGATTGTTTGCTTGATTGTTTGATTGATTGATTGATTGGTTGATTGATTGATTGATTGATTGATTGATTTCTTTGGCTTGCTTGCTTGCTTGCTTGCTTGCTTGCTTGCTTGCTTGCTTGCTTGCTTGCTTGCTTGCTTGTTGTGTGTGTGTTTGTTTGATTGTGTTTTTTGTTTGCGTGCTTATTTATTTATTTGTTTGTTTGTTTTTTGTTTTTTTGTTTGTTTGTGTGTGTGTTTGTTTCTTTGTTTGTTTGTTTGTTTGTTTGTTTGTTGGTGTGTGTGTGTGTTGTGTTTGTAGCTGTATTGATTGTTTGGTGTTTTGTGTGTTTTGTAGTTGTGTGTTGATTTGTTGTGGTTTGTTATGTTTGTTTGTTCGTTTGTTTGCTTGCTTGCTTGCTTGCTTGCTTGCTGGTTGTTTTGTTTGTGCTTGGTTGTTTGTGTGTTCTTCTGTGTTGGTGTCTTTGTTAAGCGGGTAAGGTTGTTTGCTTGTTTGTGTGTAATGGTTGTGGGTTGTTTTTGTTTGGCTGTGTTTGTGGTTGTTTGGTTGTTCGGTTGTTTGTTTGTTTGGTTGGTTTTGTTTTGTCTTGTTTTGTTTATTGCCTTATTTCAATCATTTTGTGTTGTTGCCATTCTTTAGTTTGTGATTTCTCTTTTATTGCGTTATTTAATCATTCATTTGCCTGTTTTGTTTGTTTTGTTGTTTGGTTGTTTGTCTCTTTGTTTGTTTGTTTGTTTGTTTGTGTGGTTGTGTGTTATTTTGTGTTTTTATTGCCTTAGTTCGCTCTGTCTTGTTGCCAGTCTTTATGTCTAGTTTGTTCTGTCTTTATTTATTTATGTGTGTGTCTTGTTTGTTTGGTTGTTTGTTGGGTTGGTTGGTTGGTCTGGTTTTGTTTTCTTTCTTGTTTGTTTGTTTGTTTGTTTGTGTGTGCGTGCTCCTTTGCTCGTGTGTTTCTGCATCTGTATTTGATTGATTGTGTGTGTGTTCGTCAAGGTTGCCCGCAGCAAAATGGAAGTGGGTGACGGCACCGTCTCTTTTGCCAGGGAGGTCAGGTGCATGGTTTGTTAACCTGGCTTGGCGTATTATATCAGGCAACTTTGGCTTACCTGTTGGCTTCGAAATTCTAGCCCCTATGTTTTGCACTTTCACGGTGGGCGATGCCCAAAGAGCAGAAACCTGCGGCATCTAATTTTCTGTCACATTGGGGTACGCCCTGGCTTTCGGGCTGACCATGCTTGCAAAGAAGGAGAACCATCTATTTTTACCTTACGTTAATTTGGGTTTCAGCATTGTCTCACTTGCCCAAAGCTGACCTTGAAAAGTGATCACCTTTTATGTCTTGGTCCTTTGCCATTTTGGGGTTTGATTCAAGACACACCCTAGATTCTAGGGGTACCTTCCCCATTCTTTCCAGGGATCCTTCTTTCTACAAAACCTCCGGAAACCCAGGAAAGAACGATGGTTGAAAAGACATGGACAAGGAATCGGCCTCTAGACAAATTGCCGGTTTCCCTGGCTCTTTTCAAAACCCAGAACCATTTGGGTATAAAACCGTTTTGGGATCCCATTTCGGTTGATAGGTGAATTCACCACCCATTTTAGAACCTATTTTAGTGGTTGGATTGGGATGTTCACTGGGGGCACGGGGTTTTGAGCCATGGCCATTTGGGTGCCCTCAAAAGACCTTGCAGTTGTTTCCAGTCCAAAAAACCTCACCAGTGGCCCAGACATCGATGTGTCCCAGGACCTGCATGTGGTACTGGGTCGGGCGCACTTTGACAGACGACGTCACCTCGCCGGTGGTCAGCTGGATCGAGCTTGCCGAGGCAGGGATACGCCGAAGTCTCTGAGTGGAACGGAAAATTCGGACCCAGGTTTCTTCCATTTGTTTAAGAAGATTGTTTCTTTTCCTTTGTTGGTTTTAAAGGGAACCTATCACTACTGGACATGTTTTTTTTTCCCAGGGGACCTAGGCTTCCTCCTCACAGGTGTCCTTGTTGGTTGATTTGGTGAAAGAATAGAGGGCCCTGGTTTACCTGGTTCAATCAACTACCAGGGCCATCCATTTTCCCAAAAAGGACACCGTTTAGCTGCACGCTCATCAGATGCCAAAAAAGGGTGTTGGTTCATTTTGACCGCAGGACGGTGGAAGTTGAAACCCGCTAAGTAGTGTGTAACAACTCACCCGAATGGACTAGCCATCCGAAAATGGATGGCGCTTGAGCGCGGGTGACTCCTGGTTTCCCTTCCCAACCGCTCCAATATCCTCAGAAAGGCACACAACCCTGTGCCGGGTGCTTTGCGGCCACATGATGTAGCATGTCTGTGAATCAAGTATCTGCTGAGTTGCCAAACGTCCATTTTTAGTGTGCACTTCCACTTGCTTGATATTATGGTTTTCCCGCTTGGTTCTGAAGGGATCTATCTGGAAATGTGTTTTCAGGGGACTCAAGAAAACGGAGGTAAGTAAATATATAATATTATATACATACACATCTTTAATTCAGTATACACTTGCATGGGTATATGTGCATGCCAAAATGACGACAGGCACAAAGCGTGGCGGGCTGGGTCCAGTACTTGCACGCCATGCGCTGGATCATCAACTCACCGTCCCCACCATTGATCGATGCAGCCAGCGGTGTTGAGCGCGGGTTGGACATTCTGGTCTCGGCAGCTCGGCTGAGCGAAACGGCGGAAATGTGAGGTTTGTGACCGGGCCCCATTCTAGGTCCAATGAAAACGCCAGGAATGGTTGCCTGTCCCTATGGCTCCTTTAAATAATTTCATTGGTCACTGAAAAACCACACAGCCAGTTTCATTCCGGGTACCAATCTCCGCTGGGGGTCACGAAATCCCCGAACAGTTGATCAGTTTAGTGGTGGTTTCCGTGGTTTCTGGGTTGAACCGATCGCGAAAGGGAGGCGGGGGAGGAAACCCCTGACATAGGGAAACCAAACTGCCAGTTTTGGAGGTTTTATTGACGCGAAATGGAGGGATCAAGGTCCCAAGGGACCCAACAGAGGCGTGTGGCTTCCCTCGCCAAGCCAAGGCTGTCTGCTTATAACCAAGTATTCGCGTTTCGGGGTAAGCAGCCCTCAGTCCGGGGTCTGTTTTTTGAGCCGGGCGCCCTGTTATTTGTTTGGGGACAACCAGTCCTGAAATCTTAGGAACATAGTAGTGTCCCTCGTTCTTATACACCTTCTCTCCCCTCCAAATCCTTGAGCAACATTTCTGGGGCTCAAGGATCCCCATATACATGGCGAGAAGGGAGTGTTGGCAGCCATGACCAGTACAGAAGCCAGGGATTAATTATTGCCCACCTTTCCCATATGTCGCTCCATACCCACATCCCCTCCCAGACCGGGTCTTCAAATCCAAACCGACGGAATCCGAAAGAAGGGTTCCTTCACATGTATCCAAAACACCTCAGACTTTACATGGATTTGGATCCTCCAAATCAGCTCCCCAGTTCGCAGGGAGGGTTAATCGGTGCTTTGGATTTGTGGTTTGGAGGGGCCAGTTCCTGAGCCAAAAAATGGAAGGTACCCACCCGCAACGCCCAGACCAATCCAAACCCACTAGTTCAGGGCCCTGGGGTTTTGCTCAGGGACCCATCAAAAACCTCCCGCGTCGAAATCCAAACAAGGTCTTCGTCATCGCAGTGATGGGCTCCGCCATCTCCAAGATCTCCGGTACCATCGCCGAGCTCAGGGCCCCTCGGCGTCCGATAGATCCGTCGCACGCCAAGACTTCCGTTGGCTCGTAAGCTCTGTTGCCCAGTGGGTTGCTTCCTTTTTTCAACTTTTTTTTTGGGGTAGGGTTCCCCTTCAGACTCAACAAACCATTTTTCCTTATATTTTTTTGGGTAGGGGTTCCCCTTTAAACTCAACAAACCATTTTTCCTTATTTTTTTGGGGTAGGGTTCCCCTTTAGACTCAACAAACCATTTTTTATTTTATTTTTTGAGGGGGGGGGGGGTAGGGGTTCCCCTTTAAACTCAACAAACATTTTTTCCTTTTTGTTTTGGGTAGGGGTTCCCCGTTAAACTCAACAAACCATTCTTCCTTTTTTTTTGGGGGGGGGTAAGGGTTCCCCTTTAAACTCAAGAAACCAAAAAAGGGTGCCCTTTTTTCCCATGGCCACTGGGCATCTACCTGGAGTCTCCTTCTGACCCTTAAAAATGGTTGGTCATTGCCCAAAATAAAGGGGTCATGGACCCATTTTTTAAAGGGTCATGGAGACTCCAGGTAAAATAGCTCGTAAAATCTGGGCTGCTCAAAGGTAATCCTTAGTCCTTACCTGGGGTTACGCAAGGATTTGGTCCCCTTTGTAGTGGCTTTCCTATAGGGATTATGGATTAGGATTGGCCAACCCTCCATTTTGAACAGCCCAGAAAATCGGGCCACCCCAAAGATGCGACATTTCAACTTTGGGGACCCCCAACATAGGACCTTGCCCAGTGTCAGTACAAGGGCAGTATGTATGGAAGGGAGCCCCTACGGTTTTTCCTTGTTGGCTGGGGATGTGTTGATGCTTCCTACTTGTTATCGACACACGCTCCCTTGAACCTATCACACAGAGGGTGTGAGTTTGAGAATCGTGAAGTGGAACCGGTGGTGCATTTCCTACCCTTTCCGTTGAGGTGGTCCCCTTATAATTCAACTGCCTGAAAAAGGTGCTTGGGATGTTTTAGGGAACCAGCGCGAAACGCTGTTCTTTGGTATGAGTTGTGCCTGTATGCTCGACGCCTTTCCATGCGTTTGCTCCAAGAAGCTTCCTCGTAGTGATGGGCACGCTGAGTTTGCTCCAGCTACACTTTTCTTGCTGGTGCTCAGTAGGGAATGAGGCAATGAACCTGGGGATTCCCTTAAAGGAAACCACCAGTTGGATGGTTTATACCGGGAGTCTCCATGAGAATGGGTCCATGACCCCTTCATTCTATGTCTCATTCCTTGCCTATCGCACCAGCAAGTTTGACGAACCAACCGTACTAATTCCTTGTTTACGCTCAGCTCGCTGGCCGCAGGCGTAAGTACTCCTTTGTTTCCAGTGGGCTGAAGCAGGTGGAAGGCAAGGCTCCTTTTCGCCCCCCCCCAAAAACAAAAAAAGCGAAACGGCCCGATCGGCCCCAGCGAGCCGCGAGACTCGAGGCCATGAACGAGGCGCGGGACCGACGGCGGCGGGAGGTGCGGCAGTACCTCAGCTCGCAGCACGTGTCCTTCGAGCTGGTGAGCCGCATCATGCGCTTCGTGGACTATCGCTGCTCGACCTGAGATGCCATGCCTCACCTGAAGACTTCCATTGGCTGAAATGAAGATGTGTTTTTTTTGTTCTTCCCCTTGTTGGTTTTTAGGGGGAAGCAATCTATGCTGGATTTTGTGGTTTTCCGGGGGGCTTAAGCAAACACCTTCTAGGTCCCCCAGCTATCTGCCCACTGTTACCACCTTTTTTGGTTGGGAGGGCTCCCCTACTAAAATCGACTGCAGAAAAAAGGGGTACCCTTATTCTAAGCTCTCTACTGGAGGACCTAGCCTTCACTTCCATTTGCTGAAATGAATAGGTCTTTGATTTTCCCCTGTTGGTTTCTAGAGGGAATCTATCACTGCTGGAATTGTTTTTTTCCAGGGGCTTAAGCAAATGGAAGCTCAGCCATTGAGTGAGGACAACCCTTTGGTTTCAAAATTTCAGCAAAGCCGACCACTTATTGAGGGAACGGGTTAAGCTGCTTCGAGATGACATGACTCAGGTTTTTGTGAGGACGATCCAAGTAATGTTGAACCTTCTTTCCCACCCCTGGAACAGTGGAGCCTGGGAAAGCGCTGCTATAGAGGACCCAAATCCAATTGAGGGTCTAACATTAAATTTTAGCAAAGTTGACCACTTAAAACGTTGAGGTTCAAAGGGCTAAGGTTTGATCAGGTTTGCTCATTCCTGGCTGTTATCAGCTTGCCCTTAACCTGGATTTGGCGTGACGGAATTGCCCCTTGGATCTTTTGGAAACAACCGGCTTTTCCATTAAGCCTACAACAGACACCAAGTAGAGGGAAGCTTTGTTCAGGGACAAGTCTCAACTCCGGAAGTGTGGGCTCCAACTTGAAATCCAACTCATCTCCACTGGAAAGAAATAAAATACATTTGCAAGTGGAAGGTCGAGGTGAAGACTCAAAAAGATGTCCGCAAGAAATTCGATCTTAATACCGCATCCTTACGCATAAGGCCTTGTTTTTGAAACAAAGGGGGGTTTACTGAGGGCGGCCGGCGTCGATATGAAACGAACGGCCTGCTCAAGGATGGTGGTTTCATTTGTACAAGTGGAGACGAGAGCGCTGGCATGCGACAAGCGCTGATTTCCCGTGATTCCCTTCCTTTTTTGTCCGCCAGTTGTAAGAGACGTGGACTCCAAAACTGGAAAATCTATTCATCCCACGTTGCCGTGGCACCTGTGGGGAGGCACCTGGATCAGTTTCTTTGGACCAGGTCCCGAATGTCAGGTGTGGCAACGTGGGAGAGAGGGTATCACTTTATCACCCGAAACTTGCAGGGCGATGTCCAGTCCCTAGACTCAGACGCTTTTGAGGCCTTGGTGGGTTGGAGACTCTCATAGTTAAGGTCTTGGGATCCTGGGGTTGGTTGTCTTGTTTGGTTTTGGGGGGTAACCCCCAGATCCTCATATTGAAGGTCTGGAAATCCGAGAACTTGGTCTGAGGGTGGCCGGGAGTTTCTCGCACTTCCAGGCTTGGAAAAGGTGTCCTCTGCGCAACTCGACACCTCGCTGATTTCTCCTACTCTTCAGCTAGAGCTCTACGTTGGACAGCGCAGCAGCTGCTTGGCAAGGGTCTCCAGACTTTTTGGCGGACCCCGCCTCCCCTCTTGAGTGCTAATTATTGGGTTGGATCTTTAGGCTTCAACGTTTTGGGAAATCAAGGGTTTTTCCATTAAGCCCGCAAAAAGTTAAGCTTTTTGCAGAGGGGTCAACAGCAACCAAGCCCTGTTTTTGGGTTCCAGTTCCGTATCTAGGTTGGAGCCAGCACCCCCCCCCCCACACGTGTAAAAGACCTACTGTCAAAAAGGTACTGCTCAATGTCAATGTAGTGGTTGGAGTTGGGAAGAAGCAGTTGGAGGGTGCTGGAGGGGAAGTCGGTTGTATTTCGTTGGCATGGGGGCAAGGATGGTGAGGTCGACGCCCAGTTGCCGAGTGCGCTGTTTGCCTTCCATGGGCAGCGAGCTTTTGGATTCCAGCACCAGGTTGACACACCCACTCGAAGTTGCACCAAGTTATGAAGCCATTGTTTGCAACGTCACCCAAAGGTTCCTTACACAGAGTTCCCGTCGCTGTGACAAGTGACAAGGGTCCCTCGATGTCGCCCTGGTTTGTCCTCCAAAATGCATTTTGCGTGGAACGTCAGTTGATCACTTAGTCCGAAGCCGACCAGTTCGCCTTTTGGGGTTCCTTTTTTGACCCGCCTTGGTCCGCTTGTTTGTAAAGGTCCCTAGAGAGTAGCATTGTCCAAGTCCTTTGGGGCGAGATCAATTTTTAGTTGGGAATTTCAGTGAGGCCTGGACACCTGTATATGGTACAGAGGCAGGGCAATTAGTAAGTGCTGCGCAGGTGATTGGCATCCAATGACCCACATGATTGTAAGTCCCGTAAGTTGGACACGATGGTGACTAGTATCCCCAGTTGAGTCCACTACAATACCAGACTCAATTTGGGGACCAAACGCTTACTAAGTGGGTCGGACATCCAAGCTGGGCAGGCTATGTGATGGAGATGCCTATCTTCAGGCTTCTGTCTGAGTGTTACCACGAAGTCTTCGGCGCGCTTTGCGCGGCGCTGATGCGCCCAGAAAGCATTCAGCGAATTCGGCGAGCGGTTCCTACGTTCCTACCAGCCTGTTAAGATCTTTTCTGCCTATGGCGAGCTGTTTTGACTCAGGCCCCTTGTTTCAAATTTTGGCCATAGACTTTGCAGATCCTTTTGGTTCCAAAGCCGCTGGAATCAACCAATCTACAAAAAACAGTTCCTCCCCACCCGTAAAATGGGATTGGCGGGTCCTCATTTTGTTTTTTTTTTCCAGCGCCCTTTTTTGTGAAGAGGACTCAGAAAATGGTTTTGGCGAGAGGTTTAAATTAAATGATATACTTATCATGGTGCGTGTGACCGAAACTGGTTTCACCCCAACTCTGTACAGGTTAACATACCCAAGCTTCAGCAGTGTTCCTTTCGGTTTCCCATAGCCCAACTAGACTAGGGCAGCCTTCACAAAGAACAGACCCATATTCGCCAATAGGATCCTCTTTGAGAACAGATTGTGAGGCTGCTTTCATACTCCTTTTAAGGCTGCCTGATCGAACAACAACAAAGCCCACATCAAATTGTCAGATTCCTTTGTGTAAGATTCCTCTATGCAGAACTTGCCAAAACAAGCTGGATGAACTCTGGTTACCCTTAATTCGCGGTTTGGATTGGTGGTTTGGAGATTTGAACCCCCAGAGGGTTTACATGCCTCCACCGCTTCGGCTCCAAACCACCAACTGGAGGGAAGCTGATTAGGGACAACTCCGCCTTTGTACCCGGAGCTTACGTGACCGTCCCTATCAACCAGGTCAATCCGGGATCAACCCATTGACGGAATCGGGAATGTGTCGAAATTGGGAAAGCTCTTGTCAACATGGCGTCGTTGTTTGTTTTCTTCTTGTGGCTTTGCTTTGAACCACCCCCCAAAAAAAAAGAAAAAAGAAAATGAAAAGAAACAAACACACAAACAAGAACAGCACAACACAGAAGAAGCATAAATCGCTTCAAGAACGCGACCCATAATCCATAATGTGTGTGTTCATGATCGGAAAATTATCAGGAAGAACGTCTACGAGAAGGGCGAGAGCGTCTTCATCGCCGGGAGCTGGGTGTCCTACTTGCACATCACCGCCACTGGGGAGTACGACTACATCGAAGGCAGGGGTACAACACATGGCACGCTCTGTTGTAGGTTCGGCCTCCCAAAGCAGGTTTATCTGGGGTCCCCCAGCTAGGTTTCCTGATCTTGGTCCAAAAAAAGGGTATCCACTGCCACGGAACCTAGTGCCGGGGGGGGGGGGCGGGGGGCGGGGTTCTTCCAAAAAGGGACCCTTGGTTCCCCGGCAAGGATAGGGTCAAATTCTTGGTTGCGAGTCGGCACTTCCTCATTGGCTTGGGTTTTTTTCTTCTCGAAAAATCAACCAGCGTTGGTTGTACGGGGTCCATGTTGAGTCAACTGCTGGGCTTATCCGGTTTTGGGTTCCCTGAAAGGATGCCAAAACGGGCCACTGATCAACTAGGCTTAGACGATCGCGTTGAATTCAGGTATATGAGGAACTCTACAAAAGGCTCAGCGTTTTTTTTGCCTTTTCCCCATTTTGGCAAGCACTTTTAGTCAAGGCCCCAAAGGTGATCACCTTTTCTGTGTGGGTCCCCAAGAAGGGAAAACGAGGGTGCGCAAGCACAGCCTTTGAGCCAGGCTTCGACACTGAGGGCGACGCTCAGGAGCCCGATTTGGTCTGGGGGGGGGGCGGTGCACGAGCGACTTACGTGTTGTTTTTGAGGGTGGCCTCTGTCTCAGTGAGCCCGCCAGGTCGGTGGTTCGGATTTGGCAGCTTGGGGATTGAGTAGTCCCTAACTTCCAAATCACCTATTGGAGGAAAGCTGATTGGGGGCCAGGGACGCCAAGAGACCATGATGTGGTTGTCTCTATGGGACACGCCCAAATAACGCCGCTTCGTTGGCAAACAGTATGAGCAGGTTGGGTCAAATCAAGTTTCTTTATTACGTTAAGCTGTTTGCGGCCAGTCACCTGCGCATAGGAGATCTCTTTCTTTCACAGAAAAGGCAGAAACACGCAAGCACACAGACTTCCATTCCAAGAAGAATGTTGTTTGTCGTTTTTGCGTGCTTTTTTGCGCACTTGGAGATGCCCATTTCGGTCTTTCAAAGTAGGGCAACCCCTCAAAATGGCCGGGTTTCCTTTTGGTTTCCCTAACCCAGAGGGTCCAAGTACCTCCTGGTGAAAAGGGGGCCCAAGTCCTCCTTAGAAGGTACTTGCATTCTCTGGGTAAGGGGTGCGGAAAAAAGACGAGCCACCTAATTATATCGCCAGGAGCTGAGTGGGATCCACTGGTTCGGGGAGCTGAGCCTCTACACGGAGGGCACCTTGCATCAGAGCCTTTGATGCAAAGAGACCCAAAGCTCCCAGCCAGTGGACACACCTTACACTTTTTTCCTTGGTGGCTCTCCCTTTTTACTAGTGGCGCCCAATAAGCGTATACTTGTTTTTGGCTGGTCACTGGCCAAGTGAGAAAATGGCCTGGGGGTCTGTCTCCCTGACGCTCAGACTTCACGGTTAGGGGTGGGTTATCAAAGTCAGAAAATTGGGTTATTTGGTTTTATTTGTATTTTTCTACTGTTTCTGGGGGTTGTCTTGGTTGTTTCCCCGTAACCCCTAGAACCGACCATATTTTGCCAATGTTTTTGTGGGGCCTCTCCAGTCCAGCCCAAAACCCACCAGAGTGTCCCTTTGAGAGCGAAACTTGTCCATGACCCTCCAGCCAGGTTCCATGTTTGGAGACGGGACCACCAACAAGCGTTCCCTTTTGGAAGATAATTTGTCTTGAAAGGCATTCTGTGCTTTTGCATGTTTGGTGGAATGGGAAAGGTCTTTTGGGTTAAGCTAAGTATGAGCAGAACTTGAATATGGTTGCCAAGTCTGCTTTTTGCCTGGGCTTTGTTTACGGAACCCCGAAGTCATCTGATTGGGAGCCACAAGGGGAGGCACAAACCAGTGGCTAGGGAGCGACCAGGGCCCACCACATGACGGGCACCCCAATTGACTGGTAATATTGGACGTCCCGGGCATCCGGGTAAACACGAGCCTTAGGGAAACTCAGGTTGCTGGAAACTTGCAGCCAGAGGGATTCTTGCCAGTGTCATGGAGCGACCCATCCGGGGGTAGCAGGACCTCACTCACCATGTAGGTGTTTGTTGGGGTCCAATTATTCTTGCAGGTTCTGTCTGGAATTTCTGGAGCTTGCGATGTCTTCGTTTTTGTCCGGTTGCCGAATCGGGTGTTTTATTTTTTGTGGGAGGTGTCCAGAAGTTGCTTGCCTTGCACCCTCCAGAGATCTTTTCAGGGAATTCAGGCAGAGGTTAAGGGCGCATTTGGATCCAGCATCCAGATCTATGTTGGCGTTCAGGCTTCGTTAACTCGATGAAAGCTGAATCTGACCACATCTTCGGGGGTATCCCCGTTGTGAACCCCTCTCTACCGGGCAAACAACAACAACGAGGGGCACTAATCTTTTCTCTTCTCCGGGCGCGCGCTCGCCGCTGGTCTCTCGTAGCGGGCGAGCGATTTCTGAGGTCCTCGTTGTGTGCCTTGAGCTTCGCGGAGACCTTCACGCTGGCGGGCCCTGCCTTGGCGGATTGCGTGAAGCAGTCCAGGGGCTGCCCCTTGAGCAGTGGGCGAATGGCTGGGGAAAGCGAATGGGGGTGGGTGGGGTTTGGCTCTTAGGGTTCCTCCAGGGTCTGGAACTTGGGATGTTGGGGACATTGCAACAAGCAACGGTTGCTTTGGCAATGGTTTAGACGATCAACAAACATGGGGACAGGGGTGGTGCGGCATCGGCCCAGTTGGGTTGCACGGCCCTCCCCCAGCTGGTTATAAAAGCCCAACTTGTTGAGCACGGAAAGTGAACCTACGTATATTTCCCTTAGGTCATGGGTGTCCTTTTGTCAAGGCAGAAAGTCGGAAAGCCTACCGTAGACTGGCACATGATTCCAAGAGGCCCTTGTCGCAGTTGCTGGCGCATTCCCCCACAGTTCCTGCTTGGTTTGCCCTCCATTTGCTGAAATGAATGTGTTTCTATCTTCCCTTGTTGGTCTTAAAGGGCATTTCTCACAACCCGGAGGGGGGGTGGGGGGGGGGGAAAAGCAGATGGAAGTTGCCGGGTTCCGCAAACCATACAAAGAAGCCAAGTCAATCCTACCCAAAGGGACAGAAAAAAAAAAAGCGGCCGGGGCCCAACTGGAGTGCTTCACGAACACGAAATCGGGAAAAGCGCCGCTCGATTTCTCCGCCGGGGTGCGCCCAGGGTCCACACAGCTTCACGTGATAGCCATTTGGGTTCCTGGCCCCCATTAAAAGAAAGGCAAGGACCCAACTTGGATGACAATCCTTAGGACAGCAACGGTTATATGAACCCCAATTGCTTGAATGGCGGTTTGAACCGCAGGGCCCAGTTTGCATTCAGGGGTTTCATGTCATTTTGTGGGCAACTCCAGAGCAGGTCTCCCTAGCTTCCTGCATCCCAACTGGTGCCAAGGAGATTTTGCCCATCCACAGTTGGAGTAAGCAAGTGGTCTATGGCTATGATCTTTTCAGGTATGGCCATGTTCTGTGACTACGCCAAGGACGCGACTCGTGGGCGGCAACGACATTCAGCGAGTCGTTTATTTGATGTGTGCGCGTGTGTTCTTTGTTGTGGCTGGTTGGCAAACTTCATACTTTTGGTATTAGGAGTCTTCATCATTTCAGCCAAGACATCATTGAAATGTTTTGGCCCAGCAGCTTAGTTTGGGGGGAGATGACATGTGGGATGTAGTTGGGATGACATTGTCACAAGAGGGGGTTAAGATGGGCTAAGGGGCCTGTGGACGGTGTTGGATGGTCGAACAGTTTGTGAAAAGTCGAGTCCCGTCCCAGTGCTTTGCGATGCCCAGTTTGCACATGTTTGTCTGCTCAGGAAGGAGCAGGCCCTACATAGACAGTTGAACTTGTACGTCCGATTCGGCGGGGTCCCTGCAAGCCCTTTTTGCCCATGGCTGCTTGCTTCAAGCAAGGTTGGGGGGTCTTGAAAAAGACGCCTGATCGCCAGGGAGGATCGGTGCTACTTGTTTCCACTTCATCATGGATAACCGTTCCACTTAGCAGTTGGTTCATATGTCCGCTGTATGTCAAGTGCGATTTCCCTACATATAACCCACTTAGACTTCTTCACTGGGAAAGCTAATCACTTACCACTACTAAGTACCAAGTGGGGTGTTCATTCAAGTTGGCGGGAGGTCAGCTCATAGCATTAGGCCCTTTCCTTGCTTCCTGCAGTACCTGTGCGCACAAAGAGGCTGATGGAAGGTCAAAGAGCGGAAGCCGTACTTGCACTCCGGTCCAGATTTTGAAGTGGGGCGTCACATTGCATGGAGAGCACGAGGTATTTTGCCTCAAACCACTGAACCAAAGCACAAGGGTCCCTTTTCCGAAGCAACCCTGGTTCACCATCCCCCGCTTTGCAGGACTTTGTCTCTGGCATGCAGGGCACAAAGAGCAAGTCGGGCGACCGTGACCAAAAACGCATTGCGGAAGAGTGCTGCAAGAAGAATCAGCACTACCAGGACCCCACGTCGACAGGGCACCCCCCTTTTTGGCGAGGGAAACCAAAGGGAGCCCACCCAGCCTGCTTTGTCACATACCCCTAGTTTTCCTTTCCGCGTCTTTCTTCCGCACCCAAAGCTTTCCGATTTTTTGGCGGCTTGGCTTCATCCGCCCATGATGGGCGGAGTACTTAAGGGGTGGAGGAAATGGCGGGTGATGGCGGGTGCACTTAAGAAAAAGGGGTGCTTCCAGGCACGCAGCACAAGGAGTGCCCAACACCCCAACACTCCGGGAAGGGGGCTGCCTGGCTAGCGATTTGCCATGGCCTTGATTTCAACATGACCTGGCGACTCGCAGCCAAAGCCACATTGGCCTAGCCGGGTTAGATGGGAAGCACTTCCTATCACAGGACGGTATGACCCTTTGATTGATATGTTTGGGGGTGGGTTCGAGATGGGGCACAAGCACTTGGAGGGTACACTGGTTTTCCGGTGTCTAGATTGTTGAGAGCACTGGTGACACAATCGCCACCTCTTAAACGTGGAATTGGGGGAGGGGGGGTCCATTTGTGGTTCCATTTTCCCTTTGCGGAAGACTAACGATTGGAATTGGCCCCCCACCCCCTTCCCCCTTACTCGCTTCCTGAGTTTGTGGACTTCATTTTTGGGGAAGACAATTTTGCCGGGAAACAACCAGTTTAGATTTGTTTCGGCCAATCTACTGGGGAGGTGAGTTTAAGGTAGAGAGTGCCAGGCTCCCGGCTCAGGGGGAACAAGGCCCACGAGTTTTCCGCACTGAGTAGGTTGTACAAGTCTTCCTGAGTTCTAGGACTTTAGCCTTGTGGGGAAGACGGTGGAGGACCATTTGAGCAGGGCTCCTTAAAAGACACGATCCCTACTGAGTGATAAGTAACAAGTTCGCCCTTTTTTGGGCAGCACTTGGAATTTTCAGCGTGGGAATGGCAGTCCTTTAAGTTGCCAGCAACCGGAAAGCAACGCGCTTCTAGATGCTACAAAGGCAACCAGGGGAAAACACCCAGAACACAAACTTTGAGAAGAAGCATCCTTACCTATCCCAGTTGCCCAGTGGTGCCTTTTTTCCTTTATTTTTGGGAAGGGCCCTTCAAAGTCAACCAACCAAAAAAGGATGCCAGTTTTTCCATGGCCACTGGGCGACTCTGGAAGCACTGGGAACTTGGATGCCTCGTTTCGGCCGGCCAAGATGCGGCAAATGTGTCAGGACCTGTACCCTGACCCCAAGACCCGCCTGCGGAACATTCAGATCCCCATACGCGTCTCGCTGCTCGGCGGAAGTTGTGAGTTTTTGTTATGGGCGCAGAAACGTGGCATGTGAGTGTTGGTTTATCCCAAAGAACACGACAAAGGGGATGTGGTGTTTTTTCCGGACCCCAATTTATTGGCACCTAGTTTTGCTTGTTCAAGACCGCAAAACATAAATGAGCCAAGGGAAATAGGTTTGTTGCCCATCGGTGGGAGCAGCCCACTATTGCTTCAATCTATGCAGACCAAGTGTAGTCCGGCAGAGCTGGTATCCAGACGGTACGCTCCAAATATTGGACCCCAAAATGACCAGTTCCATTTGACTTGCCCGTTAAAGCCACTCCAAAAAGGCAGGGTGCCGCAAAAACAAAGAAAGATGCACCCGTTCAGCAGTGCACGGCATTGGCTTCAGAGTGGCTAAGTTAGTAAGGCTTAACCACGTTCCCCAGGGTCGGTCTGCCTCCCTGATGAAATTGATCATTTTTTGTTGGAGGCCCAATGTGTTTGGGATGTTTTGAGGGCCTTTGTTTTCATGGCCGCTCTTTGGTGTGACTCAGATTCCTTAGACCTTTGGACGCAATTTTCCATTAACTCACTCCCTGAGTTCCCGGACTTTCAGCTTTTTGGGAAGACTATTTTGGTGGTGAGTAAGAAGTTCTGGGGATATCGAAGCTGTCATTTTTTCGGGACCATTTGACAAGTCCCTTGACCTAGCTGCCCATGGCAAGGCCGGACAAGAAACGGGTGCCAAATGTGCAGTCTAGAAAACCCAAAGTACACATGTTATTTTCATGTGCCATGGCCATGATAATTATACATGAGGAGCTTTACGTCCACCCGGAGGAGGGTCCGGTGCTTTTTACAGGTGGTGTTTCTCCCTTGGCGGGTAAATGGAAAAGCGCACTGCTTGCGTGTCACTGATGTCCAGGGCTGATGGAGATTTCAGCTTGATCTGTTTCTTGGGGACCCCATCGCCCCCCGAAAAGGGCGGTTTCCTTGACCAGCAACCCCAAAACAGGATGCTCTCAAAAGCCACGTTCCGACGCAGCCAAGCATATGTCTGGCTGCCTGGGGTCTGGTTGGTAACCATGAACGTAACTGAGCAGAAAATCCGGGTCTTTCAAGTCATTGGGACTTATGGTAAAATCCGAGAAATGACCGGGAGAAGGAAGTCATCGGCATTCATTTATTGAAAATCAGAGAAATTTCCGGGGGAAGGGGAAAGCCGAGAAATGACCTGGGGACGGAGTACCCGTGATTACGTGGACCACTTTCCTGGCGCACCGACACCATCGCTTGAGGCGTCAGTCGAGCAACGGAAGCGCCATCGGCGGGGTGGAGTCGCCGGGGGAAGGGCTGGTGAAGCAACAGACGATGCCGGCGCCGATCCGGAGATCCAGCGATTCCAGGCAGGTGGCACCCTTTTGAGGGTATCTAGGTCCCCCAGTAGTGCCCTTTTGCCGTTTCCTTTTTGGGGGAGGGTTCCCTATTAAAATAGGCTACAACAAAAGGGTACCCTTATTCTAACCTCGATACTGGACGACCTAGGTATGTTGTTGGGAAACAAAGCGTGGCAGCGAGGCGTTTTTGGCTTGACCCTGCTTGTGGCTCCCAAGTGGCAACGCTTTCCGATGGCTCCCTTTCAAAAACACATGGAAGATGGGGTCATGGTTGTTGTTGGGAAACATGTTTTGCATGTTTGCTCATTCTGGCTTAGTGATTGAAATTCCAACATAAGTGCAAAAAAACAATTCTATGCTCCCCTTCCAACGTCAACCAAGTTGAGGGTATGTTGGCACAAACCATTCATTCGAGACTCGGCCCTTTCAGAGCGCAAATCTGAACAAGTCTTGCAACGGCAAGTCGGAGTGTATTTCCGGTGCTAATCTGAGTAGCAGTGTTGACTCGTCGAAAAGGAGTTACGAAGTTTTGTTGCCAGGTGCATTGAAGTGAGCCATGCTTTGGGGAAGGATCCCGGAAGCAAACAATGCAGAAAGCTCAAACTCAAAGGCTTTCGGAAAACCGTGGAAGGAGGCAGCCCAAGCAGTGGTTGGTTCCCTCTTCGTTTGTGTTTCTTGCTTAAGGCTTACTGTTCAGTTTCGGGGAACTCCTCCTGAGCGGCCCACTTAACGAATTAATCCGGAGGACCGTACTGAGAGCCAGTTCCTTTAACTGAAGTATTTTGGTTTGCTTTGTCCAGTAGGATCCTTCGAAATAATCCAAAACCGGAGCCAATAGATGGAAAGGTCTTGCTCCAGGCAACTGCACTTGTCTCCAAATGGGTTTGTCTCCAACGAGGTGTGAGGCTCTGGACTCTAGTGACTTTTTGGGAAGACCATTTCGCTGGTAAAAGGTTCAGGCCTTTCTTGGCCAATCTACTCAGGAAGTGAGTAATTGAGGGACCCCCTAAAATGGGTGGTTTGCTTTTGGCGCCATTTTGAAAACCGACCAAAAGGGCCCCCGCAGAAACCATAAAACAACACCCAACTCACGCAAGTTTGCAAGACAAGAGCCATTTCTCCATTCGAAGCAGCGGGAGCTCGACGCCTGAATCCGATTCATGCCTCCATGTCCCCTTTTGGGAGGGTCCCTAGGATGCATTTGGGACTGATTTAGAGGACGCCCTTGCAAAGGTGGTTTTTGGATGCCGTTGAGCCGTGCTCTGGGGACTGCATAGAGTCTCTCATCAATTGGAAGGCCCGCCCAATTTGCGTCAAATCACTATGGCGCACTGAGGAACCACCCCGAATAGCAGGTAAACAAAATAATCAAAACACAAAAAAATAATACAATTTGGCAACAAATCCACCACCTCACCTGGTCCAAGGAGCTCACGGTGCAAAGCTTGACCTGGCGGATTCCTAAATCCCTGTCGAATCTTCTTGACCTGGGCAGCGGTTGCTTTCGGTTGCCAAACAAATCTTGCTGGCTCCCAGCCATCCGGTTCCTTAGCTTTTTAGACCAGGTCCCCCAGTAGCGCCCTTTTGCCGTTTCTTTTTTGGGGGAGGGTTCCGGTACTAAAATAGGCTACAGAAAAAAAAAAGGGCACCCTTATTCTAACCTCTCTACTGGAGGACCTACTGGAGTAGATCTTTTTAGGGTTTAGTGGGTGGATTTCCATTTGGGATCTGAGGCCCAGAAATGTGGGTTTCCCATCGTTTTCTTCCGCAAGCCAACCGAAAAGTCGGGTCGCCGCAAACGGACCGCATGAAACTGCCGGAAGGCCGAATTCAGGCAAGGCCAATCAAGAAGTTTCTACTTAACTAAGCCAGTTGAACCTTCTTGGCGGTTCCCAGCCATCCGGTAGCTTTGTAGGTATTTAGTTGGTTTAGTGGTTGGGTTTCCATTTAACCCACCAAACATGGTTGTCGTTGGGACATATGTTTTACATTTTTGCTTCTTGTGGTTTAGTGGTTGCAATCCCCACTCAACTGCTATTTATTTTTATTTTTTTGCTCCCCTTCCAACGCCAACCAAGTAAAAGTGAGTCACCTTGAGCGGGGGATATCTGAGCTTTGGGCCTTCAAGGTCCCTTCCATGAAGCCAGGAGGGTAGCTGGTAGGAGGTCATGTTCATACACTTGGCGGTTCCCAGCCATCCGGTTCCTCAGCCTTTTAGACTTGTAGACTTTTAGTGTTTAGTGGTAGTTTCCACTTAACCCACTAAAGGTGAACAACTTTTGGCGGGGGATATAGTTTCTTTGCTGGTTTGGGTTTCTATGGCTCGGAATCAGTATCTGAGACTAGGCAACTACAGGCAAACCGCTGGCCTGTTTTGCTCCCAGGCGGTCCAACGAGTCCATCAAGTCGGTTCACTTTAAGGATCAGGACGAGGATCGACGCGTTGAATCGATCGACGACTTGGATGCGGAGTTTCTGGCAAGATTCCCCTGTTATGTTAAACAAGTACTCAAACAGTACCAAATGAAGGCCACCGGAAAGAACAAGTGGAATCCGCAAGAGGCCCAAATGTTGATCGCTTTCGAGATTGAGTGGGTTCGCACAAATCCGTTCTAAACAATTGGAATGGGAAAAAGGGGTGCTTGAACCCCAAATGAAGTTATGGCTAGAGGGACAACATGTTAGTTGTGTTCCAGCCCCTCATGTCACACGTTGTTGTTTTTTTTTTTTGGTTTTTTTTTTTTCCGTCTTCCACTTCTTGGTTACGTGTGTTTGTGTGTTCTTCCTGCTTCTGGCTACATGTCTAATAGTCTTTGCTGTTTTTTTCTCCCGAACATTGGAGCCAGCCGAAAGATGGTGTTGGATCTGACGGTGGTGTGTTTAGCTCGGTTTCTGAAAGCCGGTGTGAAGTTGCATCATGTCCGATCCATAGTGAGGATGGTTGCGAAATCCATCTCGCACCACGTTGAATCCATGGTTGAAACCAGTATTTGCTGGTATTTCCGGGGGGGAAGTATCCTTCCGGGGTTTCTTGGGTGCAGGATTTTGTCCATCCACAGTAGTGAGGTTCTGAGATGTTTTCTCAGCATGATGTTTGCTGCTACAACCGTTCAACCCTGAACGAATTGGTGACTGGGCAGGTTCTCCTATCACACACCCGTGAAAAGGCCCCCAAATACCACACACACCCAACACGCACCTCCTTGCGAAAGACTAAAATCGACCATTTGTTGGAGCTGTGTTTGGGGGGTAGGACAAGTTCTATGATCCCAGCCTTCCCCCCCCCCCCCGCCGCATTTTGTTTCTAGTTCTATTATTGGCCCCCTCCCCGAACCCCTCCGCAAGCCCTCCCCAAGCCCCCCCTCCCCCACCTCTTCCCCCCGCCCACCCCGGCCCCCCTTTTTCGTGTTTTCTGCTTGCAGGTCGTGAGCAACTCCTTGAGCGACACCATGACGCGCTTCCGGCCGGCCGCCCTGGAGCCCGTGGACCCGGGCCTGGACCTCTGGCTGAAGAGTCTGCGGGGCACCGCGTTGGACGGCTCCGGCCTGGCCAGTAACCTGCAGGACGCACAAGCGCGGACGCGGACGCGGACGCCTCCCATGTTGTGGGTGGCGATCCGTCTCTTTTTGGAGTTTTTGTTTCTTCTTTTTTTTTTGGGGGGGGGGTTCGAAGGAAAAGAAGATTGGAAAAAAAAAAACCGAAGCCATTTTGAGGTCCAAGTTCAAAAAAAGCAAAGACACGCAGAGGGTGTCCTTCATTTCCCTTGAGGGGAACAACCTGGCGTGGCGATTGTTTCCCTGGAAGCCAGTCAAATTGCGATATCGAAGAAATCAGTGACCCCGGACCCCCAAAGTCGAGTGCAGCAAAAAAGGGAGAGAGTTTTGGAGACGAGGTCCATTTAACTCACTTGCCCAAAGCGAATCGGCCAGACCTGACCTCTGGTTTCCCCATTTTGGCAACCATTTTCTGTAAAGGTCCCAAAAAGTTAACCTTTGATTTGCAGGTCCTTTGGGCAGAGTTATGGACACTAAAAAGGCGTTGGCTCAGGTTGCTTGTACGCAGGCATGCAGGCACCCATACCTCCAAAACTACGTGGACATGTCCTTGAAAAGACGGTTATACAAAGGTGGCCGCTGCCCGACAAGCACCCCATTTTTGTGTTTAGTTATATATATATATATATATGTATTCAACCACTGGTCGCTATATAGAGGGTATGTTCGTCCTTTGTTCGGGGTTGTATGTTCCTTATTCTTACACCCCCGGAAACAGGGGGTGCAACCCAGGTGCTTCTTGTTTGTGCTATTTGGGTACACGCGTTTTTTAAAATAAGGGAACCACCATTTTGAGGGGTGGTTTGAAAGAGACTCAGCCAAGTATATACACTATATATATATACATATATTTACATGTAAATAACCTTACCCCCCAGGTTTGTTGGTTGCCTGTTTGGTCGCCTTGGTTGGCTGGGGCCCTGGTTTGCTTTTGTTTGGACGCTGTCCCTTGGTTTCTGAGGCAACTGGGGTTCCAATTCTCCAAACCACATCCAGAGTCCCGTGGAGTTGGAACCCTGAACCGAATCCAACTGGATTCTTGATCCCGGTCTGCTTTGCCTGGGGAGCTCATGTGTTTATCTTATGACTTGCTCGGGAGGGGGGGAATTTGTGAGGTTCGTGTTTGTTAGTTTTATGGCGCCTTTTTGTGGCATCTCGGAAATTCACTGTGCTTTGTTGGTTTGATGTGCTTGTTGGTCTTCGGTTCCCTTCTTCCCTTCACCTACTTTGGTCTCCCAAGATAACCCACCCCCCAAGTTAATGCAAACCATCTCTTTTGGACCCATAAAACCCCCTCCGATGAATAGGGATGTGTCACCCACCATAGTGACATCCGGATTCCCACTGAACATTGGGGACATCCTTTCTCATAATGAACCACAACTCCATGAGTTTCTTCCCATTTGTCCATTCTTAAATTAACCAAGGGCTTATGAATTTCCGGGGTCCACATCACAGCAGCAGGCGTTTTGTGACCCAAAAAAATCCACCAGGACCTCTTGCCGGAGTTGCACCCGGAGCACTCCCCCCATTTGGTCTTCGAGCAGGCACCCGCCTGCGATGGGAGTTCAAGCGGAAAATACTGTGGGTTGCGAAATCCTCACAGGCACCACCCAAGAACCACCGGTTTCGGATGATTCCCCCCGTAAATAAAAAGCAAATACTGGTTTCCCATGGTGCAGGATCTTGTCCATCCACAGTACCTCTCGCGCGAGCCAAATGAGTCCACTTGCTCAAAACCGATTCGGGTAGATATTAAGGTTAGGGAGATTCCCAAGAATGGGTGCGGATTTTCCGCCTTGATTGTTCTTTATATGGTTAGACCATTTGAGTACCAGGTTTTGAGTGTGACTCGAATCATTTATCTTTGCCTTTTTGTTGTCTCAGTTGCAGGCCCAAAACCTACAAGACACGCATTGACCTGAAGCGATGGGCGAGAAAGACCTTGACCACACCCATCAAAAAGTGAAATGTCCATCTTTCATTTGCCGCCCCCAACCAAAAATGGTCGCCCAAGCCTTAGGATCAGTTCCTGAGTTTCTGGACTCACTTTTTTGGGGTTGGACCATTTTTGCTGGTAAACACACAGTTTGGACTTCCGGCCAATCGACTCAGATCACCGCAACGTATTTGCGTTGCCCTCCGAAGGCCGAAGGCAGCCCAAACCCAAGAGGGGCGAAGAGCAGCCGGTAGGGTCTATTTTTGGGGCGAATATCACAGCGACGTGAGTCTTGCAAATGCAGTCAGCCAAGTAGAATCGGGGGTGTCTGAGGTGTTCACGTGGATGTGTTGACTGGGGGAGGGAAGATGTATCGGGCCATTCCAGTGCGGGGGTTCCTTCTGCGAAGGGCCCCTGAGAACCACAGGAGTTGTTTTTGCTCCAGGCTCCAGAGCGTGATCGGGCGGAGTCCAGCTGTATCTCCATCCTGGCGCTGCTGAAGGTGCGAACCGCCGCGTTTCATCGGGGGGTTTTGTGAAAATGAGTCTGTCTGGCACCCAACTTGCTAGTGGCAAAGGGCAAACCAACAGGAAACCCAGGCAGGATCCCTAAAGGAAAACACATACATCTTTCGGAGGGCACACCCAAATGGTGGACCCCCCTTCTGGCGTCCCTTCATATGGTAAGTCGGATGTGCGGTCTAAAACTTGGAGCAACGGCGGGGTTGAAGGCCAAAGAAACCAGAAGCCCCCTGCGTTTGCAGGGAAGACGGTGTTTTGGTAGGCGGCAACTCTCTTGTTTTTGTTTACTGGCTCCCTTGGTTGGAGTGTAGTCTTCCAAAGCCCTTCCCCTCCAGGTTTTCAGGAACCGCCTTTTCCCAATGGAATTTAGCATTTTGTGGCTTGCGGCAACCCATCAGGGAAATGGGGAGTCACGAGGCTCAATCTTGACCAAACAATTCATCAATCGCAGTCAGGGGAAAACGAGCTCAGCCATAAAGATTCTTGGCTTGGAGATCCCTTGTTTCACTCAGTTGCCCAAAGACGACCTTTTAACCTTTTGGTTTTCCAGTTTTGGTCCATTTTTAGTCTGGCCCCAAAAGGTTAACCTTTTATTTCTGGGTCCTTTGGGCAAGTGAGTTCAGGTGCTCGATTTACATGTAGAATTTTGCACACCAATAGACGATATTTTTCAAGTGGTTTGGGTTCCTTTGGCTTCAATTCAAATTTATCCTGACCAGAAAGGGGGGTTCACCCAGCGACCGAAGCCAATCTCTGGAACCCAAATCCGCAGTGTTGTGCTTCTGGGTTACAGGGAGGTATGTATGGAATCCTGCAGAGATTTGAAGGGATATACCCTCCTATGGAACCCACCAGAGGGTCCCTTGTAAAAGGAAAACGGTCCAAACCAGGACCCCAAAAATGGCCGGTTGCAGTGGACCAGAGGGTACACCTCGTACAAGGACGACTTTCCGGTAATCGACTTTTGCATTCACAGGACCGCTACGACATCTTCACCCAGCCACAGCCGCCCAACGTGAAGCTCAAAGACGAGCAGTGGACGGAACTCCAGGACGGGGTGGGGGGGAAAGGCGGGGGGAGGCGTGCCTTGCAGATATGCATTTGGTTTTAGCCAATCGCATTTGTTTGACAAGCTCGTTCCACCAAACCGAAGGAAGACAACTTGCTTGGGGCTGAGCCACCTCCAAGCTGATTTCGCCCGGCCGGAATCACCGGTTGGAAAGGCGCAGTTTGGGAGCAGCTTGGGTTGTTCAAACTCGACCTCTTCCATGTGCTTATGAGAATATGTGTTAGTTTCCTTGTTGGTTTTAAATTGAATCGATCACTACTGGATATTTTGTTTTTTTGAAGGCATCCTTATGCCAGAGGGATGTCCTTGGCTTGTTGGATGTGAGCAGTTGTGTAGGCAGTTACACGTTGAAGGAATTAGACATCAAGCCATCATTCCCCCCCATAGGGGCTACGAAGATGTTGATCAATCTTCCGCCTTTCTGGGTGCTCATACAAGTTGGCTGTGAGGGGTGACCTCCTCGACTCGCGGGGCCGAAACCCGTGTGAGCAACTGCTGAAGGCCACTCTAGTCACGACGAATCGCCTGAGCCTTTCCATGGAACCCAGCTGTGGTTGTTGTTGGGATTACATGTTTGCTTATTGTGGTTTAGTGGTTGAAATCCCCACTGAACTGCTAAAATTTAAATTGTTGCTCCCCTTTCAACGTCAACCAAGCTGTGGCTTGCTCCTTTCCATGTGGGAAGTCCTATCCTCCAAATCCGCCATGGAGTTCAATTCCGCCCCGCGGCTTTCTGAGAGGCGCTGGACAAGTGAAGATTTTGTGAAGGTTCTCAGAATCACTGGAAAGTGGTTCTCAGCTGTTCAAATCCGACCTTTTGACCGTTTGGTGTTTTCGTCAAGGCCCTAAAAGGTTAACCTTGTAGTTCTGGGTCCTTTGGGCAAGTGAGGCTTTCCTTGAAACCCATAATGTTGAGAGTAGTTTGAGTCCGTCACCCCTGCCCAGCTTCAACAGCTATTCACCTTGAGGGTGTCCTGTTTTGGCCGTTTTCCGGATTCTGCTCCGACCTTTGAATGATTTGCTTTGTGGGACGCACAGAAGTTCGGGGTAAAACGACATCGATTGAAGGCCCGTTTCTGAGGGGGGTTCCCTTTTCCAGTTTGGCAAGTTGAGAATTTTTGCCCATGGATTTCCCGACAAATTGGGGTCTAGGGCGCCCTGGTCAGGGAAAACACTTCAAAGGGTAGACTGAAATGATGCTGTGGATGGACGAAATCCTGCACCACCTTGAAGCCAATCGAAACCATTGTTCGTCGAGTACTTGCAGGCGAATCATCATTCCAGGGTTTTTAGAAGATGCATGATTTCGTCCATCCACAGTATGATACCGGATCTGAACAGCATTTTGTTGTTGGATGTAACCCAGGGTCAGGAGATTGGAATGGGGCGCCGTTGAGATGTTGGCCAAGTCGGCGGCAGGAGTTGATGACTTGGATCGATGCTTGGCCGGCACGCCCCGGGCAGGACGCATCAGGCGAGTGGTTGCCATGGTCATGCTCAGGGGACCTACAGATGGGCCTGACTTTTGTAGAAGTCCTCCCTCAACCCAAGTACCAGTGCCTACCAGGGATACACTACTTAACACGTCCGTGTTAATTGGTGGAATGGCACTGCCCCTCATGTGTTTCTGCCGGTAGATTGTTTTTTGTTGGACCGAAGAGGTCACCGGCTCCAAACAAGTTTCCAGACGGAATCAGCCAACCAATCAGGCATAGCTGTTCTTTTTAGAAATAGACGATGGCGCTGGCTTAGATAGGTTTCATTCCATTTACCAGGACCATCTAAATTCACAAAAGGACACCTATGCAATCAGGGTTCCACTACTTTATACTGTATACCCGGGTCATCGGTCAGCCAGGTTCTTTAGTGGGCTTGGGTGGTCGGCAACTTTTTGTGTTTCTCCTAGGAAACCTATGCAACTACACACTTCGAATGGTGGGTTCCGGGTTCCCCAGTGGAGTCAACGCCTAAAAGGTGTCTGAACTGCCGGGGTCATTGGCTGCGACGTCAGCCTTTCCCAATATAGGTAGAGTATACGGAGGTACCTACCAAATGGCCTCTTTCAATACGCTTGCCATTTGGTAAATGGAATCTTTTCGGTATTGGGGGTGTCTGCCTCAAAATGCTGGACCGCCATTCAGGGAAACCCAAACGAAGCAACGAGCCTCATGATCTTGGTGGCTCCCAGCCATCCCCTTAGCCTTTTAGCTTGTTGGCTTTTTAGTAAACTTTTTAGTGGTAGTTTCCATTTCACCCACTAACATTTAAGCTTTTAGCGGGGGATCTGATGATGCAAAGGGGGGGATCCTAAGGATCCCGACCTGGAGCAGGTGCACGCGGTGCTTGCGCCTTGGCCGGAAAAAGTTTCTTCGCTTCTTCCCCGTTGCAGTAGAGAGCAAATGAGCCACAATCACAACACGGGTAGATGAAGGTTAGTAAGGGACAAGCCCAACCACAAATAGCAGCGGCCGCCTTCTTAATTCTTTACATGATTCTGGGTAGACCATTTTAATACCGGGCTTGATTTTCACTTAACTGGTTGTGTCCATTCGCTTTTGAGGGCACCGAGTTGTTTGGCCTCCAAAAGGGAAGCTCGTTCGGGGAGTTTCCTCAAGCGAGAAAGCTAGTGGACAAGATTGGTCGATTCGACCAACGAACAAGAAATCGGAAGCCTCCAGGTTCCACAAGTGAGAGCCGCCATGTTGAGGGAGAACAGATCTACGCACAAGCACATTGGTTTGTGAATCTGTCTGTGCATACTAGGCTATATTTATGTGTATAGATAAAAAACAAATCATGTCTCCAAAACTTTAACACATGCATATGTAGATATATGCGGATCCATTTCGGTCATATGTCTCTTGTTGCTTCTAATGGGAATCTGTCACTACTGACAGATGTTGTCTATATGTCTTCCTGGGGGCACGTTCCATGAAACCGCTAAACGGCGAGAACCTCGCAGCCGTCGCAACCCCCCAAAGCGCCAACCACATCGCGGCTTTGGGATGCGGATCGAAGCTCACGCACGACCTGGTCAGAAGCTCCAAGTTCGCAAGAGAAAGGCGCGAGGCGCAGCAAGTCATGTCCTTTGAACACAACATATTTCGTCCCACCAAAACAAAAAAACGCAGACAATCAGACAGGCAGACAGAGAGAGACATACAGCCAGATAGAGACACAGACAGAGACAGACAGTCAGATAGAGAGACAGACAGAGACAGACAGTCAGATAGAGAGACAGACAGAGACAGACAGTCAGATAGAGAGACAGACAGAGACAGACAGTCAGATAGAGAGACAGACAGATAGAGACAGACGGACAGAGACAGACAGAGACAGACAGACAGAGACAGACAGACAGAGACAGACAGACAGAGAGACAGACAACCCGACAGCAAACAACCAACAATCAATCAAGCAAATAAATACAGGCAAGCAAGCAACCAAGCAAACAAGTAGGTAGGCAACCGGGCAACCAAACAACAGGCAACCAGCCAAACGGTCAAGCAAACAAACAAACAAACAAACAAACAAACAAACAAACAAACAAACAAACAAGCAAGCACAACAACAAGAAGAACAAACACCACCTTTCTTTTTCCTTCAAGGGTACCCACAGGAAGACAGCATTTTGAGGGTGCCCTAATCTTGCTGCTGCTCAGGGAATGATCAAGTCGGGGTTTTGGGGATTCCCTCACCTCAACGGGAGCCTCTTTTTTTTGCTTGGGGCCAACCGCTTTCTTATTCCCCGATCATTGCCGGTGAAACCACAATTTTTGTTTGTTCTTGAGTAGTTACCGCTGTTTTTGTGTCGCTTACGGGCACGCCCACCGGAAGATCAGCTTTTTTGCGGCCCTAAAACACAACATGGGTGTATTTCTTCTCAGCACCTCTTTCATTGAGCGGTTTCTCAAAAAATGGGAAGCCGACCGGATAGACCAACGTCTTTGTGGCCCCAAAACTTGGGTCATCATGTTGACCCTTTGTTTTGGTATCAAAGTCAGACATTGGAGTAACTTCCATTTAACCTACCACTTGGGGGGTGACTTTGATCCTGGTAGAATCATGGGGCCAGCAAAAGACTCCCCCAATTTTTAAATGGTCATGGAGTCATAGGGGCTGGGGGGGAGGGAGGGGAGGGGGAGGGAGCCCAAGAAAACCCTGGCCTTATTTAGGGCTTATTTGGGCTTCCTGCCCCTCCCTCCCCCCCCGGCCCCCATAATGGAGACTCCAGGAACATGTGGCCCAAGACCCCCCCTGTGCCATGGATTCGCCGAGGTGGTGCTGGCGATCCGCGCCCTCGGGAAGTCCAAGGCGGTGCTGCAGCAGATGCCCCGCACGATGCGCCGCCCCGAGCGGGCGGTGCTGCAGCTCATGGACAGCCACCCGGCCGAGAGAGACGCGTCTTTTTGTGGTTGGCCCGTTTTTGTTTCTCCGTGGAGTCTCCATGGCCCTTTAAAAATGGGTCATTACCCCAAAGAAAGAGGTCATGGACCCATTTGTAAAGGGTCATGGAGTCTCCAGGTCCGTCTTTCATGGATGCCAGGAGTTCGAGACGGTTTGTGTTGCCCTTTTTTTTTTTTGGCTTTTCGCGGATGCCATGCGGGGTGTTTGACTCATGGGGGAACCTCTCCAATCTCCAATCTTCACTCTCCACTCTCCCACCCACTCATTGGCAGAACCGACGGCGATGCGGTTTTGGGCGCTCGGGTCGAACTCAATCTTTCCTGTACCTTGGCTGCGAAAGGGGTCGTTGCAATGGTTTTCCACTCGGGTTTGGCCGAGACTCCATTTTGAACAGCGCAGCCAAGGGCATTTTCAGACTTTCAGGGTACTGGAGGTATGCATGAGGTATGCATGATGCACATGGTGGATGGAAAGTCCTGGTGGTTTCTCCGAGTAAATAGTGCCTCATCCATCGCAAATACCCGATGTTATCCAGCCACGGTAGGATCCCCAAAAGTGGCCGCAAAGCGAATCCACAACATTTCTGTAGCAGTGAATCAAGGGAGCCACCCTTTCGACAAGGAGAAAATGGCTGCAAAACCTACCAGAAGGTTTGCTGCGATTTTACATCCTTGACTCAAATAAATGCTGGCAGAAAGGATATACATTCTGGGTTCAGGGTTGAACGTGACCAAGGTGCAGAACTTAATAAAGGGAACCACCCTGTACAAAAATGAAATGGCAGTTTCAACCCACCGTCCTACACAACATCGTAATCGTTTTTTTTTTTTTCCCGGCAGTTTCTGTCAGGAAGATGCAGATCCCTGAAGGCGGAAGTTGTCCCCTAAGAGAAGGTGTTTTTTTTTGTGTTTGTTTTTGCTCGGGTTTCCCCTTCAAAATCAACCAACCCCCAAAAGGGGAGTCCCTTTTGTCGTGTTTTGGCATTGGAAGGTTGGGGCGTTCCGACGAGCATAATACATGTGGGTATATGTGGATATATATATATATATATCCATAATATATATATATGTATTAGATATATATATATATATATGTGTGTCTGGACATATTTATTCATAACGCACAATGACGTTGCCTTGAGGGCGCCACTGTCCAAGCTTTCAGTATTAACCAGTAGTAGCTCGGGTTGGGCTTTTCTGGCCAAACAAAGGTGTGACTTCCCCTTTTTCGGCTCCAACCAATACCTGGAATGATTGAAGGACCCCGAAAAAGACTTTGTTGGGCTTGTCCCACCGACGCGACCCAGGCGCTCTTGTAGAGGAAAGTCGCCTTGGCTTTTTAATTTACCTCACTGTTAGAAGGTCTCATTTGCCCAAAGCTCACCTTTCACCTTTTGGTTTCCCTTGGTCAACGCGCAGTCAAGGTTCCAACAGGTTAACTGTTAACCTTTTTTTAAGGTCCCGTGGGCAGGTGCGAATCTCGTATCTTAAAGGCAGCCCTGCCCAGTGTTATAGGATTTCACCCGGTTCCATCTCGCCCTCGAGCGAAGTCCTCGCAACATCTGTCGTGTGGCCCCGCGGTGTTTTTTTTGTTGGCGCCCGGGACCCCATAAACCACCAAAAACCATCCTGGCCCTACTCTGGCCTGTTCTTAATGCAATGCCTTTTGTTTTCCCTTGTCGGTTTTAAAGGGAATCTATCACTACTGGAAACGTGGGTTTAATCCAGTGGGCAGAAACACAAATGTTTAGAGGGTCCAAGTACCTTCTAAGGAGGTACTTAGACCCCTTTTTACCCCCCAACAGCCATCCTCAGGTACTTGGGATGGTAAGGTTCAAGTGGTACAACCTGAAACCCACTGTGTGGCCCGCTGTGTGGCTCGACCTCAGCTGTGAGGCGAGAGGAATGTGGTGCCCTCGGTGCTTTGGCTCTCCCCGCGCAGCTTGCAGGGGCCTCAGAACCGCAGAAAAGCCTCAGATCGGTGGGGGAAATTTCTCGAATCCCTCCAGCACGGCACCATGCGAGTGTCAGGGATGGGGGGGGGGAGGTTTTTGGGGTTGCTAGGGTTGGTTAGCCCTTGCTTTCACCATGGTTCCACCATTTTGGTGTCATCTGGAAGATCATTTGCTGGTTCGATAGGCAGGGAATGAGAAATGGAAGGACCCCTAAAAACAGTGCCCTATGGTTTTGAAGTGAATCCATACAGAATCCTTAGGTTCATTCCCACCATCTACGTCATTTTCTGCCTATGCGCACCAGCCAGCTTTTTTCTTGCGGGGCTGCCGGGTGGGATGGTGGCATCTTTGTAGAAGGGGGAGTTGGTAGAGTTGGGCTCATGAACCCCTGTAAAGATGGAAGCAGTTGCAAGCACTGCAACGGTTCCTAAGGCAGCCATGAAAACGTATCCAATGAAAAAGCCCAAGGCTGTTTGTTAAAGGCTGAGACTTAAACAGCACTCCATTTTGCAACCAGCCTTGACTTGAGGACCTTCATCGAAGATGCGCTCGCTGTGCATGAGCTCTTCAACCTCGCTCAGATGTTGCCACTTCGCTCGAACTTTCTTTTTGGTGCGGACGGCAGCCTGTGGGGCAAAACCAACGGTACCATTTCGGGGTCGGTGCACCACCCATTTTAGAACCTATTTTAGTGGTGATTGGGATGTTCACTGGGGGTACGGGGTTTTGACCCATGGCCAAGTCACCCAAACGCCCGGTGTTGGTATGCCAGTTTCAACTCGACAGGCGGGGTTTCCCGTGGCCGAATATGCCGTGGCTTTCTGTGGCTTTCCGCGCCATGCCTCAACAGAACCAGGTAAAGTTCTGAGCCAGTGGATCGATCTACCCTCAATTCAATGGGACTCAGCCAATTGAATTGGACACGCCAAATCACTCGAGTCCAGTTTTTTGTGCAGACTCCATCGCTGCATGGCAGGCACATTTCCTGGCTTTCCAACTTGGACCCAATCATCACCAAAACTTCTGGGTCTCGGCAGCTTTCATAGCACAGCCCAATGAATTCGTGACCTCGAGTAAGAACCTGTTGCGTGTGCAGAATGAATCGGACACAGATATTCTGTTACTATCGTTGGCCTAAGTCGTGAAGCCCATTCTACACAGCGAGCTGCTCTTAGTGGCAGGGGCGTTTTTGTTAGCTCCGCGGAGAGTTGGGTGGTTTACCAGGGCTTCTTAAAAGATACATTTTGCCCATTTGAAACATGGCTTGTTCCACCAAAATAAAGGGACACCACCATTTCCCAAGCAATGTTCAGGTGTAGTCTGTGAGGATTCCTGTTTACTTGGTCTTCGGTGTTTTGTTTGGGTTCCCGACTCAAGTGGACTCAACAGTTAAAGGGGGTCACTTACCTGCTAGCTGGGTGGGTTAGGCTGCGGGTCCCTGGGTGCATACCTCCATACAGCTTGGCAACGTGGCAATAGATAGGTTTCTAGGCCCCCCAGTAGTGCCTTTGACCCCTTTTTTGGTTGGGAGGGTTCCCCTATTCAAACAGAGTACAGAAAAAAGTTGGATATTCTAACCTCTCTACTAGAGGACCTAGGATAGGTTTCGTTCTCTTTTCCCCCCCAAACGACCGAGGCAAGGGGAGAATCTGCCGGCCAACGTCGCCCAGCTCCGGGACTGTATCGCGGAAAAAGGCGGCGAGACGTGACCGTTCGACGGCTTCGCCGCGGGTCGCGGTTCGCAGAGGGTGCAAGAATGTGTAACAGGAGTCCGGCGTCCCTCAAATCCACCTGTGGACCTTTCAATAGTGTTGGGCTGTTTTGAGTCAAGGTACCAAAAGGTTAAGCTTGTCTTTCCAGGTACTTTAGGGGAAGTGAGGAATTCAACAGGCTGTTTCAGCAGCAACCCCCCCATTTAGCCTCAGAACAGCGCTGAACACTGCGATGCTCATTGCAGTTCAGCAGTTGTTTGCTTGGTTAGCTAAGTTTACGTTAGCTACAAGTTTGTGGGACCCCATGCAGTCCAAGACGTGTTTCAATTTGCAACCTCATTGGGAGGCGATTTCAGCTCCGGTGCCCGCTATCCGCACAAAATCTTCATTCGGTGTCGCGAGTCTGTCTTGTTTGCGCTTCAGATGACCAATCCACTCAAGTGAGCCGGCTGAAATCCATAGCATCTCTATCCCGGATCCTTAAAAGGCTAACCGTCATGAGTTTAACTGAAGTGGGTTGCGATGCGCACCCATGGAATCAGCTGAAGTCATCTCCGTGCATCCCCAAAAGGCGCATCCATGGGAGTGGGTTTGTGCACGAGAGGCCAAGACGTGTTTCGGTTTTACATCCTCTTCTTGCTGGGCTTCATGAGCGGCATTGCGGCGGGACAAGGCTCGCGCTTCATGAACGGCAAGCGCCCGGGCGAAGGAATTTCGTGGGTCCGCGGCAGCTGGGAGGCAGTGGGGCCAATTGAAGCAAAAGGGGGGGGCCGTGCCCATGTGGAAGCCATCTTTCTGTTTTTTTTTTTTTTGGGGGGGGGTTTTGGGGGGGGGGGTTTGGGGGTTTTGGGTGGTTTTGGGGTTTTGGTCTTGGGGGAAGAGGATCGATCGCCCATTGGGTGGTTTACCGCGAGAGACAAACTCAAATACCATGTGCCGCCATTTGTTTTTTGGATGAGGCCCCTTAAAGTGGTTGCATTTTGAGGGGTTTGCAAACCTACTGTTGGAGGTGGTTTGGGGCCCCGAGAAAATCAGCACTTTTTCTGGGTTTTAAAGGGAAGCCAGGACGAGAATCACCAGGTGAGTGGGTCCCCTGTTTTCCTGGAAGCTTTCCTACTTGAAGGATGTCTGCCACTTGAATGGACGCAGATTGCCCTCGGGTCCATTTCCACCGGCCGTCTTAGGCTCGGCAGGCCTCGGCTCGTCTACCCCGGTTTTTCCTCGCCCCTTTTGAGGGTTTGGTGGGACCGTTGCTTGTACGATAAATGGCTCGCAGGCAAGCATGCGCGCTTCTTGGGAAGCGTCCGGTCCACATCCTCAAAGAGACAGCCATCTCCATTTCCCACGGTAGACATGGGCGAAAATGGCGACATGACATATAGCAAGCGAGTTCCCTTGGACTGGCAAAGGCAAGCAAGCCAACTCACAAGCCAACTCACTCATCCAAGATCAGTCCCCCAAGTGGAAATCACTTCATAGCGCGCGGAATGCGGACCGACTGGGATATTCGCCAAAGCAAGAAGCTCCGCCGAACACATTTTCTTCAATACATTTGGGCCAGTTGACAGAAATCACCAGACTACATGACTTAGAGTGATCGACCTATAGGCTGTTCGTTTGGACGTGTCCTTAGGATCCCTGCCCAGCTCAGACATCCGGTGGATTTCAACAAAAAGAAGGGCCATCTTTTTTAATATATTTTGAAAAAGAGGAAGCAAAGGTCCGCGCCAAACAAGAAACAGAACAAACAATGAGGAAGCAAAGCCAAGGTCCACTGATCAAAGAACAGCCACTTCTAATCCCAAAAAAAAACGGAACCCCGAGGATTCCTTCGGATCAAACTTCCGCGCCGTCGATTCGATCGCGTTTTCTCTTTGAGGAACGCCACCTCGGTGATCAGCGGGATCCAGTTGCTGAAACGGTTGATGGAGTGCTCCCCGGGCGCCATCTACTGGGGCTGCTCGACATGGCTGAAGAATTGCTGCGAGAGATGCGAAGCGAAGGGAAGCGGAAGGGAAACTGCAAATGAAGCAACCTGGAGTCTCCTTCTGACCCGAAATAAGAATGGGTGGTCAGTACCCCTTTAACAAAGGGGTCATGGACCCATGTTTGAAGGGTCAGAAGGACTCCTGGCATCCGGTTCCTATGGTTTCGTACCTGGGAACCGCCCGGTTTATTCCATTTCTCATGTTCCTATCGCGCCAGCAAGTGGGCTTCTCAGGCTGCACTCAGCAGGGGCCCTTGAAAAAGCTGGTGCGAGATGCGGGGAAGGAGAAATGGAACCCCGAGAGAAGCCATCCGGCTGGTGGTTTCCTTAATTCGGGAACCCCCGGCACCAGCAAGTCAACCCTTACAAACTTGTGGGAACCAGGTTCATTCCATTTCTCATTTCCCTACCGCAGCAGCAATACCAAGTTCCAAGAGTGCCGCTCTAGGACTCCACTTGTGGACATCTGTTGCTGAGCCCTTGCTGGATTCTCTATAGGGGCGGTTCCCCCGTGTCTATTTCTCTCTTTGGAGTCACCCGGGGAACCGAAGTCAATGGCTGGTTTCCCTTCATGTTCGGGGTCCCCTGACTCGCCAAATATCAATTTCACGTTGTCAAGTATGCCAAAAAAGCCGACCTTTGACCTTTACTAGGTCCCCCAGTGCCCTTTCTCACCCCTGTTTTGCGGGAGGGTTCCCCTACTAAAATAAACAGACAAAAGTTGGAAACCCTTTTCATGGTTGTTGTTGGGAAACATTTTACATTTTTGCTTATTGTGGTTTAGTGGTTGAAATCCCCACTGAACTGCTAAAATATATATTTTTTGCTCCCCTTCCAACGTCAACCAAGTTTTTCTAACCTCGGATCCTTTGACCCGAGTTCTTCTCCGAGGTTATTTGGAGGACCGAGCACACAAGCTCCGCATCGATTTCCACACCGCGGAGGAGCGATCGAAAGGTCCCCGTCAAAAGAAGTTCACCTATCCCGAATGGAAGTTTGGAAATGCACTAAGGCTCGACAGTTCGCCTTTTTTTTCCCGAGTACCCCTTGGTGGTTGGATTCGTTGTTTGCGGATTTGAACCGCTGGTTCTTGTAGGCAAACAGGAAACCACGCCCTAACCACCAAATCACCAGTCCAAAACGCCAATTAGAGGCAAACCGATTGCTGCTGGTTGTGCTTGGCTATGACTCGTTGTTGGTTCGAAATGGTATGTGGATATAACGCAGCCTGCCCCTAGAATCCCCTGAACCTGAAATATGAGGGCCCAAATGACCCCAAATTACCTGTCGGGTTATTGTTTTGAAGGTCTTAGGGTATGTCCAACAAAAGGCTTGTCAAAGAAAAGCCATGTTCACTTGGCACGGAAGTCAACAACATTTCTCCAGGATCTTGTGCTCACTCGACTCTCTTGCCTCGCGCGAGTTCAAGACGAGAAGGACTACTTGCGGCTTGGATAGACCTTGTGCAAACACTGGGTCTTTTACCCAGTTGACAAGTTGCACCCTTCTCTCGGTTCCCCATCCAACTGTTCAACCCCAGAAAGGCTTTCTTTTCTTTAGCCGGGGTCACTGAGCAACCGACTTCTTGGTTGCGTTGAGATCCAGCTCTGAATGTTTCACCCTGGGTCAGAGTGCATAAGTCCGCCACCGGCCATGGAAATCTCGGGCGAAAGGACCCCGGCAACAGGGTAAAAGGGGCATTGGCCTGACACCTTCTGGTTCCAAAGCAATGCCCCAACGACTGCTTCAGCTGCCGAAAACATATGTCCCAAGAGGAGCGGTTCCTTGGAGGGAATCACTTCTTTGGTGGGTTCCTTCCCCCGCAGAGGGAGCAACTGAGATGTGAAAGGGTCAGGAGTTTACCTTAATTGAGACTGACCACTTACTTTCATTTTAAGTAAGCCACAAGCACCTGGCCTCCTGAAGATAACTGCCCTCAAGCAAGAATGGGTGAAATCAAGCATGTTTAGTTTGGTCTCTTTCATAAGGATGCTGTGTATAGTTTACGTTTCCCTTTCTCAAACTCTGTGTTCCTGGTTGCTTGTATTGAGCCATATTGAGCCAATCATCTCAGGAAGTGAGGAGGGTGGCAAACCAGCAGAGTGGTCCAGGTAAAAGTTGACACATGTCCCAACCAAGAGTGGCAAACACAAAAATGGGAAACCAATAGACACATGAAACCAACAAGCAACACCAAAGCCAAAATGGACACCAATGGGAAACCAACAATTGTAAACCAAGTAACAATGGGAAACCAAGTAACAATGGGAAACCAATCATGAAAAGTCAACAGAAGATTCCAACTATTGGAAACCAAATGGTGTTTAATAAAGGTAAGCCAAAAACAGCAAAACCGAGATGGAAACCAATATGGGAAAATACATACCCTAACTAACATGGAAGTAAAAAAGGCCCTTTCCGGTTGGGCGCCTCCGACGAGGCTCCTGCGCACCTCCTGGGACGCGCTGAAGGCGCGGGAGCGCCTGGCGCTCACGGACCACTTCTTGGCGGATGGCATCAAGGAGAAAACGAGACAACGAGATCCCGCTTTGGTCTGTGAAACCCCTCCTGAACCCAACCACCAATCAGCGCCAATTGGAAGGAAGCCCTAAACTTGGTTCCCAGGCATCCGGTGCAACTCATTTTTTTAGATGGGCGCAACAACTGGTTGGTTTTAGTGGTTGGGTTTCCGAGTTTAACCCACTAAAGTTGTAAACTCTCAGGTTTTACCACGCGGAGCTTTGGATAGAGTTTGTGAAAGCCACACAGTGGCTGTGGGACAAGATGACAGGTTTGAAGTGTGGGTGTGAGGGGGGGAAATGTCACCTGGTCACCGGCCATTTTGGCTCAAGGTGCCAGGCCCCCTCACATCCCAGTTTGATGTTTTCCTCCGCGGGCCGCTATGTCGCTTTTCCCCGATGGAGCTATTGCTGCGCGATGGACGTCGTTAAACGAGGTCCTCACCTGGTACAACATAGACCAGGGTGTTTGGCTAGCTTTCGTTGGGCGTGTGGGCGATCCGGGAGATACGGTTCGTTTGATGGCCGCTCTCCCGGAGACGGCGTTGCTGGAGGGTGTCAATCACGCGGAGTTCTCCGACGGCACGCCCCTGTCTATGATTCAAGCGGCCCATGTGGGGTTGGTTTGGCGGTGCTGCAGGAGAATGGCTTTCACTTCTGGTGGTGGAGCGTGGGACGACTGGAGGGACACGGATCCGTGGCAGCCGTTGCAGGCGACCATGGTGGCTGGATCCAGCCAAGGGGTTTCTGGCGGTGGTGGTTCTTTGTCAACACCGACCGGTTCGGGAACGGCAACAGGGAACCACAACGTGAAGGAAAGGACGGTCAAGATGTCGGCTGTGATAGATCAATCAGACGAGGGGGAGTTCATCCCGGTGACCATGGACATGTACGACAGTTGGGTGCAGCGTTACCTGACCATAATGGGCTTCAACCCGCAGGACGAGGAGGACCCCACGTTGGAGCAGTTGACGGCACTCTTCAAAAAGGTCACGGTTCAGGAAAACCCGCCGTTTGTCGACTTCGCTGTTTGGGCCCCCTTTGGGCGAAGGGCTTTGAGGGCAAACAAGTTTCGAACCTGGTTGCCTTCGGGAGATGGGACTTATCTCGCCAAGGAACTCCCGGGGCCAGGAAATTTTCAGCAGTGGTTGGCATCTTGGAGAGTGTTTCGGGTGGCCTCCTTGATGTTGGGCATCCTGAGTTTGGCGGTCTTGGAAGGGTACGAGAGGCACGTGGAGAAGTTGGTGAGAATGTATCCCACGGCATGGCATTTGATCGTGGCGGCCGACGAGAAGGCCAGATCCGAGAAGTTGATCAAAATCAAGCAGAAGGTCCTGGTGGATGCCTCCAACGGCAAGAGGCCTCCGGATGGATGGGAACCCAAAAGTCCGTGGACGGCATGTTTTCGCTTGCTCTTGGAGGACGAGGGTTTTTGGGCCCATCACGTAAGGCATCCAGCAACTGCTTGGATGGCGGCGGGAGGTCGAGGGGTGGCCAAGACGCCGGTAGAGGAGTCCACTCGATGCATGCCCCGGGGGGCGAAGGCTCTTGGGAAATGCCCACTGTGGTGAACGACCCCAAGAAACGGCAAGCGAACCGGGACCGGAGGGCGGCCAAGAAGAAAAGGTGGGGGGAGGAACGAGACGAGAGCCTCCGAGGCAAAGGAAACGCAGGCAAGGCCCCCAAAGGTGGAGGAAAGGGTTTGAAGGTCAAGGACAACCAAGGGAACGATCTTTGTTTTGCATGGAACAATGGTCAAAGCCCGTGTGCAGGAATCGAGGCGGGTGGGGAGTGCGCAGGTCACATCAAGCGAGTGCACAAGTGTCAGATATGTTTGTCACCTTCCCATCCGCAGACTCGTTGCTCTCAGAAGAAGGGGACTTAGGCACGATGGCATCGAGCTCTTCTAGAAGGGCAGGTGGAGTCATGGCAGAGCTCGAGGGCACGGTCGCCATCGGAGAGAGCTTTGAGGCTCGACTTCAAGCTGCACGGGAAGAGGCAAGAAGCATGAGGGAGTACGTGGAAATGAGGCCCTTCAAGTTCTTGCACCATTTTGCAGGAGAAAGGGATGGCCTGGCCGAGGAACTCATGACCATGGCTCAGGAGGTCTACATGCGGGTATCGATGGTGAGTGTGGACAGGCTAGGAGGAACGGACTTGTTGGCGGAAGAACCCTAGACCACTCATTTGAGGGGGATGCTGCTGGGGGAGCATGATGCCTTCCACTCGGGTTTCCCTTGTTCGTCCTTCTCCAGGTTGAGATGGAAAGAGTCCCCAGGGCTTCCAAAACCCGTTCGTTCCAAGGTCTTCATTTACGGACTTCCTGACAATGACGAACGCCAACAAGCTGAAGCTGACCGGGGAACGTTGATGGCTGTCAGGTCGATCCGAATGGCCAGGGCGATGCAGCTGAGGGCCAAGGCGACAGGGAGTCGACCAATAGCAACGTTAGAAAACCCCCCGGATGGAGGACACAAGCTCGCGGGCAGCGTTTGGGATCTGCCGGAGATGAAGGAGTTCCTGCTGGAGGAGGGGATCACGGTGGCGGAGTTTAACTCCTGCCGCTACATGCAGGATGAAGAGATGAGATTCTTCAAGCCGCAGGTCTTCGCGGGGAGGTTGGACAACTTGAAGGAGCTCTCTGGAGGTTGCTTGTGTGGAGTCGGCTTCCAGCACACGCCGGTGGTTGGCAAGGAGATGTCCTTGAGAGCAGGGGCATACCCCCGGGAGCTATGCAGGAAATACGCGGGGTTGGTGCTGGCGTCATGGATGAGAACGGCCAAAAAGGAGTGGTTGACTTTCAGAGGGATGGAGCTGGTTCAGGAGATAAAGGGCACCTCGGCGAAGATCAAGCCGGCTCCACCAACATCGAAAAGTCCCGAGCTGGCCGCGGGCTCCCAGGAGTTGTTGGACTTGGGCCTCAAGTCTGCCCAAGAAGTTGTTGAGATCAAGAAGCGCAAGAAACATTTTGCGGAACTGAGATGGCAAGGCGGATCAGGTCGGCATCAACAATTGAAGGCAGCGGCGGAGCACTCCAAGAAGGCGCGGCGGGAGCTGGAGAACCGAGAGGCCATAGGGGGCATGAGGAACCCGGCGACAGCGGTGAGGAGGTTGCCGGCATTGAGATCGGTCGGCGAGAAGGTGGCCGATATGTTCGACAGCTTCGTGTCGGCCTACCCGGACGCCCTCAAGGTTGCCACCGAGTATGGGTCTGGCGATGCGGAGGGCGACCCGAGGATGGTGGAGGTGTGGCGCGATTGGCTCGTGAAGTTCTTCAACACCCAGATCATGCAGGATGAGGACTTCGAGGAGGGCTTGGGCACGAGGTTCAAGTCCCCGTTGCAGGCTAACCTGCTGGAGGCGTGGGCCTATCAGGGGGCTCACCCGGAGGCTTATACGGGACAATGGGTGAGACAAGGAGCCCCGCTAAGAATGAGCGTGGAGATCCCGACGTGCGGCATCTTCCCCTTGGTGAAGGAGGAAGACCAAATGAAGATCACCCCTTGGAGGAGTTTGGAGCCGGAAGCGTGGGCGGCTCTCAAGAACTACCCGTCCATGAGGATGCCTGATCAAGAAAGGGTATGCGTGTCGGATCTCCAAGGGGGAAGCGGGCACGTGGCAATCTGGGACCATGAGCAAACTCAGCATCTTGCTCAAGGAGAAGCCCAACGGGGAGGTGAAGAAGAGGTTGATAATTCACTTGCTGCGAAGTGGAGGCAACGACAAGTGCGTCACCCCGGAGAGAATAGTGCTTCCTTGCCCTGATGATGTCATCAGAATGGTCAAGGATATGAAGAGTCTGGAACCGAGTTTGCTGCAGAAGTACAAGGAGCTCGGTATGTCCACGGAGGATTGGGGGGCGGAGCTTGTGACGGCGGATTTGTCGGACGCCTACATGCACTACGCGGTCCATGGGGCAGAGTTGAAGCACTGCCTGACGCCGGACGTGATGGAGGATACGTACCTGTGCTTTGTGGCCATGCTGTTCGGGTTTAAAGCGGCCCCTTTAGTAATGGGACGGTTGGCATCACAGTTGGCCAGGTTCTTGCAGAGCATGTACTCGCCTTCGGAGGTGCAGATGCAGATCTACATGGATGATCCGCTGGCGTGCTTGGTCGGCAGCAAGGCGAGACGTGACCGTAACCTGGCGCTCATGTTGCTGACCATGGGCGCGTTGGGACTAACGTTGGCATGGCGCAAAGGACATCGAGCGGATCGCCTGGTGTGGATCGGCGTCACCTTCAGGCTGGACTGGGAGGACGGCTATGTGGTGGTGTCGGTGCCGGAAAAGATGATGAAGGAGATTGAGGCGGCCATCCGGGAGTGGGAGGTCAAGCAGATGGTGGGGCTCAGGCAGCTCCGCACCATTGCAGGGAAATGCTCCTGGGTGGCCGGCATCCTGAAGAAGGCCAGGTGGATTGTTTCCATCATCTATGCGGTGTTGACCAGTTGCCATCGAGATGTCGCTGGTGGAGCGAGGAGCAGAGACGGTTGAGAAGGAGTGACCAGAGGCACAAGGAGCATCTGGTCCACACGAAAAGGTTGGAGCTCCCCCGGGTTTGGCTGGAGAAGCTTCTGGAGGGGGTGTCCTTGGCCCCATCCAGGGCGGTACCCCTCAAGCCGAACGGCGTAGAGGTGTGCATCGTGTCGGATGCCTCCCCCATGGGTTTGGGTGCTGTGCTGGCTGTGAAAACCGAGGGGGATCTGTCGCCCCTAGAGGCCATGGAGCTGCCGGTCACGCAAGAAATGGCCGAGGCGCTGCGTTTTGAGTTCGGCGCATCAAGGAGCCAAGGAATCGTGGAGGCCCTTGCGGTGGTCATGGCAGTGAAAACTTGGGAGTCGACATTGGCGACTTTGCCGGTAACCCTGAGCGTCAGGTCGGACAGCATGGTGGCCTTGGCGGTGGCCGACAAGTTGGCTAGCAGTGCCCCTGCCCTCAACTTCTTGGGTGCGGAGTCGGCGCTGATCTTGGAAAGGTTGAAGGTCATGGATGTGTCTACCATGCACATCCCCGGCGTCTTGAATTTGATGGCTGATTGGCTCTCTCGCCCACACATGAGAGCCGAGAAGCCCGAGACGCTGGAGAAGGTAAAGATGAGGGCAGCGAAGGAGTTTAAGTTTGAACTCCCCACGCCTGGAAAACACCCTGGTTTGTGGGGAGGGCAGCTGGACCTCCATTGACGGGCTGGACCAAAGGAAAAACAGGTGGGGTCCGAGGATCGGATCCGGTCCAGCTCGGCTGGGCTCGATGGAGGGAAGGGGGGCCTCGACCCGAAGGTAAGGGGGTCCGTTGTTTGGATCCGGTTGGGGCCCCGAAGGAAGGACAAACAAGGCGAGGGCCTTGTTTGTGAAGGGAGCGCGAAAGGTCGTGCTCGGAAGGAGGTTCTTGAAGGTTAATAAACGGAGTAAGGTCCCCTCCTTGGTTTAAACGAGTGGGCCTGAACCTTTTGGAGGTGTGGTCCTTAAGTGGATCCGGTTCGGGCCCGAAGGAAAGGCACAATTCGTGAGTCAGCCACGGATGTCAGGTGCCGAACCGCATGCAGGACCCGGGCTCGAAGGCTAGGGAGGATGGAGGTATCTAGGACATGGGTCGACGCCGACCAAATGCCGCTGGAGGAGATGACATGGCTGGGAACCGCCATATGGTACCTGGCATGCGAACCCGAGGAACCACTCACCCAACGATGTCACAGGACGGGGTCATCTTCCCCACGGACGCCTCCATCCAGAGCAGTGGAACGGGGACAGGACGGTTTTCCGGAATTTCAACTTCGTCACCGTCCGCTTCAAGGTCACGATCGCTCCCTGTTGCTGTCCCCCAAGGTCATGTCGCGGCGAGCCAAGTGAGGAAAGCGGGCGACAAGGTCACTTCAAGGCAGATGTGGCGATGGAAATGTTCACCGGATGTGATCAAAAAGCTGTGCGGCAATTCGTCCAGCTCTACGGCACGAGGGAGGTCAGGGCTCAGGTCGACTTCTTCTCGGTCATGCTCAAGTCGGTCGGTGAAGAGACGGTGGCGCTCCTCTTCGTCAAGGTCATCGGAAGGCATTCTTAAACCCAGGTCCCCCAAAACCTTAGGTGATGGTCGGAAAGGGGAGTGCAGGAGGTTGGGGGGTGGGCCTGGATTTCAACCTCGCAGGGATCTCCCCGTTTTGAAGAATAAGAAGAGGGGGTCGTTCATGGAGGTGATGGACGACGCAAAGAACTTGGAATTGGCGGTGGCGGACCTTCGTAAGGGTTTCTCGTCAAACTCCTCGAGGGCAGCAAAAGCCTCGAGAAGGAAGGAGGTCCTCGCCATGGCGAAGAAGTTCTGTGGTAGCAGACCCATTTTCCCCCTCCAAGAAAACACTGTGGTGAGCGTGGCAGCAGCTTTGTCGACCTCGTCACGATGTATGTTGCGGAGCTCAAGCAGTTGCATGTGGAGAAGAAGTTCCCCGTGGAGGATTGGTTTGTGAAGCTGCTCACGGACATCAAAAGGTCGGCGACCAGAGGTCTAGGGCCCCCGAATAGAGCCCCTCTCATCGATGTGAAGGCGGTGAAGAGCCACCTTGGGTTCGTGGACGACAGGGAGGTGGCGTTGAAGAATCCAGCGGAGGTGCTCATGGTGGCCATGAAGTGGAGGTAGCTGCCTTGACACTGGGGAACGCAGTAGTGGACTTGGAAGCTGGCACTGCAACTTTGTTCTTGCCCGTGTCCAAGACTGACGCAGGTGGCTCAGGTGTGGCAAGGACCCTCAGGTGCTCTTGTAGTCGCGGAGTGAAAGAAGAATGCCCGGTTCACACACTCGAGACCCTGGTGCGCACCGGCGAGGTTCTCTTCAAGGTTGACCGCCGGAGCAAAGAAGCTTGGGACATCCCTTTGCGCTGCAATCAGGACCTGGTCACGCCGTCCAAGAACCAGGTCGTTGATGCATGGTCATTCGTGGCAGGCTGCAGAGTTACAGGTCATTCGGCAAGGCGGTCGGGGGCAGTTGACTACGTAAGAAAAGGTCTCCCCTTGCAGGCCTTGTCATTCCTGGGCAGATGGAAGTCGGGCGTAGTGTTGAACTACCCGGAAGAGGCGTTGCAGGAGGTGCCCATCGAAACTCACTTGCCCATTCAGCCGGAAGAAGTAGTGGTCAACTACGAGAAGGAGGAAGTCAAGGAGGTGGTCACAGTGAAGGATCCACAAGAGTTGAAGCCCAAGTGGATCAAGAGAAGAGTAGCGGGCACGGTGGTGCACAAGGTGGGTACCATCTCCGTGAGGATTCCGTCGACTGCATGGCAAACGGTGTGCGGTTGGCGGTTTAATCAGGTTGAGTTTTCGATCGTGGAGGACCCCACCAAGGAGTTCAGGATGTGCGCGAAGTGCGTGAAGATCCTGAAGAATTGGACGGAGTAGGTCGCGGATTGCCAGATGAGGATGGGGAAGGTTTGGCGACCACTTTGCAGGGAGCTAAGGAGCTGAGCCTGGAGGTGAATTGTCAAGACAAGGCCTTCATGTGGGGCTTTCCACATGGAGGATGCACGCCAAAAGAAAACAGAGCGCTCGCAGCTTGGAGGGTGGGTGGGTCTGAAACGACTCACCTGGAAACTTGTCGTGAAAGCCACACAGTGGCTGTGGGACAAGATGACAGGTTTGAAGTGTGGGTGTGAGGGGGGGAAATGTCACCTGGTCACCGGCCATTTTGGCTCAAGGTGCCAGGCCCCCTCACATCCCAGTTTGATGTTTTCCCACCCACCCACCCAGCTGTACAGTTGCTGAGTACAGGAAGGGGAAGGTTTGGCGACCACTTTGCAGGGAGCTAAGGAGCTGAGCCTGGAGGTGAATGTCAAGACAAGGCCTTCATGTGGGGCTTTCCACATGGAGGATGCACGCCAAAAGAAAACAGAGCGCTCGCAGCTTGGAGGGTGGGTGGGTCTGAAACGACTCACCTGGAAACTTGTCTCAGGGTTTTCCGAGGGATTCGGAGGGTTCTAGGGTTTTCCTGTTGGGGATATGGGGATACCACCTGAGTCGATTTTTGGGGTTCTGTGGGTACCTTTTGCTTTGTTTTAAAGGCCAGACAACTGATTGGGGGGTCGACTTAGTTTGAGACAATCACATTGGCATCCATCCCTCGGATTGAGAAGAGTTAGTCTTGCAAGTTGAGTTGGCAAACTTCAAGCTGTGTGTTGGCAGGTTTCTTTTTTTTTACGGTGGAGGGCCTAGCAACAATGTAGCTTTCTTCCACCCCGGTTAACCTCAGCGTGGAAACAATGATAGTCCTCTTCTGGTTTTCTTCAAAGCTTACTGAGCAATTTGGTCGTGCTTCCGGTGCACCCGCAGGACTGCATTCCGACATGACTTGCTGGTTCTCAAAATATGAGGGAATGACCACTGTAAACAATCCTCATTTGGTTTCCTCTAAGGGAATCCCTGGGAACACCCGGATGAGCACCAGCAACATGATCAAACACCCCAAGGGAAGCCAACGGGGGATGGGTTACTGCTTTGTTTTTGTCCATTTCCATTGTTTACCGCACCAGCTAAACGCTCCCTCGCCTCCCTTTCTCCCATTACGCCAGGGCATTGGGAGCTTCACATGCCGAACTCAGGAGCAGGCCTTCGTTCTGGAGTTCCTCCCGAATTGCATGGCCAACGCCAAGGCAGCCGTCAGCTGGCGGTCGGTCGGTTGGGGCCCGCAACGGAGCTATCCAAAGTTGCCTTGGGAGAGGCAAGGGGTGCAAGGACATGGCAGATACCTGGAGTCTCCTTCTGACCCTGGAAACATGGGTCCATGACTGACCCCTGTATTTTGGGTAATGGTCATTGCCCATATTTAAAGGGTCATGGAGACTGCAGGGATTCATTGTCCCGGAAGGGCGCGGCTTCCGCGGTTTTTGCATCTGACGCTTTTCCGTGGGAAGATGTGCCTGTGCTAAGCAAGCCCGAGTGAGAGTCAGGGGGCAAACAAAGAATGTTTCGGAGATCTTTGCATCCCCAAAAAAGGAACCCCATGAATCCCTCCCGTCTGGGGATTTGGGCAGCAAGTCGGGGTTGCGGCCGGAGGGAAGCCATCTTCAGCTTAGCATCAGGCCAACTTCGCATAGCGAACTGGGCTTAGGATGTCGCTTCAATGAACCCTTGAAACCAGCATCTTTCTCTTTCCTGGGTGGTTCAGAGCCCTCCCTTTAGAAGTTTTTAGCCTTTTAAGGTTCGGTGGGGTTTCCATGTATCCCGCTAAAAGCCAAACTTTTAGCAGGGGATCAGTTTGGACAGCCCATGTCGTCGCAGGCCAACAGCACGGTGGGCCTGGCTGGGCTGCTGGGGGTCTTGGTGGATTTGCTGAACAACCTGAACACCTCCATCGACTCCATGCCAGAGATGGCACCTTGGACGGCGGGATGCGAGGCCGTTCTCATTTAGCTGGGTTAAAGTGCCTAATGATACATGGCCCAATTCCCTGCGCGTAGGTAAGTAGGTGAAGGGGATGAGTAAGATTGGAATTTTGCTATCTACTTTCACACCGCCTTTGTATATGTTGAGGTTGACTAAATATGAAGCATACTACTGAGCATATTTTTTTTAGTGTACTCTCTGGGTTGGGCCAACACACTTTATCGACAGAATGGGGTGGGTCCCGGTGTGGTGTCACTCTAAGGCCAAACTTTGTCAGCTTTCGCAGCAACCCCGAAAGGCCGTGCTTTCCCTCGTTCGAAATCCCAAGTGTCCAGGAGACATGGGTTCCCCAAGGGCTTGGTGGGCCCTTTGGAGTGTGCTGGAAAGTCCCTTGTTTTGTGGGTTCCGAATGTGGTCGCCTAAAACGGGCTCCTTGTTTGGAGCAGGCTAGGTTGCAACTGGGATATGAAAGGGTTGCACTCACCTGACTGCTCTTGGCCTGGATTAACTTGGAGAGACCTCCATGCCTGGACAGGATTGTACATGTTACATGCAGTGGCACCAAGTCTTTTTACGTTGTTGATTTTGTTTTTACCGGCTTTTTTCACAAGAATTGGTCGACCCAAAACTGGTGCCCCGTTCTGGCTCACCAAACAAGATGTGCCAGAATCATGTGTTTCTACTATGTTTGGCTGGTTGGGAAACAACGACTAAGAAGATGCACACTGAGTAGCAATTTGTTAGCTGTTAGCACCCCCCCCCCCCCAAATTGTAGCCTGCCTGCCATGTTGCTGGTTGAAATCTCCCTGATTGTGCTAATGTACCCGTTGGGCGTGACTGACTGTTCCTCACTCTGCATGCGCACTAAACGTGGTCAATCCATTTGTGAGGATTCGATGTGCCGGAAAAAATGCTGAATCAGAACTCCCCCACTTCAAAGACTGAAGTTGGAAATCTCCCCCTCCCCCGCAATTGTTTGTCCTCAAGGCATCTCTTGTGGAATCCACTTGTACTTCCTGACTTGCCCAAAGAGGTCCCATTTTATCGTTTTGTTTGCCCTTTTTAGCTGTTTTCTCATGGCCGCAACAGGTGAACATGTCTTTTGTGAAGGTCCTTCGGGCAGCTCAGCTTTTTCCCTCTTCCCTCAGATCCCGAAGGAAAGATGAGAGTTCAAAAGGGGCAGTGGCCGCGCTGTTTTTCCATCAAAGCGATCGACCATCTCCAGTCAAATCGCTCCAGGAATGGTTGGTCTCCTTTTCGCCTCCCAATTGACACACCAACAAAGGGGATCCAGCAATTGTTCCCAGAGGGTCCAAGTACCTTCTAAGGAGGTACTTAGACCCCTTTTTACCCCCCCCTCTCGCTTTGAGTTGGCATTTTCTCAGTTTTTGGTTGCGTCCCCGTTGAGGAGAAGGTAATCCCGGTGGACTTGTCGGAGATGGCGGAGTTCATCGCAGTGGTGCAGAACCGCTTCGTGTTCCTGACCTGCGTCTCCAGGTGTCAGCTACAGTTTGTAGGACAGCGGCTTGGACATAGGATCCTGGGGGGCTCGACTTGAGACGCTCGGTAGCCTCTGAAGCTAGGAATGTTTTTCGATTGGATCCAGTTGGGCTCGATTAATTGAATTAGAGGCTTGGTACCCTCTGAAGCGAGGAATTTGAGGGGATCAACAATAAACACATTTTGGTGGGTGACCCCTATGTTCTGACACACGCACTCACACCCAGATCCAACCCCGTAATTACTCACTCCCTCACTCCATCCCATTTCTGAGGCTCGCTACCCTTTTCAGGCAGGTCTAAAGGAAAATCAAAGGGATAACCACTGTTGGTAGGGGTGCCCCGGTTTGATGGGAGGACGCACCCGCTTCAAAACTGGGCAGGGTCTTGGTTTTGTTTTCGTCCCAGGTCCCAGAAACAGAAACCAAACAACAAGAAAAGACAACAAGCTGGGTGGGTGCATGTCATGTTTTGTTGTTTTTGTGAGGGGGGAGATCCCTTGAGGAGCCATCTGGGCTCTGGAGCTTGTGGATTGGATTGGCGTCTCCCAAGTCAATTTGGGGCTGGGTCCGGCAAACCAAACCACCAAAAACCCTCCTGCAACGAAAGCACTGGTCCACATCCAAGGCATTATGAACGGGGCCTCCTTCTTCCCCAGTTCTGTTGGTTTCGCTTTTTCTTAGTGCACAAATAAGAAGCAACCCATCTCCTTTCTCCTACCAACCTGAAACCAAGCGTAACAGCCCATCACAAACCACGAGCGGCTCGCAACTCAGGCGGGTGTACCTGAAGATGACCGGAAGCAGCTCGGACCGTCTTCACGAAGGTTTCCGGGCAGCTTGCGGATGCCGACCCCTCTGAGCCGGTGTCTTTTTAGGATCGGATTCGAGGCTTGAATTGTTATTGTGGTGTTCGTTCCATATCATATTGATTAGTGTTCGTCTTTTAGTGTTTTGTGTTTTTTTGAGCTCCCGTAATAGGAGAGCTGGCACTTATCTGGTCACCTGTCTTCATAGTTATGTTCTTATTGTGTTATCTATGTTCATCTCTCCATTTAACAAGTTCTTACTTTCCAGGAATCCTTCCTAATCAAGATCTTAACTGATATGCGAGAGAGATAAGCACCTGGAATTTCCGCCAACCAAGTTCGCATCGCATACGACCGAGGGGCATTTTTGGGATTGAATGGGTATAGCTTGTGAATACACTTCCCTAGGTGCCCTTGCAATGGCTTAAGTCGAACCTATAGCCCAGTGATTCCATTTGCCGGTAACCAAGGGGACCAGTTGGAATCCCAAACGGCCATGGTGGTGCCTGGGTTCCGGTTGTGCTGGGTGGAGACCCAACGGGTACATCACCAAATTGACCAGGAGCATACCAGGTACCAGGGCAAACGAGTTGGGATCCCTACCAGTCTCATGGCAGCAGTATTGGTCTTGGCTCGATAGGGTGGGACCCCAAGTTGCCACAGTTCTTGTTGCCGTGCACTTGCTGTTGCCGTTTTTGGGCCTGATCCCCCCCCCCCCCCCAATAAATCAGCTGCGCCCACAGAGGCCCCGTGCGAACTTGAGTGAGTGAGTAACAGTTCTTGTGCAACCATAAATGTATTTGTCCATGCCACCGTGAACAGATCCGATCCGAGAAGAAGCGTCCCGCGCGCTGAGGCAACTGGGGCCGAACCACCGACCCAGACTCGGACATGACGAGCCTGGCGTACACCTTGCAGGACTTGTTTCAGTCTCAGCTGGGTAAGTTGGTAGGCGCAATTCCCTTTATGCGGAGTAGAGGGGAGGGCTAAACCGCTGGAAAACATGCTTTTTTTGGTTCACACGAGTCAGAGCAACCATCTCGCTCATGTACCATTCAGTGCCATATTTTGTCGACCCCGCATGCATCATCCTGGTGGATTAATAGGGGGCGTCCGCCCCAAGTGGCTCAGATTCCAGATTCCCTTTTAAATGGGAAGACTTTTGATTCATCCGCCAGGCCTTAATGCATCCTGCGCTCTCTTTAGTGACCTGGGATTTGTTGCGCGGGTTTGCACAAACAAAGCGACCACCGCCTGGCAATGGTCAGAAGTTGCTAAGGGGCGGCTCGCACGAGGGAGATGGGGGGGGGTCATGTTCAGAACCGGCAGCTCTGGGTTTTGTCCTCAATCCTTATGCCAACTGGAAACCCGTTTCCGGTCACAAGTTGCTCTTGGAAAGCGCTGGATCCCGGACCCAGCGCTGGAATGCGACCCAGTTGTCCGGTTCTTCCCCCCCCCCCCCCCACCCAAAAAAAAAAAAGGAAACCCCAGAAACACCTCCCTGACCCAAAATTCCTGTGCAGGACATCCTACAAAAGCAGGAGGTGCTGGAGGCGCGACAGAGCCGACAAAAAGACCAACCCGACGGTCAACACACTGCGACAAAAGCCATTGTGTTTGTTGATTCGGCTTCAAGTAGACCCTGGCTGATTCATGGGGTTCCTAAAATGCCCGAGATGCCGATTGGATTGGATTTGCCGTGTTTGTGCCTGTGCAGTTGCCAAGCCATGCGCGGACAAAAATGACTATTGTGATTCATGAAGGTCTTTGTTTGAGGCGAGGCCTGTTGGCCATAGGGCCAGCCCTGACGTTGTCTTGAAAGGTTTTGGCCGGTGCAATGCTCCGGGAAAATGCAGTGTGCAACTTGGTTCACTTTGACAGCCCGTTTTGGTGGCATGGCCTCGCACCCTGCGTAAGACGGTGAGACGGTGAGACGGCACGTGGCAATCGTCTGACCCTTTCTCCCCAGCTGAAGCCTTGGTATCCGGCTCTTGGGCTAGGGTTCCAGAGTTCTGGTGGCTGTTGGTGCCTGGGCTTAGTTGTTTGGGTTTCGTGGGTACCCCCTTTGATTGGTCTTCAAGGGGAGCTAAAATCTGGGTGAATTATAACGACCTCACACGACCTCATCCCAAATGGTGGTTTCTGTGGGGAATAGCCCCCCAAACCACCTTATTTCAGGTTGGTGAAATATTACTATCACCCAGTGAAATGACAACTGATCATTTTGGGGATGAGAACTGGGGTGACCAGAGCTGGGGACGACCAACGCATCTCCGCTCAGGCATACATCATGCAACCTGGATGCACGAATACGATCGGGGGTCATTGACCCATTTTTAAAGGGTCATGGAGACTCCAGGTTTAGTGTTCAAAGTCCCTTGGGGTAGGTGCACCACCTATTTTGGTCTATTTTAGTTGGGATTGGGATGTTTACTGCAAATACGGGCTTTTGACCCATGGCCAAGTTAGTCTATTGGGATTGCGAAATGCCGATTCTTCGTAGTGAACTCGCTGCTGTGGCGATATCAATTGCCTTGTTCAAGGTGTGAGGCATGCGCCACCATGTTTTTCTCCGTCCTATGTTCGCCACCATGTTTTTCCCGTCTGCAGATTTGTCTGTTCATGGGACCCAAAGCATCATGATCTGTAGGGAGATCTCATTTGTTGGTGGGCCCCCATGTTTTGGGCAAGCCATGTTTCACGGTGAGCATAGATGGCGCAATTTGTTGGGGACCCCGTGCTTTTCGCAAGAACCCAACCGGGGGATTTGTTCGGGGTGCACCCTCTTCCCCCGATTCCATGAAGGGCTTCGGGGCCCGAAAAATTCGTTCTATGTCCCGGCAATGAGTGGTTGACGTTGGGGCGGTGTCCCCCTTTTTACTCGGTTCAGACCACGTTTGGAGGGAACATCTTTGGACATGGTTTCCCACCCTTTCCCCCTTTTTGGACATGGATTCTTGATGTCCAGCGCGGCCCTGGGGACGTTGCGCGTTTCCCGTCGCTCGAAAATAAGTAATAATAACAATAATAAAGGCTATTTCGTTGCATTTAGGTGCTATAACATTCCATTCGGGTGTTATGGGCCTAGTAGCGATAGAATTGCTGCTACTTCAGCGTCAAGGGGGGGCGGTGGTCTATGGCAGAGAAGAGGCTTGCGCCCAACATTTGCATTTAGTCAAATTCTTGAAGTTATTTTACTCCCTGACCCTCTGAGGTATTTTCGGTCTGTTGCAGCTTCAAGTTCAGAAGATGTGACAAGTGAATGTCTGCCCTCGGCCGGTTCATCGGGCCTTAAAACGCGAACTATGTTGCAGTGCATCACCGACTTGCTAGTTGTATGAATCGCCCTATACTTTCTGAACACCTGAGACTGCTGGGGGTGAGCGTTTGGCAGGACCGTCGTCCTCAGGGCAGCCCCCAAACAACTTGTGGAAGGTCGCAAAATTAATGGGTGTTGCGGTTTCTCTCAGACTAGGTTAGTTTCTGGGGGGATTTCCTTTTTGCTGGTGGAATTTCTTATTTGGTAGCCAGGGGTTGGGGAAGTACAAGGGTATATTCCTTTAAGGAAGCCGGGGGTTGGGGGTGGTGGTTTTGCGAAACAGTCGCCCTTGCGGGATCGCGGTTTGAGGGAAGCCGAGGGTGACCCATATAGGGTAATCGTGGCTTTTTCACCAAAATGTTAGTGGTTGTGTTTTTTGACGCTTTCAAAGGGACGTGGTGGTTTTGCGAAACCGTCGTCCCTGGCCCCCCACCAAAACCCTCGTCCCCGGCCCCCCACCAAAACCATCGCCCCCGCACCCCCTCATCCTCTCACCCTTGACCCCGTTGTGATACTCGTTCCCCCGGTTAATCCTCGAAGCGTGACACATGATGCTCCCTATAGCCATTTGGTGTAACACCTGATTGTAATGATGTAACCCCCGAATACAACGAAATTGACTTAATAATAGTAATAGTAATGATAATAATAATAGTACAACCGGAAACAAACAAAACACACAAATGCGGCGACTGAGTCGCGTTGAGGCGGCGGAGCAGCGACACCATGGACATCGACAAAGCACCGAAGCGGAGCTACCCTTTGGAGCGCCACTGGGACCTGGAGAACCGAAGCGGGCCCCGGTGCCCATCCGGTGCCCATCCGGTGCCCATCCGACCTCATAGGGGTTGATTCCCCAAGAACTCACGTGCCCCAAAAAAAAACCTGGAAATAAAAGGTGATCACCTCTTGGCACCTCTACTAAACATGGACCAACATGGGAAAACTCTAGGGGTTGATTCCTTCCAACCCTTCTTTTCAATTGTTTGTTCCAAACACCGGATCTGTTCCCCTGGGTTTTTGATGAATGGTTTCCTGAAAAGAAGGATCCCTGGAAAGAATTTTAAATGGAGGGTGCCCCTAGAATTATGTTAGGCCGTTGGGAGCTCTTGAGGCTTCAAAGCCCTCGTTTTTGTTGAGAGTCTTGGGCTCCTGGGACTCCTGGGCTTGGGTTTTGGGACGTGGATATTCCATTGGGCCCGCAAAAAGTTAAGTTTTTTGCAGCGGGATCTTCAGCAAGGAGTTGGAGCTAGTCTTGAAATGAGATGTGGTTCTAGAATAGGTTACCCCCTGCACATGATCACTTGTCCACTTCTGTTAACCATCCAGTCTATTTGGGAGGTGCATGAGTCAATGGTCAACTTAGGCACCCTCGTGTGCTTGGCAGGGGGTATGTCGCTCAAGAGCAGTCAACTTCCAACATGCCCTCCAGTTGAATTGCCATTCTTTGTGAAGTTCTTAGCAGCTTTCTTCATTCCAGCCAAGGCCCAGACAGTTTAAGCCACATCTCTGTTTCTGGCCAAGTAAGTCAGGTCAGCTTCAGTACCTTTTTCGGAATCCGCTCGTCTCTGTGTGCGTGTGTGCCCTCTGCAATGTCCAGTGTGTTTGGGACGCATGTTGCACCCTTTGCACAGCCAAGTTGTTGCGGTCATGCTTTGTGGAAGTTTTCATGCTGTTGACAGTCGTGGGTTCAAATGCCACGCGCAAGGACGTTCCCAGCCTGCAACAAAGCAGGGCACCGCCTCGTTTGTAATTACCGGTTTCCCCTTTGTATGTTCAGAGAGGCCAAACGCCGAAATCCACAAGTTGGGGCTTCCCTTTTGACATCCCACCTAGGTCCCCCAGTAGTGCCCTTTTGCCGTTTCTTTTTTGGTTGGGAGGGCTCCCCTGCTAAAATAGACTGCAGAAAAAGTTGGTACCAAGTTATTCTAACCTCTCAAATCTGGAGGACCTAGCCACATTCCATTTGCCAGGTAAAGGCTGGAGAAACCTCGGGCGATTTTTGCGCTCCCAGGCATCAGCAGCTTTGACGTCAGGCAGGAGGCTTTCTGAACCAGGGTGTCTCGTCACGATACGAGCCGATCCGCGCCACGCGCCACGCGGAGCGTGCCTGGCAGGGACTTAGGGCGGAGTGTTTTTGTTTCTTTTCCGGGGGTGCCCTTTTCAGAAGGTGTGTTTCAAAGGGAAATTCCAACTTGACTAACATAATTAGGGCGTTTTGTTTTGTCTGTTAGACCCAAAACGTTCCCTCGTATAAAGAAAAGGAGCATGTGGATTTGAGAGCCCTTGTGCCGGGGCCCCTTGCTACATCAGAGCATATTGATCGGAACCCATCAGCCCCTTGACTGCACTTTTAAGAAGAAGAAGAAGAAGCCGCCCCTAGGGGTTTACAAGGTAGGCAAGAAACTACATGTTTCAACCCGATTGGGGTGCGGATCAATGGAGCCCAAACATGAGATGTTGTTTTTTCTCTTGTTGTTTCACACCACGCCAATGGAGGTGGCAATGTCAACATTTGATCGTTGAACGCGCTTGTTCAGTGGTTCAAGAGCGGGCGGGGGGCGGGGGGCGGGGGGCGGGGGGTTGTTTTGGACTCCCTACTTCCAGAGGCACTTCCTGATCAATGTCCGGGGGATTCGATTTCAGATAGCGGCTGATTCCCCGATTCTTTGCAACGATCATTTTTTTTCGCGCAGGTGAAGCCGCCTAGGTCCTTGGTCTTGCACCCCTACCATTTGCTCAAGCATTTTATTGATGTTCCCGTCCAGTCCTGGTGTTGATTTCACAACTGGAAATAGGCTGTGCATTTTTGCAGGGAACGGAAGAAGCAAATGGCCGCCTTGGAAGGTCAACAACTTTGCCGGGATTTACATTGCTCTCACTTCGTGACTTTCTGTACTTTATACTTTTTGGGAAGACCAGTTTGCTGGTAAACAACAAGTTGTTATTTTATTTTTATTTTTTTCGGCCAATCTACTCATGAGTGAGCCAGATGCTGGCCTTTAAAACGTTTCGCCATTGTGGGCTTTCTTTGCAGGTTGCTGAAGCAATCAGTGAGTTGAACGGTTTAATGAACGCAAAGGCCTGGAGTGGAGTGAAGCAAGAACGACCCTGGATTTTCAGCCAACCGTTCAGGTGACTTGAGGGTTGAAAATTCCTGAAGTCAAGGAACCTCTCAATCTGGAACCCTTCAAACTGATTTTACAGGGCAATGACCCCATTTTGGAAGGGTCATGGAGACTCCAGGGAGATTTTACATGTGACACCTCCCAACCAAAGTGGAAAAACCAGCGCTTTTAACGCCTTGAGGCCGGACCTCGAAATCTTCGAAAGGCGCTTCGACGCGCTCTCAGTCTCACGAACAGAGCCATCCAATCAGTTTTTTCGATGGCCTCAAAGTCAGGGATGCGCTCTGAGTCTCACTGAAAGAGCGCCATCCGACCAGTTTTTCGATGGCCGGAAAAGCAGGGGGCTCCCTCAAAAGGGGTAACCCCCAGCTGGAAACCCTCGTGCAATATGGTGGAAATCCGGTCGAAGCACGCTGACTTCAAAAGATCACTGGAGGGCGTCCATTGCATGGGCCCCCGGAATGGCCACCTGGACAAGAATGTGTACGTGTGCACGTTCATGCCTGATGACTAGAAAGGAGGATCAATGAAGGCTGGTTTACATGCACACAACGCGCTGCTGCACTTGTTTGTACTTGAGCTTTAGCCATCGCTGGTTCTGGCAAGCAGGATAAGGAGTCAGCCCTGAGTTCATCTCTGGCTTTCATCCAGCCTTGATCACTTCGAGATATATCTTGGCAAACGGTGGGGAAATCCGTTTCCCTAGTTGCTCGACTGGCATTGAAGCTGCTCTGGGCAAAGCGCCCCTGGCCAGCTATCCCCTAGCGTGAAGGCCCATGCGGCTGACACTCTCGCTGGGGCCGCGGTTTGGCACAGGGGGGTGGTCAAAATTGGGGGGGTCTTTTTTGCTGTCCTGGCACCCGGCGGCGGCAACGAGCGGCTCAAAGGACCCCACATTTTTGACAACCCTCCAGGGAGCAGAGTCCGGCGTGACCTTGCAGGCTAACTGCAACTTGCCTGAACGTCCAGGGTTGCTCCCCAACGTTTGGAGCAAACCTGTTGCAAGCCGCAGAGCTCGATGTTCTATGCGGAAGAACGATGCGCATACATCCACAAAGTGGATTGAGTATAGTGAATTTGCCTGGGTTGTTCAAGTTTCATTTCTTAACCATATGCCACAGAATAGTGGTTTCGCTTGTTGTAGCAGGCTTGTCCCACTACAACAAGCGGAATTTGATTGGGGATCCCCCCAAGTTGAAGAACCCAGCCTGGCTTTGCTGGACACCTGACCTAAAGAACCTGACAGGGCAGGGCTTTGTGCTCAGTCTGCGGCCGTTTTTCTGTGATGAATTTTGGCTGGGACCAGCTTGGACGTTGTTGGTGAAATGGCATCCCACATGATGTCCACCAAATATCCCCTCATCAAAGTTCGCGGCCAAACAGTTTGCACAGTGAATCAGGGATTCCGATCCCCGCTGCCTTATCACGTTTCAAGGGAGTCCTTGGTATCAAAACAAGTGGCCCTAAAGCCGATATTGTCCACAAACATGACCATCGGTTGGCCTGCTGGAGGAATCCTCAGCCCCCGGGAGGGGACACGCCCTGCCCTGGTATTTACCCATAGTTCTTACGGTTTTTGCGCGCCTGCTTCCACCCAACCAGCGAAGGCTGCTGGCAACCAGGTGACGAGTTCTCTGTAAGAAAAGGCGCTCTGTCTTGCAGGAGCGAGTTGAAGAGGGTCGGGTGATTAGTAGGTGGTGCTTGTCACCATATTATACCTTTATAACCCACCAATGCCATTGTTGCAAGTCGCCTGGGCCGAGTTTTGACCACGGCTAATAAGCACTTGCTAACCAGATGGGCTCAAGTAATCCTACGCACTTGGGTCAGAAACCCTTCTATGAAGGTTCCTAGGGCCCTATAGGCCCTAGGTGCTCACTTACAGGTCCCCTCCCATTCTGCTACCCTCCGGTCCACTTACTTTAGGTTGGACTGGGGTTGAGTCGGAAATCGGAAATTGGGCGAGTTGTCTCCCTTTAACCTACCACTGAACGGGGTGACGGCCAGTTGAATCACTTGTGACAAATGGCCGTGGCAACCAAATGGTTCGGACTTGTTTTGGCCCGTAGCAGGTGAGAATCAAGCTAATCTGGGTGGTAGCTACAATTCCCTTGCTACTGGGATGGCCCAGCGATCATGGGGGGGAGTTGTGCCATCTATTTCTCCTAAACGTCCATGCACCAAAAAGAATTCGCACTCTTTTCTGGAAGTCAGTTTAGAAAATGTCACCTCCAAAGACCAGTGTTGCCAAAGAACGGTTGAGGTGTTTTTTTTGGACTAGCCCCCGCTTTTTACTAGCCCCGGCTCAGCACCAGGCCCGTTTTCGCCCGGAAAAAAAGAAAGAAAAGGAGGCCCCCTGGAGCGCAACGTCTTTGGACGGGAAAAACGAAAGCTCAAGGCTTTAGCCCGGGCTCGGGCGGATTCCAGCGTCAAAGAAGCAGAACTAGGGGCTTCTTAAGAGATGCATGTTGCAACCAGTCGAAACATGGATTTTTCCACCAAAACAAAGGGAAACCACCCTTTACAAGGCAATGTTCAGGTGTATAATGTAAGGATCCCTGCTAGGTCCTCCAGCTAGGTGCCCTTTCTCACCGTTTCGTTTTTGGTTGGGAGGCTTCCCCTGCTAAAATAGACAGAAACAAGTTGGTACCAACTTATTCTAACCTCTCTACTGGACGACCTAGACAAGCCATATTCAGCAGAGAAAAAACACTGAGCCGTGGATAGCTGAGGCTCTTCGTTTCCGGAAGTTTATTGGGGCTCCCTGTTTTGGGTTCTATTTTTGTTGGCTTATGCCCAATCAAGTTCGCAGATGCGGCCAGTGTTGAGAACTAAGAAACGTGGTTTGGAGCTATATCGACTTTCTTATATGGCAGACGGCTTGTCATCCCCCAACCACGGCCTCAGCCCGTCAAGTTGGCCTTCGCCCCCCTTCCGAACATGGGATCGGGAGTGATCCATTTTGAGGAATCTCCGTGGCCGATGGGTCCTGAAGCATCGCCGGAAGTTGCCAAAAAGCTTGGACTCCCCAGGAGGCCAAGACCCGAAAAAAGAAAGAAAAAACAAAAAACAAAAACACGCACAAAAAAAGAGGGCTTACCCGCAAAGGCCTGAAAGAAGGAGGTCTTGGGTTCCTATGGGGTGGTTTCCTTTTGGAGGTGGTCTTCAAACGGGACAACTTTCTGCGGAAGGGATCCCCTTCCTTAAAACTGAGAAAGCTGAGTGCCTGAACCGCTGGGGGCCCTGGAGTTTTCTATCCCAACCCTCTGAAAGGGCCCCAAAAATGTCTCAAAGGTCACCTTGCCATACGGCGTGTGTTTTTTTGGTTGTTTTTGTATTCTTGTTTTTGTCTTCTTCTTTTTTTTTCCGGCTCCTGGGGTATGTATAGTGGACCCATTTTCCTCTAGGTGACCATGGGAACCCTTGAAAAAAGAGACAAAAGGAAGCTAGGTTTACCGGAATGCAGCTGGGATCCACTGGATGTGTTTGTTTCTCCCTGCTTCACGCCAGGAAAGCGGACTCCGGGATCTGATTCCGGAGGGGCAGAAGGAAAAAGTAAGGAAGGAGCGAGGCTGAGAGGGGAGGGTTCCACTGGAGACTTTACTGCGAGAAAGACATGTAGAGAACTTCAGTGGCATGCAAAGGAAGTCCAGACTTGTTGGCAAATCCAGGGAAATGAGTGTGTAAACTTGGGATTTCGAGCATGGGTCAATTGCTCATTTTCCGAGTGGGATGGACTCGCTGTTGCCAACCCAAGGAAGTGAGTGGCCACATCAAAGAGAGGTTGTTAGTTTAAAGAATGGGTGTGTTTTTCTCAAGGGCCCCCCCCCAAAAATGATCATTGTCCTTTTGGTTTCCCTTTAAAACCGCCGTAAAAGGGGCGCCAACTCCAAAAAAGACCCAGGCACTCGTGCTTTAAGGGCTTGGCCCCCTGCACTGATAAACGGTGCACACAGGATGACAAGTCTCCGGCCAATCATGTTTGAACTCATCTTCCTGGCACTCGCTACCTGGAGTCTCCATGATTTCAACATGGGTCCACCCCTGTATTTTAAGGAATGACCCACCATTTTCAAAGGGTCAGAAGGAGACTCCAATAAAGACAGGACCAAATCTACCCCCCCAAAGGATCAGAACGGATGATTTTTCAAATGGAGAAGGCCCAACGTTGGTCTTGGTGGCTCCCAGCCATTCCCTTAGCCTTTTAGATCTTTTTGGTGTTTTCCATTCAACCCACTAAAAGTTGGTCATTTTTAGCAGGGGATCTGAAAACGGGCAGCTTCATACAGTGCCTCTTTTCATCTTCCTTGGCAGCTCCCGGTCTGCCCATGTTCCACTTAGGTGAAACATGCCCCAGGAACCCGTTTCGCAGTGGTGGCGCCAGTATGTAGAGAATTGGAGGGCAAACAAGACATCTAGCGTAGTGGCAGCTGTCACCCTCGAGCACGCTAAGCACTACCCCTTCTTGGGGAGACCAAAATACACTCCGAAACTGGCCGAATATGAGGGTTTTCGACCCAAGACGTTGAATGAGGTCTAGGGCCCCAGTTTGTTTGTTTCAATAGCAGGGACAGAACCTGGACGCCAAGACTCCTTCACTTCGGCCCTTTCAAGGTTTGCCCTTAAACAATGGTGGGTCATTACCCAAAATAAAGGGGTCATGGACCCATTTTTAAGGGGTCATAAAGACTCCAGGTAGTTCTCCAAAGTTCGCCCCCAGTTCGCCCTTGAGTTCGATTGCCTCTTCCCCGCCACCGTCGCTCGGCTCCAGCGGCCGGATTTTCCCCTTCCAAGTATGGCATTTCTGGGCGCGGGGCTGGGGCGGGTTGTGGTCTGGGGGAGTTTGGGCGCTTGGAGCAAAACACCAGGGTCCAATTTGGTGTCAGTCTACCTCAAGGTGGAATTGTAACCAGTGGTTGATGTCTTCAAAAGTTGGTTTGCGCTACTTTTCAGGTGAAACCCAATGGTTGATTTCTCCAACAGTTGGTTTGTGTCATTTCTCAGCAACAAAGTGAATGTATACTGCGGGCCTTACTGCAAACGTGTTTTGTGCTGGTTTGGACCTTGTTCGGCTCCACTTAGCAAGAGAGAAATTCTTACGCGCGCCTGAGTGAAGTGTGTTGATTGACATTTCTTAAGGTATTGATTGCAGCTGAAGACGTCCCGTTGACATGGTTGATCACTGGGGCAAACAGCGACGGGGCAAACAGCGAGCTAACCTAAGGATGAAAACAGGTGACAAAAGTCTCTCACTTATAGGAATCCACATGTGTCGAGTTGTAGCCGTAGAAGGCTGAGCAAATTCTGCAATAATAATCATGAGAGCTGCCTGGCTGTTCTTAAAATACAATTCCGATTGTATAATTGGCTCCGAGCATGAATCAACGGCTGACAGGCAAAGGACCAAGTAATCACCATGCCCTCGAGCGGGACCGACCCCTATGACACAAGTCGCGTGCTTTCTTCAAAGACGGTCCCCCCCAAGAAACATCATGATGGTTCCCCTGAGATGTTAAATTAGTGCTACTTCGGAAAGGCGGTTCGTATCTGCCTGCAAGTGTCAACCCAGGATCAATCAACCCCTAGAATAAGGCGGTGTCCCCTTCAGCTGTCACTTTCTTGCCAACCCGCTGGGCCTCATAGACGCGACCTAGTGTCGGTGCAATATAGATCCACGTTTGTGTGTCGTCTGAAGCAGGCCTGTGATAGGCATCGCATCTGTGACTGGGGGCTTATGTTACTAGTTGTTACCCGCTGAATGAAAAGAGTTGGACCCTAGCCAGGCTCAGGTCTCCGCCCATTACCCTGTCCACGTTGTCATGGCACATGGTCTTCCACACCCCGGAGCTTCCATGTTGGGAAATTCTTTACATGGCTGCTTTTGAGGGAGAATAGCCAACTGTTTCAGTGTGACAAGTGAGACCAACAGATCCCCACCCCCTTCATGGAATTGGGGGAGGGGGGTGACCCCTCAAGTTCCATTTCTTCCATTTTCGATTCTACTCCTAGATCAATGAATTTCAGGGACCCCCGATACCAAAAGGGGAGGGGAGGGGAGGGGTATTTCAGCTGAACTTTCCAGGCGTCTTCAACACCTAGTGCAAGGTGCTGTTCAGGTTCCCCCCAATTGGCGGAACCGCGGGTGTCCAACCCAGCTCCACACCTCCAGCCCCAACCAATCCAAAGCTTGGCTGTGTCGTTTTTTGGAAGAACCCCACAAAATCGTGGGTTTCCCTTTGGCCTCCCTTTAAAACCCACCAAAAAGGAAAACGGGGCTCCCTCGAAAATAATGACAGACCCAAATACCATGTTTGAAACCAGAACGATGGTTGTTATTTACAGGGGAAATCGTTCATCATTCTCTTGAGTTTCTGAACGGTGCCGAAAGTAGGATTTCGCAACCATCCACCGGGCTGGCCATCCTTGAGGCAAGCTGAGTCGTGATATCTTGCTGGCTCCCCGCCATCCGGTTCTTTAGCTTTTTGGATCGTGTTGGTTTCGTGGCGTCCGCATTCAACCCGCCAAGATCAGCTAGGCCTCAACTGCTGGTGTGGGTTTGTGGGGTTGGTGGGGATTTGAACCCCAGTACCTTTGAAAGCCAAATGGGGAAGGCGCCCCCGAAGCTCTAAACCGGTAACTTCCATTTGCTTAAACCTATTTCTGCTGTTCCCCTGTTGGTTTTCACGGGAATCGATTTCACTACTGGAAATATACGTTCTCATTTTTGCTCCATGCGAAGTTGAGCACGCAAAAAACGGAAGGTTCAGGTGAGGAAAGTCAAGCTTTTAGCTGACATATGCTAATATGTTGTCCATCACCCAGACATTTCCCTTGGTACCTTCTAAGGAGGCACTGGACGACCCCTTTTTACCCCCCAAAAGCCATCCTCAGGTACCAAGGGACCCTCTGGGTAAAGGTCAGTCAAAGTGTTCGCCGGACATCGGGCAGCGAGTCCCAGGGCCGGAGGAGGTCTCCAAGCTTCAGCGGTGCGGGGCCCCAGGTCGGACGGGACGAATGGCCCCTGCGAGGGGGGGGAAATGGGCTCGAACGAACTCGTGGTCCTTTTTTGAGTTGGTGCCCGTTTTTTTGGGGGGTTTGAAAGGGACACCAACATGAACATCACCATTTATGTATACATTTTATTGCTATTATTAGCATGATTATTATCATGATAATTATTGTTAGCACTATTATTATGATTATTATCCTCATTATTATACTGGGGGGCCAAAAGAGACAAATGGTTTCCAAGGGGTTCTGGCAGGTTAGATGATTTGAGGGGATACTTCCAATTGCCAATGCCCACAGAATGAGACCCGCCCCAATAATTGTAGAAGGGATTTATGAATCCTTCCAACCAAAATTGATGCCATCATGAGGCACATTGTGCTAGACTGCTCTGGAAGCGACTCTTTCGGCTACAATCAAGGGCATTTTCAGGTAAGGGTTTGGGAGGCATGGATGCGTATATGCCACCACTGTAAGCTTGTAAGGCGGTAAGAACCCTGGAAATATGTGGTATATAACCTCCATGTTCTACAGCCTGAAAATGCCCTTGACAACTTGCTGTAGATGTAAACATGCTGCACCAGTTCATGGGCTTGTTGTTTCCCATGGTTGGTTGTTTTTGCTCCAGTCCAGGTGCCGGATTTTAGTCCAAGACAGCACAAGCGATTCCTATTGTCCAAGTCCAAGGCACCGCATTTGTTGCAGCTGGCTACTGCATGTGTCGCTCGGTGTCGGGCGCCTTTCATGCAAGCGGGCCCGAATTGTCCCTTCAAGCAAGCCCAACATGGGGTCCAAGGCTTTCGTTCCCAGTTCAGCTGAGGCGCATCACATGGCTCAATGCCAATATCTTCGAGGATCGCAAGATTGACCGAGAGGCGCGGATTCAAGGGACGTGTAGTCCCACGTCGATTCAACGGCTCCAAGTCCTTCCCCTTGCCCAACCCCACCCCCCCCGATGACTCCCCCAAATTCCTCAGTCAGTAAAATGTTTGACTCTATTTGCCAAATTGTGTCCTGAAGTTGCTGCATGCAATGCAATATCCATTCATATCCATTCCATCCATACATCAACTGCATTTATTTATGATTTTTTAATTTAACGTGATCTCCGAATGACTTTGTTTGGTGTTTTTTGATGCAGCGGGCTAGCGAGGTAGAGAGGGAAACTCGTGACATTTTCATGTGTATGGCACGCTCTCCACCAAGCATGGAGTCAACCCAAAGATGGGCAGCTGGGGAACTCTACGAATCATCCGTTCCAGATGCGGAAGACCACAGTTCTGCTCTTCCCTTGCTTCCAGTTTCCCTGTCAAACAAAGCCCTTTGCCACGCAAAGCTCAGTCGCTCGCAAATGGCATGGACGCACCACCTGTTCCACTTGGATGGTTGCCTCTCACGTATGAGTTTCCGTGTGTGTTTGCAGGTTTTTCCACATGAAACTGCTATTGACAAGGATATTTTATTTTTTTTCTCGGAGGACCTCTGTGTTCAGCTCCTGTAAGCGCATGAGCTCTGAACCCAGTTTTTCACCCATTCACACACCCTCAAACATGGAGCCGTGTTTGATTTTGGTAGGCAAGGTTCAAATTGCGGGAATGCGAGGAGGGACCAGTTCCTAGGACCGTTTGGTGTACACTCATTTGCTGGATTTGCAAGTATCGCTGAGCTTTCACAACCAATGTCAAGGTGAATCTAGGGCAAGTCCCAAAAAGGGATGGCTAAGCCATGGGATTGTGCGATCTTTCACCCAACTATAACCACGCAACAGCGGACAGGAGCCTTTCGAGGATTTTCGTTCTTCGCCGAGAAACCCCCAGAAGACTCCTCAATCCATGCCCCATCCTAGGCCAATGCTGCTGTCAGCGGGCTGGGGCTTGCACGCGCCTTAACCCTGCTGAAGGCCGGATTGCGAGTTTCATATTCTTTCAGTTCGGGGCCTTGCAGGCACAGGAGGCTGGGTGGATCTGGGTGGGGCAAAATATGGTTTAAACACCACCTTTACAAGGAAATAATCATCAGCACCAGTGGTTTGAACTAGTTTAAGCCAATGGGTTGCCCAACCCCGGTGAATTCCTCATGTTCAACCATCTTTTTTGTTTCTCCAAGAACAACGTGTTGGTTTTCCTGTTTGGAGGTGTTCCGGAAGGATCCTGGGAATGTTGACTCCCGCAAGGCTCGCCAACATGCTGTGGAGGAAATCCTGTTGGGCACCACCGTTCAGAAACCATGAAATGATTCGATTGCCCTGTAAATGCCAACGAAGAATGGTTTCCTCAAGTTGATGCAGGATATTGTCCACATGAGCTAGTAGCTCGTAAGTTACCTAGCCATGGAGAAGGAGTTTTCTAAACCCCTCGTGTCTCGCTAATGCGTATGGTTGTTGCCCATCAAGCGAATTTACGGACTGCTGCTCGGTGCCGCCTCGCCCCGTAGTGCTAAAACATCACTGAAATTTCTCTAGCGGTCCTAGCAAATGAGTATCGACAACAAACTCACATTGGTTGCTCCAAGGTAAGGGCCAACATCCGCCCACTACCATGGTGCCAAAATACCAGCCAGTTTCTGCCTGTGTTCTGAAACTCACCAGGGCTATGGAGGGCCGACGAAGAGGTGAGCAGATGAGCCTGCAGAGTGGCACAAAATTTACCTTGAAGCCATGGTGATGCTACGCCTGTTCCGGGGTTGAATGGAGCCCAAATTCGACGCGGAATCATTGATCTACCCATTTTAAAGCGAGCTCTGGGGAGAACGAGCTCAACATGAGAAAGGTCCTTTACTCGTGAATCCTCTAGTTCTGCTTTTGGAACTACGGCAAGATTTGCAGATATTGACCCTCTGTACGGCAAAGCTTTTTGAAAGCAAACAACGTTTCGAGCATCCGCGCGCGTCATGGGCCAGAGGCGGCCACATTTTGGTTTTGAGAATGACAGGCCTGGGGTTTCTGGGGCTCACCAGTCGCGAGCTCGTCAGGATGTGGAGGAGAAGGCTGAGCAGGTGGCGAACCCCAGTGGATACCTCAAGGCCTGGAGAAGTCGTGAGTGCCGTGCCATGTTTCACTCAGCTCAAGCGACTTCAGGGCACTCGCAACCGCGGCAAGGTGGTTTTATGCTTAATTAAGAACCACTTCCGTCCCCTGTCTTGGCATCCCCTTGCACAGGCAACTCCTTGCAGATGGTGGAAGTCTGGTCAAACGTGGGTTGCTACGACCGAGCCCATCGCCACTTTAGGCCGCCGCCGCGCGGGAGAGCGGGCCAGCCTTTGCAGCTTGGATATCGACTGCGGGTGTGTGTTGGGCCATTGGGGAGGGGGCCGGAGCAGCTCCCAAAGAGAAACCACGAGCCTTCATTTCAATAGCTGGAAGCCCGCTACCCTGTAGGGATGCAACATATTTTTATAGGCATGATTGGCACATGTCCTCACATTTTACTAGGATCATGACCCAGTTTTTATTTTAAGTACCACTAACCCCGCCCGACTAGGGCCATTTTGGGACCAAGGAGATGTCGATGTCCTCGGCCCTCAGGTGTGACCGAAATGGCCTGTGGCAAAATGACAAGTTCAGTGCCATGTGGCTACGCATCTTGATAGGGAACCACGTTTTGAGTGGTTGGACATGAATCCCCAGATAGAATTCCCACACATGTAGCAAACCAGTTTTGGAGGGCATAGCTCGCCGGCTCACTCGCAACTGAAGGAGTTGCCAAAGGCTCTGATCGGGTCCTAGGCTCTGATCGGGTCCTTACTATTGAACATGGATGGCTTCCAGCCCACTTAAATAGTTGGAAATAGGCATCATAGCTTGCCAAAATCTCTTCCAGCGCAATCAAGGGAACCGCCCTTCAACTAAACGGAACATGTTTGGTTACCTCTATGGGGTCAGAACCCTTGTGATTGGGGGTTAGGTTTGTAACCCTTGCTTTCCCAGCCAGCTGCGGCCCAAGTAGCACCACTCTAGGCTCGAAAACTGGGACCTGGGTAAGGGAAACCAACCTGGGCACTTCCCATATCCTTTGAGGCGGCGCCTCAGGCCAGACAGGCGCGTGCCGCGTGCCATGACACCGGCAGGAAGAACTCATCGGGAGCTCACCGAGTGTAAAATCGAACTTACCCCAGTCTCGCTTGCCCAGTGGGTTGCTCCCTTTGTTTCCAACTTTTCTTTCGGGAAAGGTTCCCCTTTTTATTGTCGGCCGCCCTCTTTTTCCTCGCATTTTTTTGGGGGGGAAGGGTTCCGGTTCCTGCAAAGTTAACCATCCAAAAAGTTGGATGCCGATTTTTTCCCAGGACCACTCGCTTGCCCAAAGCGAATCGACCTTCTTCCCCTTTTAGCTTCCCTTTTTGGGTCATGATTGGTCATGGCCCCAACAGGTTGAACTTGTATTCCTGGGTCCTTTAAGGCAACTGAGACGAAGGCCCCTTGAAAATTCTTAATATTCCCAGTTTGGGAGATATAGTAATATAGTTTCCAGCTGGGATCCATTCCTGCCATATCCCCAAGCAGAACCAACTCCCCTCAATGGGTGAGGTCTTGAGCTCTTGAGGTGGGGGTTTCCATCCAACACACTAAGAGGTAAGCTCTCCGCAGGGGATCTGAGGACAGCCCAATGAGAGGGGCGTTCCTCAAGGCGTCAACATGGGCTGCAGCAAAACAAGATGCAGTGACTGCCCCAGAGAATCCCAGCAATCACTGCTCATATAGGTGTCAGGAAACATTTTTTTCAATAGGGGGCTTCCCCAATACCAATTAGGGTCCAGAGCGACTGATACGATTCATTCGGGGTAGGGAGTCCTTTTAGTTTTTTTGTTTTTTTTGGGGGGGGGCGGCTTCGGGCAACTGAAGGGTGACTCCGTTCGTTGGTTACCACATTTTTCGCTCGAGAGAGAGATGCCCTCTTCGGGGGGCTTTCCAAAAAAAGTTACCCTCCTGTCCAGCAACATGCATTCCACCAAAGGGGGACATCTTAAAGGAAACTTGTCTTCCAGGACCCGGAAACGTCAGGTTCCATGTTAGTGGACAGGCAGGTACATGTGGTAGACTAAACATGAAATGGGTTTGTCATTTTTTATTGTGTTGAGTTTCTTCAAAAGGCAGAAGGTTGGACCTCCGCGAATCATACCCCCGAATCATACCCCCGAATCATACCCCGAATCATACCCCCGAATCATACCCCCGAATCATTTCCCTTAAAACGTATGCTGCAAGATGCTACTCCTCTTCTGCTGTTTGTGTTGTTTGGTGCTTCCACCACCACCACCACCAGCACCAGCTACTACTAATACTGCTGCAACTACTGCTAGTACTACCACCACCACCAACTCTACTACTTCTACTGCTACGACTGCTACTACCGCTACTCCTCGAATACAGCAGCAGCTATCATAAATCATACCTCGAATTATACCCTTACTACTACTCCTCCTCCTCTCCTCCTACTACTACTACTACTACTACTACTACTACTACTATAACTACTACCCCTACTCTTACCACCACTACTACGACATTCATCATTCTGTGTTCGTAATCAGTTCCGTATTGCAACTAGCCGAATCATACCCGCGAATCATTCCCGAATCATACCCGGACAATGAGCTTCCCTAGTGCCAGTCTTTTACAAAGCTTTCGCACCCTTCTGCTACTACTGCTACCACTACTACTACTACTACTACTACTACTACTACTACTACTACTACTGTGTTACTACTACTACTACTGCTACTACTACTACTACTCCTCCTCCTCTTCCTCCTCCCCTCTACTACCACCACCACCACCACCACCACTACTACTACTACTACTACTACTACTACAACTACTACTACGACTACTACCTTTTCCACTACTGCGACATGCATCAATCTAAGTTTGCAATCAGTTCCGTTTTGCAACTAGCCGAGTCATACCCGCGAATCATACCCGAATCATACCCGGACGATGAGCTCCCCTTGCCAAGGCTAGTGCCAAGTCTTTTCACAGCTTCGCACCACAACAGCCGCTGCTTCTTCTGCTACAACTTCTACCACTACTACTGTATCCTGCTGCAATTGCAACCACTATACCGCTTCTACTACTGTGACTGCTACTGCTACTACTCCTACTTCTCCTACTACTACTACTACTACTACTACTACTACGACTACTACTACTACTACTACCACTACTACTACTACTACTACTACTACTACTACTACTACTACTACTACTACTACTACTACTACTGTTGCTGCTGCTTGAGCAAATCATACCCGTGAATCATACCCCAGAATCATACCCCGAATCATACCCGCGAATCATACCCCGCACTCAATTCTTCCTGCCCGGCTCCCGTAAAAAATGCAAACCCAAATGTGGTCAGAGCACATGATTTTCTGAAAAGGGCACCCTTTTTCTACTGAACGAGAGCTGGTTGCCACCAGCCACCCAAAGCTGGGCAGTTGGTTCCGTCTCCTGTTTGACGTATGTCCCTTTCTGGAAATTCGACTTTGCCAGCAGGAAGCCGAGCGCTGTCCGTCCGGTTTTTGGCGCGACTCACTCGTGTTTGGTCTATGGCAGGGAAATTCTTAATGGCATTGACTGTATTTCCCTTCCCTTGCTCTGGACTTTCAACTTGAGACTTCCATTGGCATAACCTATTGTTTTTTGTTTGTTTTTTTCTCCCTGTTTGTTTTGAAGGGAATCGATTTCACCACTGGAGGTATGTTCTCATTTTGCCAGGGGCAAAATTGGAGGCAGATCATGTTGTGGGAACAGATCCAATCTGTGACGTTTCTCACTCCATGGAAGTGAGACACGCCAGGGCTACGGCGCGCCTGGCGGCGATGGGAAGATCCACAGGTCTCGGTGTCCGATTTCCTGGCGGCTTACCCCATGCGTCCCAGTTCTGTTTCTAGCCCAAGGACAAACACAGCTAACATCACCGAAGTTTGTCACTTCCTCCGTGGATTAGCGGGTTGGCGGACAAGCCTAAACTTTCCGTTTACCACCCGACTTTTCCCAACAAGTACTCCCCTTCATTGTTCACGGAAAAAGCCCATGATTTGAGGAATCACCTCAAAGGAGGGGACCGATTTCCGAATTCCGCGTGAAACTCGCCGTTCAAAAGAACCGGAACTTGCAACAGAGCATTCCAAAACGAACATCCAACTTAGTTTAAGTGTCCATTGGAGAAAGTGAAGGGAAATGTGTTGCTTAGCACCCAAGAATAGCCAACAGGAGGAGGCCTAAAGATCGAAGGGCCAATTATCCCTCCACCTTCAAGGAGAGTGGGTTGTTCCCTGATAGGATTCCACATCAAATGTGGTCAACCCCAAACAGCTTGGCCCCCTTTTCTTGCGTAGAAGGGGTCACTTCGTGCGCCTTCCCGCCCTTGGCCTTGGGCCATGCGCGTCAGGAGGGCTACGTGGCTCAACGCCAATGTCTTCCAGGACGGGGTCCCCTAGCTCCACCCCCCCCCCCACCGAGCAGCGCCCAAATCCCAAAGTGCGATAGGTGGTCCGACCACCTGGTTTGACTGGGCTTCACCCGGTGAAGCCAGTGTAGCCCTGCGTAAAGAACGAAGCGGCAGAGAAAGAATAAGCTGCGGAAAGAGAATGATAAATAGTGATAAAGAGAGATATAAAGATAAAGAGAAAGAGAGAGAGAGCGAGAGAAACAAACAAACACATGAAGAACAAGAAATGAAGAGAAGAGAAAGCGAAAGTGATTGGAAAGAGAGAGTCGAGAGAGAGAGAGAGAGAGAGAGAGAGAGAAAAAGAGAGAGAGAGAGGGAGAGAGCGGGAGAGGGAGCGAGAGAGAGAGAAAAGAGAGAGAGACAGAGAGCGAAAGAGAAATAAACCTATAATTCCTATATTTGTTGAAACTTCCGCCCACCGGCTTCGTCGGCTTCACTGGAACCTGTGACAGCTTGCTACTGATAGGTTCCCCTCACCCTGGCGAGGGAGCCTATCTAAGCCGTACTTCCGCAAAATCCGGGTATGCCTTTTTCGAGGGCATCATTTGGGAGGTTTAACAGGAAAGGAAGACCGCGCCAATCTTATGGGTCCATTTCCTATTGAACCACTCCAAGTGGAAACCCTCAAGCTTGGCCATGTTCTGCTATGATGCTGTGGGTCACTCGGGATGTGCTGAGAGAGTGCAGCAAATATCTTAGATGCTCAGCCGTGGCAACCCAGACTGATTTCCGGGGTGCGCAGGCTTTCAAGCTTGAGCTCTGACGCCAATGCGTGCAACACTTCCTGGACCATCTTTTCTTAGTGAGTGCGTTTCCTGTTGCTAGGGATTCCTGATTGGCTTCCCAGCTCGGACGTTTGGGCGAGTGCGGGAGCTGTTGAATGGAGAGACTTTACGAATGACATTTCCCTCTCACACACTCTCACTTTGCCAGGAGAGGCAGATCGATGCAGAGGCAGACGCGCCGGATGTGTAGCTGACACAAACCCGGATTGGCTTCAACAATCCCCACCCTCTTACACATGGAATTGTGGGAGGGTTGATGGAATTGGGGGACCCTCCACCCCTCCTCCCCCTTAAGGTAGGGGGGATCTTCAAAAGGTCTTGCTGCGGGGTGTAAACATCACGTTGTTTTTGCTTTGTCATTTGAACCCCAGCCCCGTATTAGCCCTGCAACTGCGCGGCATCTGAGGTTGCTACCACCTTGCTGATGAATTATCATTCACATATGCTTAGTGGGGATTGGACATATGTCCTTGAGAACATCATTTTGAAAGGTTTGGACCTCGGCGACTGCTTGGCAGGTGCTCCTTTTGCATCATTTCAGGGCTCGGGATCCCTTGGTTGGCCAATCAATTTGAGAAAGTCAAGCAGACAAGAGCAAGTAAGTGTAGGAAAAGCTCAACAACTAGAATGAGGCTGTGGTGGAATTGTTGGGCCGAAATTTGGAATGCGACAACTTTAGTGGGAGATGAGATGTCTAGGTTGCCAATGACATTGAACCCCTAGTTGGGGGTTTGGGGGGAAGTGGTAGCATTGAACACCTTTATGGGGGAACCGACCGGAGGTATATAGTTTAAACGGGATTTTGAATCAACTCAAGGTTGACTCGCAGCCTGTTGCCTGGTTACCCTCCCACCAGCTGCGTAACATGGAAGTGCATAGACCCCTGTAGAAAGACGACTTTCCTCTTGGAAAGAGCCTTTTTGCACTTCCATGTTAGTTGGTGGGAGGGTATGCCTTTCCCCCTTACGGGGGCTCGCAGATCTGTGAAGCAAGAATTGCTCCGAACGTGGTCGAGCCAGGCCATCGCCGCCATGGGGACGTTGCCGCCGCAGCGGGCCATGGAATTGTTCAAGGATGTGGAGGACCATGGGAAGGGGGGTGACGCCATTCGCGGAGATATAAATCAATTTATACATATATATATATATATGTGTATTATAGTTTAATTCTCTCCACATATGTAAATATCGATGTGTATGTATGTGTATATATATATATGTATGCATGTATGTATGTTTTGTTTTTGTTGAGCCAGGCAGGTCAGAGGATGCCCGTGCTTTGTTAGCCACTCCTCCCCTAAAGATGGGGTCAAAACAGGGTTCACTTTGACTCTTGGTCGTTATCCAGGTCAGCCGGTTGTCGTTCACCTCCAACCTACCACGGACTTCGAAATTGTAAATTCATGGGGCCAGCAAAACGAGGGAATTCCTTTCCTTTGGCCTGCCTTAGGAACAGACGGAGTACTTTTGATGTCGCAGATGTCTCAGCTACTTGAACAAATGGGGCCCGGTTTCCCTTGGCCAACCCAAGCCCCAAGCAATGCCACAAAGTTCCGCAAATCTCAGCCCTCCAAAAAAAAGTCTCACTGTGTCGCAGGAGAAGAAGGATCAAGTGCAGAACCCATCGGGCTACATCAAGGCGAGCCGAATCACAAAATGGGGGTGGCGCTTTGTCTTAGACACTTCGGATTTGAGCCCCTTAAAATCGTTCAAATGGTGCCTCGGTTTTCCAACTGGGTTTCCCTTTGAAGCCACCCAAAAGGGTACCCTGAAACAGAGGAAGACAGCAGCCACTCGCATTGGGCCGTCTAAGGGTCGTTAGGATTTCCTGTCCCTCAGTTGCCCAAAACGAAAACAAAGACATGTTTAACCTTTTCATGTTTTTGGTTTGGCAACCATACTTCGTCAAGTGTCCAAAAGGTGAGTCTTGTTGATCGGGTTCTTTGGGCAACTGGCTTCCGGCCGGCTTAAGCCCTTGGTTTTCCTTCTGTCATGTTTGCTCAGCAAAAGTTCGATGTTTGCATCCTTTTTATTTTGTTCATTTATAAATATATTCATGTTGCTAGTGCAACAGGCACCTTCCCCCTAATTGGTTGTTTGGACGTTGGGGGCTACCATCCCCATTTGGTTTCAAGAGGAACTGGGGTTCAAATCCCAAACCACCAATCCAAACCACCAACTAAGGGGAAGCTGAAGCGGGTGATCCAAGTCAAGGCCCATTACCAACTTGGTTCTAACACGAGCGATTTTGGCCAAAACACCAGCTGACCTCGTATTTCCCTTGAACAAATGACATATCTCCTTGGGCCCTTGTAATTCCATTTGAGGAGGTGGCCCCTTCACCTGTTGTCTTACGAAAAGTGACATATCAGTGTGCTTGTCCAGGGCTCCTGTTCTTCTTTTTGCTCAGGGGTAGTTTTTTTGTTCGAGGGGCTATGGTTAACACCCACTTTCCAAGGTTGTGATCTCCCCTAAGTAGGCCAGGGCTATGACTTCCCCAAGTAGGTTTCTTACCATGGTTACCATCCATTAGCTGATTTATCTGACTAGGCCAAGGCCATTAAATAATAACCACGGTTACTTGGGGAAATCCGCTAATGGATAGCAACCGTGGTTATTACTTGATAGCCTTGGCCTACTTCGGGAGATCAGCCAATGGATAGTCGGTTACTATTCATGGTTACCATAGTTACCATCCATTAGCTGATTTCCCAAACTAGGCCAAGGCCATTAAGTAATAACCACGGTTACTTGGGGAAATCCGCCAAGGCCATTAAGCAATATCCACGGCTCCTATCCACTAGCTGACTTCCCTAAGTAGGCCAAGGCTATCAAGTAAAGAATCCAAGGGAAATGGATAGTCGGTTCCTCTCCATGTACCTTGCGCACCGCAAGACCCCGCCCCTTCACCGAGGCTGCCGTGAAGCGCGAGGCCCCCTCCTTCGCCCCGATCCGCGGCGCGGGGCCGCCGGTGGTGGCGCCCTACGCCGCGATGCAGCGGCCGCGGGGACCGCGGGCGGCGCCCATGGCGCTGCCGTACCAGGCGGGAGGTGTTTAAGGAAAAACAACAAAAAATATAGTGCTACATTCCGCCCTCTAGTAATTTTTGGTTTTCATGGACAAACACAAAACATATAGTACTACATTATGTTTTCTAGGTATGCGGTGGGCGCCCTGTTCGCCAAATTGCTCGCGTAAACCAACCACAAACCCTTTCAATATGTTGGGCATCCACCATACCTTTACAGAGCCTGCCTTTGAAGCAAAAACCCAGTGGGAGAAGTGGTGTCAACAATTATATTTGCCTCGGGAAATGTCCAAGCCAAAATCGGGAGCCCTTGCATCTCCAAGGGGAGTCAGGGGTTTGCAATGGACAACCACTCCACCCTTGGGTGAGATTCGGAAATATGTCACTCCCAAATCTTAGACTTGCAGACCTTTTTGATGAGGCTTCGTCTTCATTTCTTGTTTATCCAGTCTTCCCCGGAAAATGGGACCACAAATGAAATTCCAGGGGTCACCCCCCTCCCCCAATTCCATTTTGGAGGGGGTGGGGATGAACCAATGGGCCCATAAGCGGCCTTTTAGGGGAAAAAGATGGATATCCCTGGTAGGATGATTAAACCACCACGTCAACCAGGAACCGCCATCTATTTTTCGACCAAAACAGCCAAGAAGGACACCTATGCCATGGATTGCCTGACATAACGTGGGTTGACTTTGAACCCCTTCGCACCACAAACTGAAACCATGGTTGAAGTCATAACGTTTGTTGGTATTTGCGCTGGGGAATCGAATTTTTGCAGGGGTAGGTGGTGCCAACGGACTTCGTCCACCCACAGCAACGCGGAATGCAAAGGCAAATCAAGAGATCCCGTGAACATCTTCAGGGGTTTCTAGAATAGTGATTTCTCAGCAACAGGTCGACAAGCCATTTGTTTCCACAAGAAAGGCCAAGGCCAAAGAACTCAGGAAAACCGAGTCAGAGATCCCCTGCAAAAAAGTCGTAAAAAACATGAGGAAATCCCAAAGCATGAAAGCAACTCCCCCACACCCCCTTCCCGTAAGGTAGGGCGGATATTGGTTCCGATCCGAAGTGGCTAACCCGTCCACCCGCAAGGGCCAGGCGGAAGAGAAGATCCAGCGCAGGGCGGCCTGGCTGAACGACAAGGTCTTCACCGACCGCCCCATTGACGACGAGGTTCGAGGGGACCGGAGAACTCGGGGGCAAAGAACCTTGACTGCTATTAGGCAACGGATGTTTAGACTTGAACTTTTTGGTTGAAATAACGGTGTTTTCCACTAAACCCCCAAAACAATTAAACTTTTTGCAGGGGGGTCAACAGCAATCAAGGAACGGCCCTGTCTTTTCAACGTCAAACCCTGGAAAAGGGTCCAGTGCTGCCCGTTTTCTTCCTGCTTTCTGGGGGAAAGGCTGTCCCTTGAAAGTGAACCCACACAAAAAAAAGGGATGCCTTTTTTTTCCCTGGCCGCTGGGCATTTGAGGGGTGCAGGATGGGGTTTCTTCACTGCTTGGAACTCCCTGAGTTCCCGGACCTGGAAGTTTTTGGCCAGTCCAGTCATGAAGTGAGTGCCTTTGCTGGGCTGGTCCCAAGACACATTTTGGGGTTTGTAAATATGCTACAGGCTACAGAGTCAACACTGCGGTCGCTACTTTCTGTGTACCCACATGTTTCTCCTTCATCATCCATCACCCTAGATCAGTAGGCCAATGGGTCTGCAATGGTTCTTTTCACGAAACCCGAAAGGGAGACAGGACATAAAAGGTCATTTAGGTATGGCAAGCAAACGAGGGGGACCCTTGTATTCGAACACATTTGTTGTTTGACCTGTATTGCTTGGTCTATGGGCTGATCCACTCAGGAAAAGAGTTCACCTGAAAAGGAAACGACCCCAAGGCCTCTGTTGGCTTCAGTCAGACTGTTCGTGGGCCCCTAGGTATTGTCTCAATCGACCTCCAAAACACGGCTGCCTGGAGTCGCCATGACCCCTTTATTTTGGGTAATGACCAACCATTTTTGAGGGTCATGGAGACTCCAGGTGGTTTCCTTTGGTCCTTTTAGTGTTTAGTGGTAGTGTCCATTTAACCCGCCAACAAATAATCTTTTAGCGTGGGATCTGAGGGCAGCCCAGTTTGGGTTTCCTTCCCAGCCAGCTTTTGGCTCCGAAAATCGAGAGGCGGTGGCCATGATGGGGAGTCTCTCCATAGCTCGCGCCATGGAGCTCTTCAAGGAGGTGGAGGAAGCTAAACTTTGCATTTTGCGAAGGGATGTTAGGACTTTAACTTCTTGCTCCTGGTTTGGAGGGGGGGGGGGTGGTTCAGCTTGGATTTGGACCCCGGGAAAAAGCCAGGTATCCTTTACTTTGTTGCAGTGGGTTTTAGGACGTTAACCTTTTAGCTACTGGGTTTCCATTCAACCACTGAAAGTTCAACTTTTAGCAGGGGAGCAGAAAGCAGCCGAGCAAAGCTGATCGGATTTGGCGTGGATTCCGCGGGACGCCTGTTTTGGTCGCAGGTGGCCATGGGTCAAAACCCAAATCGTACCCCCAGTGAACATCCCAATCCCCACTAAAAATAGGTTCTAAAATGGGTGGTGCACCTACCCCAAAATGGTACCATTGGTTTTGACCGTCGTACTCGGTTGTTTTGGTCGTAGGGGTTTGCTGGTTCACTGGTTCTTCTAGGGGTTGATTCCTTGTCCATTCTTTTCAGCCAGCGTTCTTTAAACAAAAAAAATCGCCATTTCCCAGCGTTTTGGGTGGTTTTCTAAAAAGAAGGATCCCTGGAAGGAAGGGGGAAGTTACCCCTAAAGTTCTGCCTATTTGGTTTTTTGGTCGTACTGTGGACGGACAAAATCTATTTCGCATCACTTTGAAACCATGGTTGAAACCATTTTTGGTCGGTATTTACAGGGGAATCATCATTGTAGGGCTTCTTAGGTGGAGCAGGATTTCGTCCAGCCACAGTAGGTGTTTGCGGGTCCACTGGTTCTGCCCATTTCACTGGGTGCTTAAGTGAATGGTACTGGTACCTGGGCTGGGTCGTGATCTTGTGTTGCTCGTGTTGCTTTTCTACCCCCCTCCCCCCCGGGGGTGAAGCAGGTGGAGTTGTTCACTGCTTGGTACCTGGTTCGGCCGAACAGTGGCGTTTGAATGCAGACGTTCGAGATCGGTGCCCTCCCGACAGCTCGCCTGGACCCTCAAATTCGCTTGCTTTGCCTCATGGAAAGCCACACCATCTTCACGCACTGTGGGCAGTTTGAGGGTCCAGGTGGCGTTTTTGGCCGATTCACCTCATTCCTTGCTATTCTGCATTTCGTGGTTTGGCTTGGGGATTTGAAGCTGAGGGTTCTTGTTGAGGGTGCATGGGCAGTATTTCACCGTGCCCTCCAAATCACCGGGCTCCAAACCTTGTTGAGGGCTCCTTAAAAGATCTCCATTTTGCAACCATTTGAAACATGGCGTTTTCCACCAAAATAAAAGGACACCACCATTTACAAGGCAATGTTCAGGTGTTTTTCATGTAAGGATCCCTGTTGAGAAGGGCTAATTTTGCTGGCGCTCAGCAGGGAACCTGGGGATTCCCGTAAAGGAAGCCAACTCGGGGCTGCTGTTTCTCGGGGCCATTCCAATTCTCATTCCCCAATCGAACCAGCAAGTGATTTTCCGAGGAGAAGCAGCTGCAGGTCAAGAACCCCAGCGGATACCTCAAGACCGCCTGTGCCAACGACGCCGCCGGTGCCGGCGCCGCCGGAGCGGGCGGAGCTGGCGGAGCCGGCGGAGCCCCGGGGCCCATGGCGGCTTGGACCACACGCCGGGTGAGAGCGCCGTTTTGGAGGGCACGGTTTGGGGATGGTTTTCAAGGGAAGCCAAACCATGAGTTTGTGTTGTCTCCGATTTGTTGGGGGAGACACACCGGTTTTTTCCAATGGACACGTCCACATGCAGGGCAAATGTCTGGACTTGTTGGATCGGACGCATTCAAGCGCATACTAATCAAGTGGGGCTGTCATTAAAGTTGAGGCGGGTGTAGCCCAGCAGATCAACAGGCACTTCCCTGCCAAACTCCGTAAGGACCATTCCTCATACATGTTCCTTTTCTGGGTCCCAGGGATCACTTTTCCACGGGGGCTTAGCCCCAGTTTACCTTTTTGCAATGACATTCAGCTATTGTGAAGACCACAACGCTTGCGCCTCTCATAGACATCATTAGGCTGAACTGATTCCGTATAAGTTGCCGAGTCGAGGTCACTCCATGTGATGTTTGTCGCCATGCCTGTGGTGCATGGTGTTGCCTGGTGCGAGGTACAAACCTCGCAATCTCAACGAGGCATTTTTTGCCAGACTCAGCTTCCCGTTTTTCACTGCTTGCCTTTTCTGTTTTATGCAATTCCCCTTTCAACCGGCAAAAAATACCTTCTTTCAGAGATCTACCTCCATTTGCTTAAGAATGTTTGTTTTTTATTTTTTTTTATTTTTTTTTTTTTAATTTTTTTCCCTTGTTGGTTTTGGTCTACTGGAAGCATTTTTGGTTTTTCCTGGGCGGAGGTCTAAGTCGAAGTCCGGTCCAGAAAGCGACGCAACCCAGGATGAGTCCAAGATCCACCGCAGGGCCACTTGGTTAAATGCCAACGTCTTCCCGGACAGGCAGATTGATGAGGAGGCGTCCGTCTGAGCTGCGTGGGTTACTTTTGCGGGGTCCCCCAGTAGTGCCCCAGTATTTTTTTGGGGAGGCTTCCCCTACTACAATAGACTACAGAAGAAAGGGTACCCGTATTTCTATCTTCTCTACTGGAGGACCTAGTTTTGCTTGCCCCTATCGCGGTTGCAATCCCGAATCACGTGGTTTCTGAGAGGACTTGCTCCCCTAGGAACAATAAATTCAACTGGGCATTCTGAAATCAGGCCCTCAGTGGCGGAGCGTTGCCTTGGGCAACTTGAGCTTTCGCAGCCTTGCTTAAGACCAGATTATGATTGGCAACTTGCAGTTTGCTCAAGTGAGCTTCAAAAGGAAGCAAGAGGGATGGGCTTACCCCGTTCTCTCTTGGCTTTCCCGACCTAGTAATCCTGCGTTGATTTCTTTATTTGGGCTTCATCCCTTGGTGCAAAGTGGGCGTTGTCATAGGGTCAGACCCGGCGGTTCCCAGCTCCAGAAGGTTTTTTCGGTTAGGGTTTACTGGCGGTTGTCCGGTTGTTCCCACAAAAAGTTAAAGACTTGTAGCCGGGAATCTGAAAACGGACAACCCAGTGGGTTTTGCTTTTAGGGGACATCTTTTTGCGTTCCTTTTCTTGGTGGGTCATAGCGGATGGTCATATCTGCGTGTGTGAGTGTGTGTGTGTGTGTGTGTGTTGTTTTTTGTTTTTTTCGAGGCACTGGTTTTGCAGGAAACCCATGAGCAAAACCACCTATCTTGGCAAGTCCTCACGAAAAGGCACTCCCAGAAGGGGCAAGTATGGGCAAGTTTTGTTTTTCTTTTTCGAGTTACTTGGACCCTCAAACTACCCTGAAAATTGGTTGCCGCAAAATGATGGCAATACCTGGCCCCCAGAATTCAGCTGCCTCAAGCTACCCACTTTGAGGGTCCAGGTTCATGAAAAAAAAACAATTTTCGGGCTAGCTTGAGGGTCCATGTTCAGGTCCAAAGCTCTGGATGCCTCCGCACATGGCGTCAGGCCATCCAGGCCCTGATGAGCCTCTCCGTACCACGGGCCATGGAGCTCTGCAAGGCGACTCCGACTCCGACTCCGAGTCGAAGCGGAGATGAGGTTTTGCTCTTCGCGTTTTGTGGTGTTCATAAGGGTTTCCAAATTTCCAAAAAGGAAAAGCGGCGTCCATTTTTGGGGCTTCAAAACAAAATGTCCAGAGTTGTGTATGGCTCTTGCCGATCTGACCTTCTAGTTTCCGCTTGTTCATTTTTTGGTCATGGCCCCCCAAGGTAGACCTTGTATTTCTGGATCTTTTGGACAACTGAGTGGTCCATTGGGGGAGGGACGAGAAGGGGCGAGCTCTGAATGACCACAGAACACACCAGGGGACTCGAATTGGCTCACGTCCGGAGGGGGGGGTCCCAGTGTCAAAGGGTACCCCCCCCAAAAAAGGGTCAACCAAGAGGGGGCAGGGTATCAGACATACCCATGCCATTCATTGCCTCGCGTTATTTTTGGAAGACTAGCTGCATGGAAGAGGACCCCCCTCCCTTTCCAACAGGCCGAGAACTGACCAACCATGACTCCCAAAGCAAATGCAGGGCAACTCCAAGGTATGCTTTTCGAGAGTCATGTTTCTACCCTGCCCGTTGCAACCCGGCAGCCGGAGGCTTCCAAGTTATCAACTACCGGTTGCTTTTTAGCCCGGTTGCTCAAGCTGGGATCCATGCGAAGGTCTGGATGCTAATTTTCCCTCAAAAACGACCTCCAGGGACCTGTGTTCGTTCTTTTTCTTACGGACCCCCCCATCCCTTGAACACCACAAAAAGGGGGGCTCGACAAAAGTGCCGATGCGTATGTTTGTTTCAGACCCCCCTACTTGACAAGCCTGGGCAAACACACATCTTCTTTGTTTTGCCAATTCACTCAGGAAGTGGGGATCTCTTGCAAAGATGGGTATGTGTGACCGTAGTGGGGTCCCCCCAAAATAGAGTTGTTTTTCCAGTTTCCCTTCACCCAGTGAAAAGGGTGCCTTCAACACGGCATGCACACACGCACACACACACACACATGAATTTCCTGGGCTTCGTATCCGGTGTGGTGAGTCTCCCGTCGCGTACTTTCACCCATGTGCCATGCAGACGGTTTTCCTTTACCTCCAGGTGAAACGAGTGCCGAGCCTAAAAAAGATCGAGTGAAAAAAGAGCGCCCGAGTGAAGGTTCATGCCTTTCACCCCCCCCTCGAAACGCTCCCTGTTCAGCTATCCCTGATTGTTTTGTTACAAAGGAAAGCCAAAAGGAACAACGAAGCCATTTTTCTTTTGGGGGGGAGGCCCTAGGCTATAACATCCATTCCCGGGGTTGTGGGAGATTTCTCAAAACCACTTCTGGACAAGCGACCCTCCCCTTTGCATATGGGGAGTTTGAGGCGATGATATGGACTAGCGGGATGCTACTCGGACAGTATAAGACCAAGTCGGACCATCAAAGTTGGGGGGTTTGTCTTTGTGAAGGTTCTTTCTGACTAAATCGCAGTGGTCATTTATTCACAGCCCCCCATTGCCCCCACAGGACGTGGAGGAGAAGCAGCAGCAGGTGAGGAACCCCAGCGGTTACCTCAAGATGGCGGTGGCCCGCGAGTCCGGAAACGGCGCGCCGAAGGCGGTTTTTCAAGCGGCCCATCAGTCGAACGCGCCTTGGATGCGATGAGAGATCTCCGTGTTCGTTTGGGTGTGCCTTCCTGGAGTCTCCATTTGTTATTATTGTTATTATTATTATTATTATTATTATTATTATTATTATTATTTATTTGTTTGGTGGGTCATTACTCAAAATAAAGGGGTCATGGTCCCATTTTTTAAAGGGTCATGGAGACTCCAGGTCGTACTTGGCCCATCCTGGGCTTATCACAGGGATAGCCCCCCCAAAACTGTTTTGCAAGGGGGAGTTCTTCGTAGTTTTGCTCATAGCGGCTTGGCAACCAGACGCGTAGTTATGTCACAACGAAGTTGTGCCAGCCCTCACGCCAATGATGCTGGACTTCAGCAAAGCATATGGGCAATAGACTCCAAACTTCAGCAAACTAGACCAGACCACTGATCGCTAGGAGTTTTCACAAGCGGAAATACCGTTCGCCTTTCCCATCATTTTCCACAGCCGGGCCGAAAGAACAGCTTGCTACGGGCTACCGCAAGCCTGCCCCATGCTTGCGGTCACTCAGCTGGTTCATAGAAACGCTGCCGGGTGCAGCTGGAACTGGGAAATGCGCCTCTTCAATCCTTCTCGGTCTAGGCGTCCTTTTTATGGAGACTGAGACGAAGACAATGTTCGCAACAGGAATCTCCTGGAACATGTCTGTGTTGGGCGTGTTAGGCGTTCCATGTTGGATTGTGCGTTCCTGAAGGGGCCTGCAAGCAGCTAATTCTGGAAACCAGGGCCGCATGAAGGCTCCTGGTGACCAATATGAGGCTCTTTTCAATCATGGAGGGAGGGAGGGCGGGAGGGAGGGAGGGAGGGAGGGAGGGGAGGGGGAGGGAGCCCAAATACGGCCCTATTCAAAGGCCTTAGGGCTTGTCCCTCCCCCTCCCCTCCCTCCGTCCCAGCCATGATTCAAGGTGTCAGGGCTCATTCCCCTCACCATCCTATGGCATGAGGCCATCTTCGGGGTCTTCCGAGGGTCGGCCGGGCTTCAGAAGCCCTTCGCGCACAATCGGTTGTTGTTGGGAAACCACATTTGGCAAATTGTTGCTTCTTGTGGTTTAGTGGTTGAAGTCCAACCACTTAACTGCTAAACTTCCATTTGTTTTTGCTCCCCTTCCAACGTCAACCAATCTGAGGTACCGGCCGGAGAGGAGGATTCCAAGATTCATCGGCGGATCACTTGGCTGAAGCCTGGCTTTGTCAAAACCGCGCCATCGGTGTGATAGGGAAGGACTCTCCCAGTCCGGGTGTTGAAGTTGAATGAACCGGAGAGGAAGATTCCCGCAGAAAGGAAACCACCAGTAGGATGGTTTATGGGGGTCATTCCAAGTTTGTTTCGAGATCCCAAAAGGTTAGCCGTATATATGTCCTTTTCGTGCTTCGGGTGTACTCATGGAGGTGCAAAGCGTTATTTCGGGAACCACTCCCATTCGCGTTTAAGTCAGCTAGTGTTTCGCATTTGAGGGATAACCAACCTAATAGATACTTATTGACATACACAGATGCTGATGCAGATGCCATAGAGTTTTACATATGTGTGCGCATTTATGTACGGCACGCCCCTCACCTCGTCAATGCATGCTTGTTCCAATGGTGCACGACAATTGGTTTCAGGTACAAGTGATTCAGCATTTGTCTGATTTCCTAATGCGTCCCAAAAGGCTCCAACACAAGTGAACCTTCTGTGTTGTCCTGGCCGGCAAGGAATGCCAACGTCTTCCCGGACCGGCAAATCGATGATGAGGCGGGATCAATGCACACATCCCCCACATGATGCTTGGCTCTTCAAAATTAATCCTAGTGATTCTAGACCATAGCAGTAACCTTTGATCCACAAGGAGCAGCTTTTTGGCCCATCCATTTGGGGGACGCAGGTCTGATGTCAGTCGTCAACCCTTAATCCTTCATGCTATTCCCTTGGTGCTCCAACCTGGCTGGGTTTCAATAGCACTTGTGCTATTAGGTTATTCGTTTATGGCTGTGCGTGTTGTGCCTTCTGTCCAATTTGTCTTTTTTGAATTTTGTGCTTAGTGTTGTGGATGCATGGCAGAACCGCTTGACCGGGCCAAACATCCAAGGTTAGATGTCAAAATCGAAGTAACAGGATGCCGGGCCGTGCTGGGTGTTCACAAGGGCCAGCGTGCCTCTGAGAATTGGAAAGAGAGTAAGTCGATGCAAGTTAAATGGGCATGACTTGTAACTGGGGGCCCTTTCGTGGACATCGTTCAAGTAAGGATTCATGTCCACCAACCACTTCTCTGCAAGAAACCAGCAGCAGCCGGTTTTCGAGATTCATTTTGACAAACGTACGACCGTTTGTCTAGCTGGGCCGTGTTGCTTTTTTATTGAGCCTTCTTTTAACCCCTGTTGGGTTCTCCATGTGAATATACTGGATCCATTCCTGCTGATTTCGCTACAGCAAGTCTCATCTTCTTTTCCCGGCCAAAAAAAGCACCTCGTTTGTTCCATTCTGACACACCTATTTGATGCACATACTTGCTGCCTAGTGGTGAAACAAGTCAGGACTTGTCCGGGGTGGTTGGCAAGATTTGAAGCAACACTTGAACATATGCGATGTTCTGCTTAGCCCATTGGGCCAAGTCTTGAAACCCGGGAATTTGGATCAGTGGAAATGACCGGGATGCAACGAGAAGGCCTCGCAAACGAGAAGCGCCCTAAAGCCAAACTGGCAGGAGGTTATACTCTCGTAGAGGAGTGGAGCACTATGGTGGCAGAACTTGGGATGGTTTGGGGTTTATCCCTAATGTTGCGAATGTTGACCCCATATAAATATTGATCAACCCCAGTTTACGCATAGGGAGGTGTTCACACCCAAAAGTCATGATTCCCAACTAAACCCAGGGACACCCCTCTACTAATGAACTGGCGTAGATTCATACGCGGTCAACATTACCCTCAAATCAATCAATCAATCAATCAATCAATCAATCAATCAATCAATCAATCAATCAATCAATCAAGCAAGCAAGCAAGCAAGCAAGCAAGCAAGCAAGCAAGCAAGCAAGCAATCAATCAATCAATCAATCAATCAATCAATCAATCAATGGAAGCACTGGGTGTACAACCAATGAAGAGACCACGACATTGACATGTTTGATTTCCCCTGCCGACCTGGTCGGTTGGTTGCTTTCTTCCCAGTCACAAAGGGCACCTGCGTAAAGGTAGGATGCTAAAGGGCGATTCCGCATGCCGGTGATTCCATTTCGGCATATAGCTTGTAACCAAGGGAACTGCCCTAGAGCCAAAAGGAACATGGCTGGATACAGTAGCTGCTGTTGGGGTAAGAGGGATCTATGCTCAAATTTCTGTTCTTGTTTGCCCTCCAAATCGAAATTTGTCTAAATGGCTGAATGGTGAAGAACCCTGACATGACAGACAAACAAACTTAATCAAACTTACATACATACATGCATGCATGCATGCATGCATGCATGCATGCATGCATGCATGCATGCATGCATGCAATATTATATATATGTATGTATATCTAGATACATACACACACATATATATATATATATATTCAGCTTGAATGATCGCCCAATATGTTTTTCAAGTCCTACGAGCTTCCCGAGACCGAGACGTCGTGGCCGCGCCGAGGCCCGGGGGGCCATGTTGGGCATGGGCATCGCGCGGGCCTTCGAGCTCCTCAAGGCTCGGCCCCACGGCCGTCGGACGGGCTGTGTTGAATTTTGCCCGCCGTTTGGGGCGGTTTTCGGGTTTGGTTTAAAGGGTTTGAAAGGGTCGGTTTTAGGGCCAGGGCATTTGGCAATTTGGGTTTGTTAGGGCTGTTTTGGGGCCAGGGCTGTTTAGGGTCTGTCTCGTAGGGTTTGGTTTAAATCCGCTTTGGCTTTCCTCGAAGGGATTTTAATTGGGAACACCCGCATGTCATCCCCTGAGCACCAGCAACATGATCAAACACCCCAATCTCCTTCTGACCCTTCAAGAATCGGTCCATGACCCCTTTATTTTATGTAATGACCAACCATTTTAAAAAAGTCATGGAGACTCCAGGTAGCTCTTTTTAGGGTTTGGGTTAAAGGGAATCCGAAAGGAAAGCTGAGGCCATTGTTGGGGGGCCATTTTAATCCCCTAAAGAAAAGGACGCACTCAACTGCTGGGTTTCCTTCTGGGTTGTCGGTAAAGCCACAAAAGGTATCAGAATGAAGAGGCCCCATGAGACGTCTCTTGAAGTTTAAGGCTTTTCCTGTTGTCGCACCAACCACAACGGTGCCATTGGGAGTCTCAAAATCCCGACAGGACACCTGTGAGGGTTGGAACCCGTCAAATGAGCGAACAAAAGGTGTGCCAGTTGTTTCCCGTGGAACTCCAGGGATCTGCGAAATGGTGAACCTGTTTCAGAAAGGTGTATGAAGAGAAGCCAACAGGAACGCACCACTCAATCTAGCGGACCGAGTCCTGTTTTGCGAAACGTGCAGTCATGTGTCACCCCACTCAACCCTTAGTTGGTGGTTTGGATTCGTGGTGTCGGGCTTTGAGGTGTGTTGATTCTTGCAGAGGGTGATCTGATAAGTGAGCGGTAACTAACTACACCCAATTCCCTATTCAGGGGGCTACATGTAAGGCAACCCCCTTCAGGAGTGCCTCAATGAACCAATGAACATACCAAACCCATTGTTGGTCGCATTAAACCAAGACGAAACCCAGTAGGGACTGACAAGATCCATGGTTTAATGGTTTGTACCTCCTGGCCAAGCAAGTGGTTGTTACTCTCAGGGAACTTCGCGCATATTCGCCCTTTCAAGCTGAGTGTCGTTGGACCTTTCGCACCTTTCTGGGATTCACATGCATGTGTTGGGAGTTTTGGGTGTAATTCAAATGCCCATGCTTGCGTTGTTGTAGCGGATGGATCTATAAATGTTCAGCGATGATTCTGAACCAGTCTTTGACTCAGGTCACGCTGTTTCGCATTGACATGTAGCACTTTGACTCCAGTTTGCCTCGGCAAAAGCGAGCACGATTCCAGTTAGCTTCTCCATGTATTTCTCGGGTCCCTTTTGTTTCGCGGAAGATTCAATCCAAAAACGCGGAGTTGTGTTTGAACCCTGGGCCAGAAAGACTTGTTTGCACACTGGCTCAGTCACCGACTTCTGGTTGAAGCGCCCAACCCTGATGAGTGAGTTTTGTTTTTGCCATTATTTCTCTTTAAAATGGATGCGACAAACAAGGAGGATTGCCGAATTGGGATGGAGACCTTGGTGCGTAGGGGCCGTTTGGTGCAGTTGGATGCAATGACTTGCACTTGGCAAAGGTGCTTGACTTGATTCTTTATGCTTATGTCGACTTAGAGTGTTTTTTGGTACGTTGTAGCCCAGATCGACCGCTGATGGCTGACACTCATGAGAATTGTTTGTCTAGATCCACGGTCTCCACATCGTCAGGACGTAGAAGAAAAGGCTGCGAGCATGCGGCAGCTTGGCGGCAGCGCTTTGCTGTTCTTGCTTCGGGCGCTGTCCTACAAGGGGGTTTGGCCTGATTCCCACAAATTCTTACGGTTCTGCAAGGGGCGCCATGATCCCCCAAACCAATTCTTACTTCCCCAAGTGCAGCTTGTTGGGAAAAAGACTAGCCTACAGACCTCCGGGTGTGTTTTGTGGCGGTCTTGGAGTGCTTGGTCAGTGGTTAAGTTCAAACCTTCGATTGGCATCTACTTGGGGGACTTGGAACAATGGGTCGTTTGGAGATAGTTAACGGCTAATCATTCCACAAAGGGCTTCACACAATGCGTTCGCATGGGGGCGTTTATAGCTGCACCTCACATCTGCAAGTTTGGGCATTTGCTGAATGGAAGCCCGCACTGCTCGGCTGCGTAGATTTTTCAGAACACTATGTGTGTTTCTCGACGCGGACCTTTTCTTGTCAGGTGCTTTGTTGCGGTGTCCTTTGGTTGCTTAGGCCTTCCAAGAAGGGTCTAGCTGTGTCGTGGTTTGACAGATGAGAGTCAAAGCTCATTTAGTGCTATCACTGCAAGGAAGGCGAAGGGTAAACGTTCAGAGATCTTCGTTTCAGGCAAGCCCTAATCAGCGCTTTGAATGGGCAGTTTTGGGATTTTCATCTTTGGTCCTTCCAGAGGGTACATAGGAGACGACACAACCTCCACACATCCAACCATCCAACCACCCCAAACCGCATTCTTTGCGGGAAGCTGGCTGATGTTCGAGGTTTTCCATGGTTTTCCGTGGTTTTCCTTTCCAGCCCAAAGTGACATCACTGGTTGCTGGTCCCATTCCGTTGCTCTGGTCACTCCCGGTCAGTAGGCCCGGATCCAAAGTCGCTCTGAGGAACCCCACCGGGTGGCTGAAAACTGCCGCTCTTCGGGAGGGCTTGGTGCCTCCTGGATCCGCACATCGCGGACCCGTCCGGGCCTCAGACGTGGGACCTGCTCTGAGCCCTGTCTTAATGTTGACTCCATGTTGAATTAACCCCTGCACATCTGCATGTTTGTTAGTAGGGGTGGTTTTGGCCCCTCCAAAAGTGGTCTAGACAATGTTCATGTTGAATTAACCCCTGTTTATTAGTAGGGGGCTGGCTTTTGGCCCCTCCACAGGTGGTCTGATTCCAACCACTAAGCCCCGCGTTCTGGACACGCCCTATTAACAAACAGGGGTTGACCCATAAAGGGTCAACATCACCCCTCCGGGTGCTAACCAACTTCAAGCCTTCAGTGCTTGGCGGTTTCCGTTTACCTCACGACTCAAGAGGTGCACGCAAGCCGCACAAAGCGAGCCATTGCCACGAAGTAGTGAATGAAGCGATGGGATCTCCCAGGTCTATGCATTCATGGGGCGAGGGAACATGAACATGTCTCCTGGAGCCTAGGCCCAAGTGCACGGTGAGGAGGGAGCCAGGGAGTCAGGGTGTTGACTGGTGTGCAGGTAGAGGAGTCTCTGACTGGTTTTGGTGTTGGCTCACTTGGTGATCTTCGTTGGTTCAGCGTTGCCTCAGTCACTTTGGTGGGAGTAGCTCAGAGAGTAAAGTACTCAGTTTGGGTTCCGCGCTTGTTTTATCATTGTCCACTTCTTGATTGTTCTATGTGTGTTTGCCCGCTGTTGCTGGCCCTCCGGATTCCGGGGCTTCATGGCCATTGCGACAGCGAATGCTCCGGGTTTGAGCCGGCCCGCGCCTTTTGTATGTGTTTGGTAGAGGTCCCAAAAGGAGAACATTATTATTTCCAGGTCCCTAAGCGGCAAGTGAGTCACTCTTCCGGTCTTGGGGCAGGAAAGGGTAGGCCTGGACAAGCGGCAACCTTGCCAATCAAACGCCCAGAGAGGCATTTGGAGTTGATCTGTTGTTCATGGTGGTGAATTATCACTTATGCAATCGAGGTCCATTCAACAGTTGCGGCCGTCCTTGGTGTTTTCTTGTCCCCTGGTAGACAACCTCAACCAGCTGTTTAGATGTGGTGGCTTGTGCTTCTTTGAGGGTGTTGCTTGGCTTAAAGGTTGCACTGTCCGAACCCGAGCCACACCCACAGGATCCACACCCAGTGGATCCCTTTAGTAACTGGATCTTTGGGCCTGGCTGCTGTTGCGTGATGTTTAACCATCAATATGTTGTTGAATGTTTCTTTTTTATTACTATTTTTTCTGGGGGGGATGGAACCATTCTGCGTTTATGTTCATGTTTTTTGTCTCTCTGGGGGAGGGTTGGAATGGAATCACTGAGGTACGTTTAGTTCCCGCAGAAACCGCGAGGGCACGGGCCAATCCGGGCAAGTTGTTCGCAGCCAGGACGACAAGATCCGGCGGCGCGTGCTTTGACTGCACTGGAACTCCGGGCTGGACTTTGAATGTGGCGTACCCGCACCCAAAATGGGTGAGCACGCTAAAAATTATGGGATTTGTTTCCCCGTGTCATGTTGACCCTATATGAATCAACCCCCTGCTTATTGATAGGAGGGTGGGGGTTCATCACAATTGGAGGGGAACTTCCCCATACCATAAACTGGGGTTGATTAATCCGGGGTTCCATTAAGGGTAGTTTGAGGGTCCAGGGGTGTTTAGCAAGTTTTAGGTTACTGGTCCTAAATGGCAATGGGGTTTATCGTTAGACATGGGCGCAGAAGCCACCCTTCGTGTCGTCCTTGTGTGTCTCCTATAGGTTGTCAGCATTTTACTTGAAGGGCGATGGGGTATGTGAGATAAGTGGTTAGCAACCATGCTGAGAACTTTCTGAGGGGAGAGACATGGTAAATGGGCTGCAACCATGGATACGTTCCACTGAATGTTGACTCCATATCAATCAACTCCTATTGGTTAATATGGGGGTATCCCTGGTTTTATTGGGGATTCATCACTTTTGGAGCGGAGCACCCCTATGTTAATAAACAGGTGTTGATTAATGTGGGGTTATCATTACCTGACGTACTTGATCGCCTCCCCAAAGTAACCACGTGAGCAGAACGACAAGTCTTCGACCCCGGAGTTGCCCTTAGTTTGATCTATCCTTTGGTCCCAGATGTGTGTCCACCACGTATTATGCCAAACTGGTCACAACAACAGGAGCAGGGGCAGGAGGAACACACATGATCCAGTTGTTCAGTGGATTCCACCTCTCTTTGTGGTTGCTGTCCTTGCAATCAAGCCGGACGGGTTGCCTTTTTTACCATCACTGGGCAAGTGGAACATGCCTTCAATGACTCAGGGATCCCGGGTCCCGGTTCATGCCCGCAAGAAAACAACACGGCCCGCCGAGCAATATTCGCCCGCAGGTGGAACCACTGTTCAGTATGGGGAAGGGATGAATTGTGAATGGGGCACCCGCAAAATCGTGCTTTCCTTTGCGTTTCCTTTTTCGACCCCAAGAACGATACCCAAACACAAGAAGAACATGCCCCGTATTAATGGAGCATGCCGTCATGATCTCCAGGTAGGGTTTGGGACGCAGCTTTTGCAGGCGGGCTGGCTAAGTGCCAACGTCTTTCCAGACAGACCCATCGACGATGAGGCGGGCTCGCCATGCTACATCTCGCCATCACTTGCAAGCGAATTGACCCTTTTGCCTTCTGGTTTCCCCATGGTGCAATCGAGCCATAGTGGAAGGGGCAGTCCAATGCTTTGGATGGTTCTGGGTAGATCAATTTACTACCAGGTCTTGATGATGACTCAATCGTAGTTACAGCTCCGAAAGGTTTGCCGTCAATGTTCAGCTCCTTTGGTTGCAAGTGAGAGAAGCAACCAAGCCCTCGCCACCTAAGGCCAACTTGGAGGTGGTTGAAGCAAAAGGAGTTGACATGCTCGCCACTTGCCCACATTGCGGCAGGGGCGAGGTTCTCCGGCGAACAAACCATGAGGGTTGCCCCTTGGCACCCTTCCAATCATGCGGCAGGAGCGATGTTTGCGAACACCCCAAGCAAAACAATTCGAGACCAGGGCGAGCTTTTTCCCGCGGAGTCGAAGTGGAAGAATAATTTTGAGGACGGGGAAGAGAACGAAAGGAGCTGGCAAGGTACAACCAATGGCAACTTCAGCCCCGATGAATCAAAGGACTTGAAGGCCCTGAAAAAGGAGAAGTGTCTTTTGATTCGAGATAATTTTGCCTTTGCAATGGGCGCACACGGAAGGATCAGAGCAGTGCAAAACCGCGGTCGTCTTGAGTTGATGTGCTTCTCTGAAAACCGCTCGGGGTCCAGCCCAGCAGTGTGTTTCTTCACTGCTCTTGGTATGGCTCTGCAAGAAACCATTTGTTAGGCATCATTTTGCGGCAATAAGCCATTTGTCAGGCACATTTTGCGGGTCCAGGTCCTCCTGTATTGCCAGCGTTCGAGCGGAGGCGATAGCGGCCATGGGGAGCTTGGGCTCGGCGAGGGCCATGGAGCTCTTTAAGGACGGCAGTCCAATGCTGGGTGAGATTCGAAGTCTTACCTTCTACTTCCATGTGGTTAAACTCTTTGTTTTTATTTCCCCCTGTTGGTTTTAGAGGGAATCTCTCGCTACTGTTTTTTTTTTTCAGGGGACTTAAGCAAATGGAGGTCTAGAGACTTCCTGGATGCCTGAAACTACCCATAAGATTTTGGAAATCACTCCTATGTTTGGGGCTCACGGAGGGGACATGCCTCTTCAGGGTGCATGACTGCTGATGCCGGGCCTGGATCCTAGTTTGAGTCGCCTTGCTACAAAAGGCTCGAAATGGCCCACTGTGGGCTTAACGTTGTCGGCGTTTTCGCTGTCAGACTCAACTGACCTGTTCCAGCTGTGCCCTTTCAATTGGGTTCATTAACTTGGACTTCAGCATGGGGCCTGAGTCAAACCCCGTGGGTGTAAGCTTGGTGGAACTGACGAACTGTCTTCAGGAAAATCAAGGCACCGAGCAAGTGCAGGGGGTCCCTGGAAGGGGGTCCCTGCATTTCCTTGAGGAGAAGACAACCCTAGATGCCCATCACAACATATCATAAATGCTCGTGGTCTTGCGGGCTTAAGTCATTACCGGACTGAGCAAACCCTTTTTCCCTGTTGCCCCTTTGGGCTCATACACTGAACCTACGTCTGGCCCTGTTAGGGAGCCCAATTTGCTGCCCCGGTGAATGGGGGGTGCAGTGAAATGGGAGCACCTGCGAAGGACATCGAGGAGAAGTCGGCCCGGAGCCAAAAGCGAGCGATAGACTTCCCGCCCCGCGTTGTTTGAAGCTTTGGCGAAGCCACTGCATGTCCAACGTTTTAGTGGACCGAAAAATGCTGAAGAGCAGTGGCATGCCGTCAGAAACAGCTCCAAAAACAAACCGCAAGAAGTTAGCAAAGCAAAAACCTTCGAAAGAGGTTTGGGCCACACAACCTGCACGCCCACGTTCCAGAGAGCAGCGGCATTCAGCATTACCCAAGTAAGAGATGTCCTTTTGCTGTCCCCAACCAACTCGAAAACAGGTGCCACACAAACACACAAACACACAGACACATACACAATCACAAACACACACAAGCACACAAGCACACAAGCACACAAGCACACAAGCACACAAGCACACAAGCACACACACACACACGAGAACATACACGAGAACACACGCACATACACACAAAACACACACACACAGACACGCAGACACGCAGACACACAGACGTACAGACACACAGACACACAGGCACACAGACACACTGACACAGAAGCCCACACGCCCACACGCCGACGCGCCCACGCGCCCACGCGCCCACGCGCCCACGCGCCCACTTACACGCGCACGCACACTCACACGCACACGCACACGCCACACTGCACACGGCACACGGCACACGGCGCACACGCAGACACGCACACACGCACACACACACACACACACGCACACACGCACACACACACACACACACACACACACACACACACGCACACACGCACACAAGCACACAAACAGACAACACACAAGCACGAGCACAAGCGCATACACACACATGCAACGCAAACACAAGCACAAGCGCACACCAAAACACACACACACAAATAGACACCCAATCACACACGCACACACAACGCACACACACAAACACAAACACAGACCGAGACACAAACACAAACACAACCACAAACACAAACACAAACACAAGTACAACTCACAAGCACACAACCACACACAAAATAATAATAGTAGTGCAGACGCAACCACACACACAGACACAGACACACACACACACACACACCATACAGCTGAGAGTAGCAGTTGGGCGAAATTAGCAGGCACAATTTCCCAATTGAGGCTTAGTCATCCCCTTTGCGTTTCCCTTTCAAAGAGACTTGTGCCATGTACTTTTGGCCCCCCCAAGATTTCTACCAACTTAGAACTTAGAAATGATGGCTTTGACCCCACCAGACCTCAAATGCTACTGTCTGGACAAAATCCAGCACCTTTGTTGGCATTTACCCTGGGAAGTTAATTCAGAAACCGTAAGCCAGGGTTTTTGAACGGTGGTGCCGAAATGCGGATTTCGCAGCCACCCACCGCAGGGTCTTTGGGATGCCCCGAACTTCCTGGTGTAGCTCGTTGCTAATTGCGAGGCCTCCCTGCGGAACCCCAGTGCGGCACCCAGGGTCGGTCGGCGGTGTTTGGGCTTGGGCAAAGCCTGGGTCTAAGCTTCCATTGACCCACGAAGATCCTATGTATTCGCACAGTGCTGTGGGTCAAAACAATTGGTACCATTTTGGGGTAGGTGCACCACCCATTTTGGTTTCTTTTAGTGGGGATTGGGACATGGGTCATACATGTATATGTATATTTGGGGGTTGATCCAATTTTTTGGCCCCCAAATTGTGATGGTTAAGTTGCTCCATTTAATCGGGCATATCACCTTTTTTTTTGCGGTTTCCCACATGGTCACCCCATGTATTTGAAGAGGGTGGAAGTGGAGCCCCCGCGAATCATAAATCATACCTCGAATTATACCCATGCTACTACTGCGACTACGACTAAGACTACGACTACTACTGCTACTACTACTGCCACTGCTACTGCTACTGCTACTGCTACTGCTACTGCTACTGCTGCTCCTACAACTGCTCCTACTACTGCTATTGCTACTGCTGCTCCTACTACGGCTCCTACTACTGCTGCTGCTACTGCCACTGCTACTGCTACTTCTACTACTATGAGTACTACTGTTACTACTACGACTACTACTACTACTGCTACTGCTACTGCTACTGCTACTACTACTACGATCTAAGCCTTTCTGGCCAGTTAAGTCAGCAGCTGGTGTGACCAGGGATGATGCGAGCCACGACCAAACCCTTGGTAGATGAAAGTTAGGGACATCCCCACACAGAGATAGGTGCGAAAATCCGCCAGGTTGATTCTTTAGATTTTTTATTCGGACAGCACCCGTTCTCAGGCGGCTATCTGAAAGCAGCTGCGCAGAGAGAGCCGGACGCTGGGAGGACAGAAGCCAACGGGACTTGGTTCTTGTGAGAGGGGTCAACATGTGTCTAAAAAACAGGGGACCCCAACAAGTCGCGGTTTTCATTTCTGGTTTAAGATTGGTTTCTAACACCTTGTTGGTGACCCACAAGGTGTTCGTTGTTTAATATAAACCCTAATAATAAAACCCTGTCGGACGGCCCTGTCTCGCGAGGCAACCCTTTGGTTTCAAATGACAACATGCTTAGGATGCAACTCTTGAGTAGCAACTTAGAATTGCAAAGGAAAGGGGCTTGTTTCTGTGCCTGGAACCTTCTTGTTTCAACACACTTTGGAGGGGGTTTTAACAAGCACATTTTGAGAGCTTGGTGGCAAACATTTGTGGTCTCAGGAGTTTAGTATTGGCAATTTTGCAATTAGTATTTGCGATTCTTGGCGCGGCTGAGGGGAGTTTTATTTTTAGGGGTAGCTTGACTTCAAGGAAAGGATTATTTGATTAATGCTTGAAGCACGTCCATTTGCTTAGGAATATTGTTTATTTTCGCGTGTTTGTTTTAGCGGGGATCTATCACTACTGGAAATATGTGTGTGTTTTCCCTGGGGCTGAAGCAAGATGGGAGAGCATGCTCGGGGGTACCACAATCCCGAGATTTTGTTGCTGCAAGAAATGCTCGATGGTGAATGCAGAGCCTGCATCTTGTCTAAATCACACCCCCAGGAAAATTGGCCCTGGGGATGCAACAAGGAATGTGGACTAGTTCCCGAGGCTCGCTCCCTGGGTGCCCTTTCCTATGGTTCTAAGAGGCCTACGGCATGCGGGCGCATGTTCACGAGAATTTCCAAGCAATCAGAGTATACCTTTCTTACCTTCGATGGCTAGCTATTCAACTAAAGGTGTGTTCTAGTTTCTTGGTGGCTCCCAGCCATCCCCTTAGCCTTTTAGCCTTTTGGTGCTTAGTGGTAGTTTCCATTTAACCCACTAAAAGTTAAACTTTTAGCGGGGGATCTGAGGGCAGCCAGGTTTGTTAGTCTATGAATTGCTTTGGTTTGTTCGCCAAATAGTAGCTCAGCTCTCTTGGCTCATGGCCAGAGTTTGCTTTCCACGCGCAATGGGTGCAGTTTTTGTTGGGGGCATTTGCGTGACAAGAGCAGCTTAGCTGGGATCCATTTCAACATCAGAACGCACAAACATGTGGGGGCCAAGGCTGAGCCAAGCTCAGCCAAAACCGAGGTCTTCACAAAGGCATGGCTAACTCCCATTTGCCGAAGAATCTACCACTACTACAAACATGTTCTCATTTTATCCAGGGGGCAAAAAGCCGCGAAGTGAGGAAGCACCGTTTTGCAGGAGGCATTTTCCTGCTGTACTTGCGCCCCAGGCAAGGCTATGCCTTTTGGGCTTTGGCATCCGCCTTCCGGGATGATTCGTGACGCGAAAGCCATGAAACTCTAGGGGTTGATTCCTTGCCCATTCTTGTCAACCATGGTTCTTTTCAAAACCGGAGCCGTTTTCAACTGGGATTTTCCGGAGGCTTTATAGAAAGATCCGGATCCCTGGAAAGAATGGGGGGATACTTTCCCTCGAATGATACGGGTCCTTTACTGGGGATCCAATTCTTTGTTCAGCTTTTGGAATTAGAGTAGGATGTGCAGAAAAATAGCAACCACATTTGTTTTTAATTGCTCCAATGGGAAAGTAGGAGGGGGCATGGGTGATTTGTGTTTCTTTTCTCTGTTTTTCTTCTGCTGAGTTGTGGGGTTTTGCGTTTGAAGGAGCAGGGTACTTGTTCTGTGGTCAGTATCATGGCTACAACCAGCTTACCATGCTTGAAAGGCCCTTAAGTAGGTGGTAGGTCAGGTATGATTACTGAACTTCTTGCTGCATACTGCATCCCCACCACGCGATCATCAGACAAAGGCTATTTGAGTTGACGCGACGTGTCTATTGTTGTCAGGGGGCCTCCCACCAGTGGAACCTCCCAATATTTGGCACTATCTTCTATCTGCTTGATAACACTTGTCGTTTTTCCCTGTTGGTTTTAAAGGAAACCTATCACTACTACTACTGGACACATTTGTTTTTTCCGCGGACTTAAGCGAACGGAAGCTATGAGCCAATATTAGGCACTATCAGCCTCTATTGGGATTGGGCCCCTTTTGGGTGACCTTGATAACCATATTAACATGGTCTTGGGTACAGCGGCCTCACCTGCGTGGCCGGCGACCATGCGGTTGGGTGACACTCACACAAGCTGGGCAGAAAATGCGCTTCCCCTGAGCGCGACAAATATGAGCGCACTGGTTTGAACCCACTGAGGGGCGTTTTGCCACGTGACGGCAGCGCTGCTTTGCCCGCTGCTTCCAGTGGGCCTTTTGAAGGGATGGTTGACTTAGGATATCGCAGTTTTCGAGCGACCAAGGTTGCAGCCAACGGGCATGTTGCCTTCGTTTGGTCCGTGCTGCATCCCAAGTGCGCACTCATCTAACCCCATTGTTTGGGTGCTCAGCAGCAACCATACAGATTAGTTCCCCCCCAAACCAAACTACAAGGGTATGGGTACTGTTTTGCGTTTTTTGTTTTGTTTTTGTTTTTGTCTAGACTCCACCATTTGACACGAATTTCTTGTCAGGCCTTGTCACGGACAGTTGAACTTAGTTGATGAGTCAAGGCATTTAGTTGGATGCCTCTCTCACAAACCCCGCTCGGAGTATCTGACTGTTGGTTCCAGCCAAACATGCGGCACTGCGCATTCCAAGCTTTGGAAGCCATTTGCTGCTAGTTTACCGAGCAGTTGCTACAAGTGCAGCTGTGTGAAAATTGGCAACTCCCCTTGTACATTGTGCATCTCTGAGGTCCTTTATGGCTTTGTCTCAGAGTGGATGTTTAGAATTTGGTCGTTGCCTACCACCACCTCCGAGAAGGGTATTCTCAAAAAGACAACCCGCCCATTGGGCGTGTCTTGTTTTTTGTGGACCCCCCCACAATGGTGATGCTTTTGGTGCTGGTTTTCTCTTATGCCGAAATTGAGAATTACCCTACTTGACTGCTATTGGGTTGGATCTTTCGACTTTAACTTTTTGGGAAATCAAGGGGTTTTCCACTAAACCCCCAAAAGTTAGACTTTTTGCAGGGGGGTCAACAGCAACCAAGCCTCATGAAGCGCCCCCGCCATTTCTTGGAAGACGGGAGCAGCTGAGAAGCCCGCAGGCGGTGGGCGGGGACGAGATGGGCAAGCTGCACAGGCGGGAAGTTCCTAGATCCAGCTTGGTGCCGTTTCTTTTGCCGATTCTTTTTTGGGGGAGGGTTCCCGTACTAAAATAGACTACAGAAGAAAGGGCGCCCTTATTCTAACCTCTCCAATGGAGGACCTAGCAAGTAATCTCACTTCCTGAGTCAATGGATATGTTTTGTTGGGTCTGAACCAGTTTAGAGGCATGCAAGAAGTTTGAACTTGTTTTTTGCCGCTCAGGAAGTGAGTAATTGGGAAAGCAGGATTAGTGCACTCCTGGCAGATTGATAGTGGCGTCCCGCATTGGGGGAGGACCGCCCCCGGCAATCCGTTGATTAGTCCACGATTAAGACTCACACACATCTGACCACCTTTGAGGAGTCTACGGATGCTTCTGCTGTCGTTCCTGGCTCGTTGGCAGTTCGAATTTGCAGCACCATGTAATCGTTATTTGAGCAGCCCTTGCCTAAATCGCAGTGGTCCAACGGCGGTGTTGCAATCCTGTGCTATTTCAAGCTGTTGTCCTGGTCGTGCATAATCAGCATATCCTTTGTTCAAGAAATACTCGCATTCTTGTCTTCTGATGGCCTGAGGACCCCACCCCGTTCTAATTTACTAGCCCCCATAACTCCCTCCCTCCCTCCCTCCCTCCCTCCCTCCCTCCCTCCCTCCCTCCCTCCCTCCCTCCCTCCCTCCCTCCCTCCCTCCCTCCCTCCCTCCTCCCTCCCTCCCTCCCTCCCTCCCTCCTCCCCCTCCCTCCCTCCCTCCCTCCCTCCCTCCCTCCCTCCCTCCCTCCCTCCCTCCCTCCCTCCCTCCCTCCCTCCCTCCCTCCCTCCCTCCCTCCTCCTCCCTCCTCCTCCCTCCCTCCCTCCCTCCCCCTCCCTCCCTCCCTCCTCCCTCCCTCCTCTCCCTCCCTCCCTCCCCCTCCCTCCCTCCCTCCCTCCCTCCCTCCCTCCCTCCCTCCCTCCCTCCCTCCCTCCCTCCCTGCTCCACGCCCTGAGTCACTGAGGAGGACAACGTGGCTGAACCACAATGCCGGGCAGCTCAGCCTTACGCCAGCCTGTGTCAGGCAACCCAATGGTTTGGAGCTCGGTGGGTTGGGCTTTGAACCCCGGCTCTTGTAGGTGAATGGGAAACCAGCCCTTAACCACCAAGCCGGGCACCACACCACTAACTGGAAGGCAGCTGACTGTACAAAGGACAGGCCGTTGTTTTTGTTTTGTTTTGTATTTCCTTGTGCTTTCCGAGCCTTGAAAGGTTTTCCAGAAACAGGGCTCCTTAAAAGAAGATACATTTCGCCCATTTGAGGGGCTCCGTTTTTCTTCCCACCCGCCAAGCATCTCTCATCGCGACCCAAGTCCATTTGGACATTGTTGTTTTTCGGACCTCATGAAGGGGGTTGGTCGAACAGGGGGGGTGCCTTCTTTTAGGTCACGGGAGGGAAATCCCACTTGGGTATTTCTCCGAAGAAGCACGCCATGTGTTTGGGCAATACTGGGCAATCAATCCTTCGTGACTTCCATGTTGGTTTTGGCGACTTTCAACATTCCCGGGTTACCCATTGGTGACAAGCTCTCTCGGTGATGGGGGGGCGTCCAAAAATAGCTCCCCGCTTGGTTTAAAAGGCCAACCAAACCTAGTGCTTCCAGTTGCCGCTCTAGCGTTTCTGACCTCCAGGTTTTGAAACCGGCTCCTATAGTCAAACCCGGAAGCACTGGGAGTCGAAGCGGAAATCTATATGTTTATTTTATTTTATTTTATTTGGTGGGGCTTTTGGTTGGCCGAAAAGAACGCTACCAAGTTTGGGGGGGTCCGATGTCTCGAAAAAAAGCGTCAAACCGCATCTTCCCCTTCGGCCCGAAAGCCTTTCGAGCCGGGCACGTGGGATTTTTTGTGCAGGTCTTCCAGCATGCCCCGCTGGATGGGGAGGCCATCGAGGCCGACTGGATCCCCGACCTGAGCTTGCTTTCTGGGAGGGGCCCAAAAGACCTCCAGAAAAAAACGCCACGGGTCTCCCCCAGGGGGAGGAGTGGCAGTTCGCCGATGTTTGGTCCGAACTGCTCGATGCGAAGGGTGGCCTTCGAAGGCTCTCCGACCGGCGGTTTGTTTTTCTTCGGATTCGATTCGGTTCGGTTCCCATTCTGTCAGGATAGAAAAGCGCTTCGTGCCCAGTATCGCAGCATTTTTTCCCAACTTCCCGGCCATCTTTGGAAAAAGACACCGTTCTCAAAGTTAAGGGTGGGTGCGACCACGCTGCAATGGTTTTATGTTGGTTTCCTTGCAATTGTAGAACTTGAGTTGTTTGCCTGTTTCATGGCAACCATGTGGCAATAACACGAGCTTGAAGTGGACTCTTTGCGGAATTGTTAGATCTAGCTTGGGATTCAATATTGTTAGGGTCGGTTATGCATTCTCTCTACCATTCCCTTTGTTACCAAACAATCGTCTCCACTTGGCTTTAGCCACTTGAAGAGAATGATCCCTGAACAGAACCCTAAAGGCTTGCTGGCATTCCTATCCCTAAAGGTCGTCTTCGCCGTTGTTGGGCCTGCAACCAACAACGGGTGTGAACCGGGGGTGTGTATGGGTGTTTCTGGTTTGAGAGCTGTTGCCGTTTTCAGGGTGGCTTCAAAGGGAAACCAAGGGCAAACCACCCAAATATTTTTGACACATGCCCAAATCTGCAAATTCCTTGACCAAGCGAGCGGACCCCCCTTCACTTTTTGCTGGCAGGGAAAAATGGAAAACGACAAAGGCATTTGTTTAAAACATGAATTCTCATGGACCCTTCTAGGGGCTGAATGTTTGTTGGGGGTTGGGGTACCACAAACCTAAATCTAGTCATATAGGAGAGTCTACCCTGCCCGTTCCATTTTCCCACACCCCGTCCTACCGGTCCGAGACGAAAGCGAAAAAACCACGCTGTCGGGGTCATTCTTCACAACTCATTTTATGCCTGCTGTGACCCCATCTACCGGGTAGGACAGGGTATGTCGACCCAAAAACTTGCTTGTGCTCAGTATAGGGAACGGCCTTCCGGGTATTAGGAATGAACCGGATGGGGATTCCCTTAATGGAAACCATAGGGGACGGTTTATAGGGGTCATTCCATTTCTCATTCCCTGCCTATTGAACCAGCATCAAGAACTGGGGGTCACCCTTCCCAACTCACAAACTCTGTCGCCCAGTGGTGCCCTTGTTTCCTTTTTTGGGCAAGGGTTCCCTTCAAACCCAACCAGCAACAAAAAGATGGGTGCCGAGTATAGTCACCCTTCTCAACTTATCAAAGTCGCGACCCCACCTGGGACGGGGTAGGCACTGGGCTCCATGCCTCTTGCGCGGGCCTTCGACATGCTGAAGGACCTGGAGAGCAAAGGCGCCGAGGCGCGGTTCCGCCAGCGGACTGCGCCCCCTCTCAGAGAGAAAGTGACGGGTAGGGTGGGGGGGCTGCAAAGAACAAGGGTGTTATTAGTGGTGGTCTGGCTTGTTTGTGCTGTTGTGTGTTGTAAATGTGGGTTTGTGTTTTTGTGTGTTTGTGGTTTATTTGTTTTTGTTGTGTTGTTTGTGCGTGTTTGTTTTGCTTGTTTGTGTGTGTTTGTTTGGTTGGTTGGAATTGCTTTGTCTGTTTTTGTTGTTGGGTGTGTCGATGTTTGTTTGTGTGTTGTGTGCTTTGTTAGTGTTTTGTTTGAATTGTATTTGTTGTTGCTTTGTTTGTGTTTGTGTTATTTGTATGTTTGGTTGTTTGGTTGGGTGTGTTGGTTGGTTGGTTGGTTGGTTGGTTGGTTGGTTGGTTGGTTGGTTGGTTGGATGGTTGGTTGGTTGGTTGGTTGGATGGTTGGTTGGGTGGGTGGGTGGGTGGGTGGGTGGGTGGGTGGGTGGGTGGGTGGGGTTGGTTGGTTGGTTGGTTGGTTGGTTGGTTGGTTGGTTGGTGGGTGGGTGGGTGGGTGGGTGGGTGGGTGGGTGGGTGGGTGGGTGGGTCGGTTGTTGTTTTCATTTATTGGTTTGCTTGTTCTTGCGTTGGTTGTTTGTGCGCTTGTGCGTTTGTTCGCGCGGGTGTGTGTGTGTGTGTGGGTGGGTGCGTGCGTGCGTGCGTGGGTGGGTGCGTGGGTGGGTGGGTGGGTGGGTGGGTGTGTGTGTTTGTGTGTGTGTGTGTGTTTGTGTTTGTGTTTGTGTCTGCGTCTGTGTTTGTGTTTGTTTGTTGGTTGCTTGTTTGTTTGGGTGTTGCTTTGCTTTGCTTTGCTTTGCTTTGTTTTGCTTTTCAGGTTGTTTGCAGCAAGGGTTCGGAAAAGGAAGGGTGCCCTATTGTTTGTGATTTTGAAGGCAAAACAACAGCAAAACCGCATTTGGGGAGCATCCCCAAGAAAAAACACACCCGTTTATCGCAAGAGAGTTGGTATTCCCTTCACCCCCCTCCAATGGTAAGGATAGTGGCAAGGTTGGGTTTGTTCATGGCGAGTGAGAAGATTAGACAGGATAATTTGAATACCATGGATTCCAGACATCTGTCTACTCGTCGACGCGTCGACTGCCATTTTTGTCACCTTGTTTCTCAGCCAGAAGCTTCTGAAAACTCTCAACCCTAATCCTTTCACTCATCGTCGGCCAATAAAAAAGATGAAGGGAAGAGGGAACGACCATGACTCTCGCGTCTCGACTCAGTCACTCCCGTGGGCCCAAAGGGGCCGGTGAAGCTTTTTACTTTCAGATCCTTCGGGATAGGGCACTTACTCTCCCACAAGTCAACGGAAGGAACCCCAACAGGCGGGTCCGATCCCCAAAGGAGTTTCCTCTACAAATGGTGCTTGGTTTTTGTGGATTTCATGTTAATTTGTGTAGGGAGCAAGTGGGATATCTGTGTATGCAAATTGAATTCGAAGAGCCTCCGATTTCATACTGGTTGGGCAGAAATGGCGTTTGGCGTTACGAGGCGGCATGCATGTTTGAGCGAGCCCAACTACACATATCGAAAAAAAACCTGAGGAATATGATGACTGGGAACCGCCCAAAACCGCTTCAGTGGCACCAATTCTTGTGCCTTTTCTGCTTGGTTTCAGTCACGGGGAGCCTGCTGTGAGGTGAAGAACCCTTCCGGCTATGTGAAGGTGGGATGTCTCGCGCGTTGAAGTCGGTTCTCGGTGACTTCTGTCAAGGTAGCCGATCTTCACGAGTGCGGTTTTCTGGTAAGCAGACAAGGAAAGCGAGATATTCTTACATTTGCTTCGGAATATGTTGTTGTTGTCCCCTGTTGCTTTGAAGGGAATCTATCAATCACTACTGGAAAAGTGTTTTTCTCCAGGGGACTTAAGCAAATGGATATAAGCCCTTTGTCACCATGTTGGTAGAACCGAGTGAACAGGTTTTGGGTGCCGCTCAATTGGGTTGTGAAAGTTCTTGAGCAGAGGGGTTAAACAACGAGCTCACACATGTGAAGTTTTGCAATGGGCCGCGTTGGTTCCCCAGTGAACAGCATCTTTTCGTTTCAGCTTGAGGTAGGGCCTTGGGCTGCTTTGTTCTGTTGCCTAGCGCTGGTCGTCAATGCCATACGATAGTTTTTCTCCGTTTTCGTTCTCGGATTTCCTCTCGACCAGTCAATTACCAGCAACCCGGTGCTGACTTGGATAGGCCATGGTGCACCTTTCTTGGCACGGGGTTTAGCTTTTTGGGCGTCTCTATGTGTTCAATTATTGTTAGTGGGGGGCAAGTGTAGCGGCGTCATGGCAGATCAGGCTGGTCCTGTGAGGAAACGTTCCGCGGATTCGCACAGTGGGCAGAGTTACCAAATGTTGAGCTGTGTAGTGTGAGGCGTTATCACATTTGACCAGGGCTACCAGCTTGCTTTTGCGCAACAGGAGCAGAATGCCACACTTCCCATATTTCTTTCTTTTTTACAGCTCAACCCTAAGGGCAGATAGGCTCTGGGGTTTGGGGCAACTTTCAGTTCCGGAGGGATCCCAGCGGTTCCGGGGCAGTTGGAGATATCAACTGGGCTTATTTTGTTTCAATGAGTAGGGGGGCCCTAGTTTTGGGAGAAAAGAACTGGGTGCTGTCGAAATCTAGGGTCGACCCCAAACGGGGAGAAAAACCAACAGAATGCATTGCACACTGGGTGGTTTCCAGCCGTCCCCTCAGTTTGGAAAATGAGGACAGCAGCACCTAGATTGGCTGAATTGACTGGCCCTCCCAATATCAGAAACCAAGCAGAAGAATGAGGATTCCTCGTTCCCTTTTTGGGTCCAAGGGGGGGATTCGATGCCTCCGCAGGCCTCCGTGAAGCGGGAGCACGCAGGCGCAGCGCGCCACGAAACTGTGGCGTGTATGGTATATAGGGATGTTGGACCCATGTGCCAATGGTTTTTTCCCTGGAGTTCCTGTTGGCTTCCCGTAGAAATCGCAAGAGGTTTCTTGAAAGCTTTGGGTAGGCCTCAAAGAAAACTACCAAATGGCTGTGGATGTTTGGCTACTCAAGTGGACATGAATCCTGAATATCAGCGCCCAAAAGCACAAGTGGCCATGGGTTATTCTACCCATGTGGATGAACAGGGTACTGGAAAGGCCCATGTAAGCCAGGGCAGCTGAGTTGGTGGATTCGTCCACGAGATTTGGGCGCAGGCTCTTGGTCTGTGTTGTGTTGTTTGCCGCTTTTGTGGTTGCGTTTCATGCAATCCTCTCAAGAGACCCTGTCCACGGACGAGATCGTGCACAGGACCTTCTAACTTGTATAGTAGGTCCTCTGTAGAGAGTTGCTGCACAGAGCCTTTATGTTACTCTTTGAGGTCCCTATTTGTCCACAATGTCCCATCCAGCCTTTTTGCCGGACCAACGACCAATGCTCCATGTTGCTCCTACGTCCGGAACAAGCAGGATTGTTCGGGTCGTGGCTTGACAGGAAAAACAATGGGAGCGCACGGAGGGCCGCGCGAGCAGGGGAAAGCCAGACGCTCCGGCAGAGCTAATAAGCGGCTGCCTGTGCTATCTCGACGATGATTTTCCAAACGAGGACGATGCGCGCTACGCGCGCTACGACGTAGGCGCCAAGCGTTCTCGTGAGCACGGACTTCCGGACGCTGCCGCCGGGATGAACAACCCCCCCGTGGTTTGTCAAACGAAGAAGTACGCATGTTGCACTGTTGCATGTTTGTTTTGGCCCCCCTTGCCTTTACTCCATACCTGGCTGAACAGGTCTGTTTCTGCAACAGCACCTCCAATTATATAGGCGATTCGGCGTCTCAAACCTGCACACGTGCGAACAGTTCGTGGCCCTATTTGGTAGGATCGTAGCCCAAAAGGAAGGCTTTCCCCAGAAAGAGATTGCATGATGCAGCGGGGTTCCGTGTTCGCTTGTCGAATTGCAGGGTATGGGCATTTAGAAGGCTTGTTTTTGCTAGCAGCCGCTTTCTTAGAACAAATGTTGCCGCACTAACCCACAACAAGTGATCAACTTGTTGGTAGCTTGGCGGTTTTGTTCCCCTTCTTATGACCCCAAAAAGGGGCAGTACCATCAAACGTGATTTGGATCTTCTTTAGCCTTCAACTTTTCGGTTGCAATCCATTGGGTTTTCTGAATGGCCCCCACAAGTGATTCACTTTTTGCAGAGGGGTCCTTGTGCTGTGGGTGCTGGGAAATGACCTTCCGGCACACTCCCTTCGAGGAACCACCAGTATGGATTTGCTGGGTGGGAATGAACCGGAAGTTTACGGCAACCACCAGTTGGACGGTTTCGGGGTCATTCCATTTCTCATTCCCTGCATCTCTCGCACTGGTTCCCTCCAACGGACCGGGGAGGTTTGGGGCCCAGCAGTGTGAAGCGCGCCCCGTCGCAGATGGGCAGGGAGACTCAGAGAGCCCAGGATGGCTGTCCTTTGGGTCGCTTCGTTTGGTAGAAACAGCTGGGTTTTACTGGTTTAGCATGGTTTATGAACCGTTTTTCAGGGAAACCCCTCTACTTGTAGGAAGGGAAAATGGCTATCCATCATCAATCCTACAGGTTCGACGTTTACGAGGCTTGGAAGAACCCAGGTTTGGGGCACCCAACGAAACACATTCCTTGCCGGTTGTCCGGTCCCATAGGCCCCGTGAGTGTGAATCGTGGGCTTGAGGTTCAAGGGCTCTTCCGCTGCCACTACCCTTTGGGGCTCATTTTGCCAAGGGATGTTAGGGCTTTAAGTTTTTGCCGGTTCATGGGTTCCCCGGATTAAACCACTGGAAGTTAAGCTTTTAGCAGGGGAGCAGAAAGCAATCGAGTACCCTGAGACAAGAACGCCGCACCAAGCGAATGGCAAGTCCCTACTGTGCAGTTTTTTGGAGTTGGAGGGATTCATGACCAACTTCCATCAAGCAAAACCAACAGCTAGCAAACCATGGTGTCCTTGTTGAAAGGGGCTCCTGGCAGCATGTGGGGGTTGATCAAAAGGTCCTTTGCATGGGATGACCATTCCGGAAAACCATTGAAGGTGAGAATGAGTTCAAGGCGAGGCCACGCCAACTGAGTGACAGCCATGCCCCCATTAAGATATCCTAGCTGTTTGGTGGGTTCCGGCACCAGGACACATGGAACCAACCCGGAAAGGGTTGCAATGCTGGTTCTCTACCTTTCTCATTGAACAGCAGGGTTGTTGGCTGGGTTTCCCCTAAACAAAACGCAGCGCAACCGGGTGTCATGTTCTCACCGAAGAAGCTGAAGCATCATTTGAGCCGTCCCCCATTCTCGGGATTCTCCTCTTCACTTCAAATGGCCCAATGTGCAAGGACGACGAGTCGATTGTGCCACGAAGCATGGGCATCATGGGCAAAGTTGCATCCATGAATCCGAGTATCGATGAAGAGTAGCTAGAAATGATTCTATGAATCCAAGAATCCCGGAAGAGCAAATAACATATGAGCCCACGAATTGGGAGAAGATTTCGAGGCCTGAATCCACCAGTCTGATTCTTTCATGACATGAATCCATGCAAATGAATTAACCTCTTGTAGGACTCCATGGCTCGCCCCTGCCGTGCCCAGGTCCCCCTGCCAAGCGAAGATGAGAGGCAGTTCCATAGGCCCGGGCAAAGCTTCCCAATGCTTAGATTCCGGATGAATCTGTATGACTTCTGGCGGCTCACTTGGGTGAAACGAGCTCACCATAGCAAAGATCCTTTACTTGCGGACTTGGGGGGCCAATCGGTCCATCGACCGGGATTTCTGTGTTGGTCTGGTTTTAGTCAAGGTTCCAAGAGGTCCCTTTTGGGGTGAATATCTCATGTTTTCTGACTGACACCCGCATTAGTAGGATAGATTTATGAGTCCTTAAGCAATGAGGGAGCCAGGTCCCACATCCATTTACAACAAGCCCGTTGAACATATTCTACGCCTTCCTCACTTCCTGAGTTCCTGGACTTTAGTCACTTTTGGGGTTGGGACCATTTTAGTGGTAAACACAAAGTTTGGTTATTTTTATGGGCCAATCCACTCAGGAAGTGAGTCTTTTCCCTAGGGCACATTTCCACTAGAATAATATTGAACCAAGGCCCCTCATGATTTTCCAGGTGGGGATCCTTTTAAGCGAACCAATGCGTTGCAAGTGGATCCCAGACATTTCGCCATTGACTCGATGTAGATACCTTTTTTTTTTTGGAATATCTGTGGCGTTACGAATTCGTCGGATCTGGCAATTTGGAGCAGGGTCTACAAACCACAGAGGGAAAGCACCGGATTTCCCTCGAGGAGGAAGCATCACAAGAGCTGGCCTAGAGGGGTGCCCGATAAATGAGAAACCCCGGTTGGGGGGCCCTCCAACAGCGATGATTCACTAGTACACCCAGGGACACCCCTATTCATAACTAGGCGTTGAATCTGGGGTAAGCATGACAATACACATTTTCCGAAATTATACTCTACCCCCCCTCCCCCCCGACAAAAAAAACAACAACAACAAACGGTGTGTCTACGGGAAGGTGGTCGTTTTTGAACGCGTGTGTTGGCTCGTTTTTGAACGCGGTTTTGCTCAAGTGTACGTGATTTACAGCAGCACGGCCATTTTTCCAAGCGTCCACGCACACCACGATGAGGCGCACGAACACGCACCACGATGCACGTGTAGCACATGGATGGCGCCGTGCTTTTGGGAGACAATCGTCAACTGTAGACCCGGGAACACAAAGCACAAGGAACGCAAAGCGACATCATCGTCATCATCATCATCATCATCATCAACAACAACATTGTCAACATAATCATCATCATCATCATCACCATCATCATTACTATCATCATCATCAACACCAACATCATCATCAACATTGTCATCATCACTACCAACAACATCACCATCATCAGCATCAACACCAACATCATCATCACCATCATCACCATCACCACCAACATCTATATCATCATCATCATCATCAACAACAACACCGTCAACATCACCATCATCACCATCACCATCATCGTCACCATTATCATCATCATCATCAACAACATCAACATCATCATCGTCAACATCATGAACATCGTCAACATCAACATCATCACCATCATCATCATCATTAACAACATCATCACCATTATCAACTTCAACTTCGACATCACCATCATCATCGACATCATCAAAGTCATCGCCATCGACATCCTCATCGCCAACATCAATATCATCATCATCAACATCATCATCAACATCATCGTCAACATCGTCAACATATGTCAACATAATCATCATCATCATCGTCATCAACATCGTCAACATCATCATCATCATCATCATCATCATCAACATCATCATCATGATGACCATCATCATCAGCATCGTCATCAACAACAGCACCATCACCACCAGCGCGCAGTCGCACGGTCACGCAGTAAGAGGCGAACGTAACTGCCCCACCCCATCCCGCCCCCCCCCCCCCCAGCCCCAGGACGCAGTCGCACGGTCACGCAGCAAGACGCGAACGTAACTGCCCCACCCCAACCTCCCCCCCCAGCCCCAATACGCAGTTGCGTCGCCACGCAGTAAGCGGCGATCGCAATTCCAGGAGGCTCCGATTCGCAAGTTACTTTGGCCGTATGAGCTAAGGATGTTTTTCTGTGTCGCGAGGACAAGATAACTCAGAGCTTGAAATTTCACGAGTTTTCACGGCTTTTTCACTGAGTAGTAACGGCCTTTCAGTTTCCCGCGCGAGGTATTACGGCCGTTAGGCCGAGTTTTCACGACTTTACGGGGGCCAACGAGCGCAAGTCGCCGAGGACATCTTAGCTTTAAAAAGTCCAAGGTAACTTGGGACTCGGAACCTCCTGGTTGCCCCCTTCCCCCAGCCCTAGGGCGCAGCCGCACGGTCACGCAGTAAGAGGCGAACGTAACTGCCCCACCCCGCCCCCACCCCCACCCCCAGGACGCAGTGGCACGGTCACGCAGTAAGAGGCGAACGCAACTGCCCCACTCCACCCCCCCCACCCTACGGGTGCCGCAGGATAGCCCATGTGTTCGAAAATGACCCATTCTGTGTTCGAAAATGATCCAGGACATCGGTGTTCGAAAATGATCCAAAATCGGTGTTCGAAAATGATCCCCCTCCCTGTGTCTACTACAACAAGATATGTTTGATTAAACAACGTTCCGGCTTTCCCAGTGCTCAAAAGAGAGAGATAGAGAGACAAACAAAACACATCAGGGAGAGGGGAACTACTTTCTGGCGGGGGCGGATGGTTGCGCTATGGGGTACCCTTTTGTCATTTCTATTTTTGAGCATTTGGGGTGGCCATGTACTACAGCTTGGAAATTTGTTGGCTGAGAACTTCTGTTTGAAGGATATCTAAGGAAATCGGCAGTTTGGGGGTGAGTGCAGTTTGGACCAAACAAATCCGGACAAAACAGCTTCTTTTTCGGATTAGGTCCCATAATATGTCTGCAAACCATTCCCATCCCCCGCCGATTTCCTTGCATTTCCTTTGTGCAACAGTGCTTCGCAGACAAATCTCCAAGGGGGTAGGTAGCACATGGCCGCCCCAACTGCTCAAGAATAAGCTAAAACAGGGGACCCAGTTGTGCAAACTTGTTCCAGGGCGAAAAGCAAGCTGCTAAACCAGTTCTAAACAAATACTGGCCAGCTCAAAGGAATACTCAAGCTATTCAACACCAGCAGCAGAGAGGACCGAAAACAACCGAACCAATACTAAGCCAATGCAAAATTACAAACCAATGCCAAGCTAATACTAAGCCAGTACGAAGGCAGCGCGAAGCAATACTAAACCAATTCTAAAACCAATGCTAACCAATACTAAGCCAGTACTAAACTTGGGAACGTTCATTTTCTGGAAAGGTTAACCTGTTCTTTCTGGGCCACTGGGCCACTGAGTGATGCACTATGCTTTCATCTCCTGCGCTGTGCGGAACCCCTTTGACGGCTGCAAAGTTGCAGGTATAACTCGGTATATTATTTAAGTAAAGATGTTTGGTTTAAATCTAGTTGTCCTCCAAGTTTTTGGCAACCGCGAATTCAATAAGCATTCTCGCACGCAGTCGCAAGGGTGCATGTGTGAATGTGTGCATGTTTGCATGTGTGTTGTGTGTTGTGTGTTGTCTGTTGTGTGCCAGTGCGTGTTTGGGCCCATTTGGGTGTGGCTCAAAATTAAACAGGAGGGGCTACGTAGGTGTTGGTCCATGTTTCCACTTACCAGGGTTCCATGTTGGGTACCTATTTTTGAACCCACGGCTTCGCTGTATTATTCGGATCCGTGCCGATTCCAGCCTTCGACATCCGTTCGCGCGCTCCTGGCCAGGTCGCGCGTTGAGTCATCGAAAGCGTATGAGAGGAAAAGGTGTGGGGATCGAACGTTGAGCAAAGGCACTGCAGTTTTCCCGTCTTTGGAGGTGGGTTCCCTTTGAAATCAAAGAACCATGGCCAGTGGTCAGGGATGTGGGGCCTTTGTGGATACCCATGTCCCTGTACAACCAAGGGCTATCCGGAACTCAAGTTTTATTGCTGAGGTGCGAAACACCTGAAACACCTGAAACCTTGCCGCCGTTTTGCTGGACCTCAGGTATGAAGTTAGCCGTGTTAGAGACCTTCTTGTAGCGCGAGTGATTTTTCGATTTGGAAGCTTGGAGGACTTGTTTTCCGCGGGCTTTGACAAGTTGTCCAGTGACCCATGAAGAAAACGGAAAGTCCAACTCCCCGAGTTCCTGGAATACTTCCCGGTTGTGAGTGGTACCCTGGACAAGTCGAAACACTTTGGAGAATGGCTTGCCAGAAATGCAAGGCGACAGCAAGGTTGGGTAGGTTTGGAACCCCAATACGGCCCCCACAACCAAACGTCCAAACCAACACATTGCTGAAGTGTCTCTTTACAGAGCGGGTCACGACTCATAGAGACTGTCAGTCACCCCAGCCTCCGAAAGTGACGCTGCACGGTCCAAAATCAAAAGCCTCGGAGCTGTGGATGCCAAGCAAAGCGGTATGTTAACGAGGTCAGATAAACCACAGCTACCGGTTTTTGAAGCTGTTGGTTCATGAAGTGGCATTCAGGTTACGCCTGGGTTGTTGGGTCCACGCATGCAGGATCCATGCCTGAAGGTTTCGCCCTTTTCGTCGTGCAAGCACGGAGGGTGCGGCCTAGCCATTTGGCTGACAGTCTGGCTTCCACCTGTTGGTAGGAGGTCTTGATTGGGACTCATCGAATACAACATGAGCCCCTGGAAAGACATAATTGAAAAGCCTGAACTGGTATTTGTTTAGGGGCGTCAGAATTCAATGGCTGATCGTTTGGAAGCTGGATTCAACATGGAGTGGACCCCCTACGCCAAGCCCAAGAGCCAAGCTCACAAGCCCATCGAGAGTCTTGCCACAGCAACCAAAACCCCTGTCCACCCGTTGCATTCTTGGCAACCCCCCTGTTCAAGCAAATTGGGGAGGAGGGTCGCCCCTGGATTTCGATTTCACATTTCTGGCTCCATTCCCGAGTTTATGTGGCTGGAAGGGTGGGAACGTGGAAAGATCGGTACACCCCCCACCTCCGTAAAGGGAAGCCCAGATAGTGCCATCCAACCAATCGGGGGGAGTCACCCACAATTTAGGAGACTCCCCCCACAGGACACAACCTTTCAACCAGAGGAATTTCCTTGCTGGTTGGCAGCAAGGAATGACCTTCCGGGTGTCGGGAATGAACCGGAAGGGGATTCTCCTTAAGGAAACCACAAGGGATGGTTTTTCTTGGCATTCCAACTCATTCCCTGCCTACCAAGCAAGCAAGATAGGCTCATGGAGAGATGGGATGCAACCGTCAAGATCATGGCCTCAGTTTCAGCCAGCGCTTTCCCGATGGCGTGAGTCGCACAAATTTCCAGGCCGCTGCTTTGCCTCTTTCGGGGTCATATTTTTGGTTTGGGCGCCAAATGGGTTTCGCATTTATCAGGGGCCCAACATTGGTGGTCCTCTTCGGTTTTCCTTTATCCTCCCATTGGCCTTCAAGACAGGTGTGGAGGAGGTCAAGTGAAGTTTTAGCTCTTTCCGCCGTGTTTGGAGTGAACAGGTCAGTTGCCCCTTTAGGTCCCATGATTTCCTCAATATGTTGACAAGAGTCCTTGTTGATGTTTCGGTTGAATATTGTTGGTTTTCAGTTCGGAGTTTGGTTAGCTAATCATTTACCAGTCATATCCATCTATCTTTCCAAAGAATGACCTGTTGCTGTCCCTTCTTCGCCTACTTCGCCTTCTTCCTCCTAGACCTTTAGTTGGTGGTCTGCCTCATTTTGGCGCCCGACAGCCTTTGATTGGCTGACAGACCTCTGAGTGTGTCGCCCGTTTTTGCCAGGGTGAGCCTGGGTAGCATGTGGGGGTGAGATTGACTCGGAAACTGCAATTTTGAGCATCAGCGGGCCCGGACAGGCGGACACACCATAATGTCAAGCGTACCGGGGAAATGCCGGTTCACGACTTTTCTCAGGGATGTGCGAAACTGCTCCCAACATAATCATAGAAGTTTTCCCATTGACCCGAAAACAGTAGCTATCAAGGTCAAACCCTGGCCCGATTTTGGACAAAGGCTGTAGAGGAACCCCCCGAGGAAGCGAGTAGTCTAGGTGATAGAGCTTTAGCCTGCGGGAGCGTGAGAATGGGCATGCAGAATGTTGTATTGGCTTATCGGGGTAACTTGCCATCCTCGTTTCTGCTCACATGTTCTCCTTCACATGGAAGTGCAGGTCCTATTTTCAGGTGCTTCTTTAGGAGACTTCCTTCGGTCAGAACTGGCGTTTTCACTCACGTTTTTTCTTTTACATGGAAGTTCAGTCTCAAAACAGATTCCCTCAAGAATCTAGGGCTTGCAGGGGCAAATTTCGGGGTTGTCGTGGCGAGGGGCACCCTATGTAACTTCTATGTTAGGAGAAAGCCGCAAGCTCCCAGAACAAAAGGCATTTCCACAGGGGAAAACACACCCTAGCGCCAGTATGTTAGAGACCTCTGAGAGCAGGAACTTCCTGTTTAATTGCAGGGAGTGTAATCGTGGAACACTAGCGGAATATTTTGTGTGTTTGTCCCGCTTGTGTTCCACTTTTCTTCCCGATTCACAATAACATGGAACCTACTTGTAATGTGTATTGCGTTTTTTTACCTCGGACCTCTCCTAGAGTCCGCCACCAAAAAGGCAGAACAACCGCAACAAACCAGCTAATCTTGGAAAACTCACGTACTCTGTTGTAGTTTACACGACGTTCTTGCGTTTTCTTCACATGTTGATGTTGGTGCTTCCGGGGCCTTCCCGGGCGCCGGGCGGTTTGCACTTGTTTCGCTGGTTTTTGTTGGCTGTTGTCGTTTGTACTTTGTTGTTTTTTTGGGTTCCCTCCCCCCAAAGTTCTTGAACGTTTCAATACGCGTCGAAAAGGCCCCAGAAGTTGCCGATCGCCCCTCACAAATTCAGTGGGGAAAGGACCCCCCCAGTTTCGGGGTTGCTTCTGTTGCCGGGGAGGTTTTGTTTGGTGAAGTCCTTCACTAATTGGATGTTCAGCCCACTTGGCAAGTAGGCTATGACCATGCTAATTAGTTACATGGGAGTGTCTCCTTTTGGTTTGCATCTGAAGGGCAATGCGAGAAAGCCGATTGGAGGCATGCACGATGTGGGAGGCTCAGACTGGAAGCCCCGACGAATGTTTCTGGGTAAATTATGGCAAGGTCGCCCAACCTCACACTGAATTCGACCTAGCAATCTTGAAATAAGGGTCTGGGAGAAAGCCTGTTGCGTCATGCCTGACGTCCGCTGCTTAAAGACGCAGCATTTTGTGGGCTGAACCCGCCTCCCCCTCCATGATTGTTCTGTGGAGTGCGTTTTGGCATGCAAATTGAGTTGCTGTCCGTTGCGTCACATGGATTCCACCCTGGGTCCAACCTCCTAATTGCCGAGTATTTAAGGAGTTGTTACCTGGAGCTGTTGGGGTTTCAGAAGTTTCCGCGTTGAGGCAGCAGGGCCAAGACCTAAGTTAGTAGCAATTCACCCATGGTTTCAAGATACCCCGGAATAATTTCTGAGGGGTAAAGGGCTTTTGGATCCCGTTCATTTTCGGCAACTCCGAATCGGAGCCCGGGCGACAAGAGCGTTTTCTACGGCTCAGTTGTTCAGGGGCACATTTGTTTTCCTGTTCCCTCCGGTCCACCAAGCGCAGAGGTCAGGTTTCCCGCTGGATGGGAGGGTCATACTTTTGGGAAGCAGTTCGGCCGTTTTTGAGGCAATCCTCTCAGGAAGTGAGACAAAACATACCCCCAACCTGGCAAACCGCGTTGCAAGTCTTTTTCCACCAAGAGAACCGCTGGTTGCAACTGGCAAGATGGCAGACTCATTAGCCGTGCTTGGCCCATGTTTTGCCAGGAATCCTTTTGCCCAGCTGGCCGGAAAACTGAAAAATCTCAGGATGTTTTGTCAGTTTCTGAAAATAACATGAAGACCTTTGTGCTCCACGCAGCTTTGGCTCAAGTGAGCCCATGCAATTGTAGCATTGGGGAGGGGAATTTCATGTGACGTCCAGGCCCCCCCCCAACAATTGCTTCAACCCCCGGGTTCAAGTCACAGGTGCTACCAGCGACATCCCGATGTCACGTGCAAAGTTTTACCTCTTCTTATGAAACACATCGTGAGGTCGAGAGCAAAGTTTGAAGCGCATCCAACCAGAAACCCTCGAGCTCAAGCGATTCCGGGCTTCAAGGGCCTTTTTCTGATCCCTGTAGCTTGGAACTGAAAAATAGCCAAAGAGTCCCCATTTAGGGACTGTGGTATAGCTATAAAGTTTAACCCTTCTGCTAGGTATTGCGCATTTCTCCGATAATTCGCGTAGATCCGTCCAGAACACCTGGGCGGGGAGTTAGGAATGCACTTGGAAGCGGTTCCGTCGGAAAGGGCCGTGGAAGCGTCGCCGTCGGCGTCAAGCTCCACGTCGGTGTCGTCACCAGAGTCACCGGCAGCGTCGGCCACCGCCGTCTATGAACGAGTGGCGGATTTCCTGTCGAATATGCGCAGCCCGGCGCATGCTTTCGTCTTCCATTTGGTTAAGAACAATTTGGTTTTTCCCCTGTTGGTTGTAAAGGGAATCTATCACTACTGGACATATTTTCATTTTTTCCGGGGGACTTAAGCAAATGGAGGTCGTTGCTCACCCCAGTGGAATTGTCATGTTAAGGCATTGGTAAATGTAACCCGGTGCTTCCAGAATAATTTGGAGAATCCCTATCTTCACCTCTCAAACCCTCGCGTTCTTTGCTGCCGGGGTCACTGGCCAGAAGGAGAATTGGCACTAGCAAAGTCGATGTCGCGATTTTTTTCCCCGAACATGCGGGGAAGTAAAGGGGAAGACAAAGCCAACATGATGGAATTGATGGAATGGCATCGTGTACTTTCAGCCACCTGTAAACAAACACGAGATAATGAGTCGTTTTACGTGCTGGTACTGTGAAGGGAATGTGGGGGTGAACCTAGGCTTTGGTCCCCTGAAAGGAAACCACCAGTTGGAGTGTTTACCAGGGTCATTCCGTTTCTCCTTCCCTGCATCTCTCGCAGCGATCGCAAGTTTCGTCATTCAGATCCGATCCGCGCCAGGATCAGTAAATCCGGAAGTTGTGCGAGCGACAGATCCCTGGTACGCCTTGCGCTTCTTTGGCCGCATGTTGCGGGAACAAGATAAGACCTACTATCACCTGAGCCGCAGGACCGAGACTGCGCAACACCCCCTGTCCAGTGGTCCAGGGCCCGGTAGGACCTGGTTTAATGAGGTTTACTATAGTCGTAAATCTTTGCAACAAGTTGAAAGTAGAACCAAGATAGACACTAACTTTGCTGAGGCTACCAGGTTCCCAAGGGGAAACCACAAGGATGTTGGTTTGCTAAGTGGCCCAGTTGCTGTATCCAGAGTTGAGTGGGTCTTGCAGTCTTCCCCCTGTAGGCTCTTTTCAGTACTCTTTAGTACTTTTTTAGTATCCAGGGGTGGATCCACAAAATCCGCATCCAAGCCGTTTTCTGAAACTTCTGATCAAACACGCCGGTGTTCGCCAGGACAGATGAGCTCAAGGTGTTTTGGAGCCATTCCTGGCATGGATCCGCACAGTGCCTCATTTGGACGGTCCAAGTAGCGGAGGGTAAAGGGTGGAGATCTGAGCCGGCACGGGTGCCCTGAATTTTGCCGGCAAGGGACAAGGACCCGCCCCCAAATGTTGTGATCTAGGGGTCAAGTCTGCTTGGTTTACTTGCACTATTTAGTGCATCCACTGCAACAACAATGAAACGAGATCAAAGTACCTCTTTCAGCGATGTGACTGACATTTTCTTTTCGGGGGTCCCTTATTGCGCGTGCCCGTTTCTGTGACTGAGATGATTGCTTGGGCTTGGCCCGTATTTTCAGCAGACATTCTCAAGTTCATAGGTCAGATTTTTCTGGGACATTGGGTCTACCATGGTCTACCCAACGCATGGAACGCTCAGGCTCGAGAGTTTCCCTCAACCCGACTGTCTTCCGTGTTGGAAAGACCAATCTGTCTTTGGACATGGCTTTTTTTTTCTCATTTGTTCACCCCTAGATGGACCCATCTTGTGGCCATCGGCCTTTGTTTGGGCACAGAAGGCCTGCAAGTGGCCGGTCGTTGTTGTTTGTTTTTGTTTTTTTGTTCTTGGAAGGGAACAAACTCTCCGAAAGGCAGGGGGGCTTGGTGCTGCTGTTTTGGGATGGTTGAGTTGAGCGGTAAAGTCGGGTTATAGTTAACGCGGGTTGAGCACTTTGCGAGTTAGGACGATCTTCCTTGGTGCTGTGCTGAGGTCATGGGGTTGAGCGGAAACAAGTTGGGTCAAAGTACCTCGTGAGAAGCGAAGTGAAGTTTGGACCGAGGAGCAAGATCTTGGTGTTGTTGCTGATGTACAACGGCTTCGCAGCGATTTTTGTGGGCAATCTGGTGGCGTTGACCGCAGTTGCCTTGAGCTCATATGGGCTCCTACCGGGCTACGACCCTTGGCGCCCGAGCGGAGAGCGGGGGTCCGGCGCTGTTCAGACCAGGGAACTCCCCTAGAAACTAGCATAGAACCCAAAAAGGGGTTCATCATGAAGCCGCCGCAAAAGCGGGTCCATCATGAAGCCGCCGCAAGAACGCAACTCCAGTTTTGGTCTATGTTAGTCTTCGCCAAGAGTATGGGTGCTTGGGGGGAGGGTCCCCGAAAAGCTGGGGTGTGAAGAAATCGAGTTTTGGGTCGACCATGTCGACCCAAGGTAACCCTTCATGGGCATGGATAGGCCCTATAGCCATGTACCCCTTACCTGTGGGAAATGCCGTCTAAGATACCAGTGGCATCTAGTTTTCCAAACGGACACCCATGCTTGCCTGCAATCTATGTTCGTGCCATGAAGTCACAAAAAGAGGTGAAACGGAGGTCAACAAGCAGATTGGGTTGGAAAACCGAAGGGGTCGCCTAGGTCCTCCAGTAGAGAGGTTAGAATAAGGGTGTCCTTTTTTGCTGTAGTCTATTTTAGTAGGGGAACCCCCCAAAAAAAGGGGTGAGAAAGGGCAAGGGGGACCTAGTCGCCGTAGCTCAGGAATGGTCACCTATCCTGGAGCCGGAGGAACATTACATCGCTGCACCATGGGGTGTGTCGCTGGGATGCCTCTCCGCTCTGATTACCTTGCTCCTTGGCAAGAAGCGAACGCCAGCGCGCCCTGCCCCATGCCTTTGTGCAGGACAAAACTTCCATTTGCTTGAGAATATGTGGATGTTCTTTGTTGGGTCTTAATTGGAATCTATCACTACTGGACATATTCTTCTTTTTCCCAAAAGCATCTCTGATGCTTGGGTTCTGCTTTAGGTTTTCTCGTAAGGTGCCTGGGAGCGATACAAGCTGTGACGACGGAGATAAGAAGGGATTTCCATTTCGTTGTGCTGCAGACCGGGCGTGCGATGGGTGCAGACCGGGCGTACGAGGCTGGCTGGGGGGACGGCGGTGTGGGGCTGGCTGGGACGGCGGTGTGGGGCTGGCTGGGGGGACGGCGGTGTGGTGCAGACTGTGCGCGAGCGAGACTGGCTGGCTGGGAAACCGCCTGCGAGCGAGACTGGTTGGCTGGGAGGATGGCGGTGTGGTGTAGACTCGGCGCGCGAGGCTGGCTGGAAACCGCCCGCGAGGTGGACGCTCGTGACATTCGGAAACCGCCTGCGAGCGGGGCGCGGTGGACGCTCGTGACATGCGGAAACCGCCCGCGAGCGAGACTGGCGCGGTGGACGCTCGTGACATGCGGAAACCGCCCGCGAGCGAGACTGGCGCGGTGGACGCTTGTGACACGCGGAAACCGCCCGCGAGCGAGACTGGAGCGGTGGACGCTCGTGACATGCGGAAAACGCCCGCGAGCGAGACTGGCGCGGGCGGTGGACGCTCGTGACATGCGGAAACCGCCAGCGAGCGAGACTGGCGCGGTGGACGCTCGTGACATGCGGAAACCGCCCACGAGCGAGACTGGCTCGTGACATGCGGAAACCGCCCGCGAGCGAGACTGGCGCGGTGGACGCTCGTGACATGCGGAAACTGCCTGCGAGCGAGACTGGCGCGGTGCGCGCTCGCGACATGCGGAAACCGCCCGCAAGCGAGACTGGCGCGGTGGACGCTCGTGACATGCGGAAACCGCCCGCGAGCGAGACTGGCGCGGTGGACGCTCGTGACATGCGGAAACCGCCCGCGAGCGAGACTGGCGCGGTGGACGCTCGTGACATGCGGAAACCGCCCGCGAGCGAGACTGGCGCGGTGGACGCTCGTGACATGCGGAAACCGCCCGCGAGCGAGACTGGCGCGGTGGACGCTCGTGACATGCGGAAACCGCCCGCGAGCGAGACTGGCGCGGTGGACGCTCGTGACATGCGGAAACCGCCCGCGAGCGAGACTGGCGCGGTGGACGCTCGTGACATGCGGAAACCGCCCGCGAGCGAGACTGGCGCGGTGGACGCTCGTGACATGCGGAAACCGCCCGCGAGCGAGACTGGCGCGCTTAGCGAGACTGGCGCGGTGGACGCTCGTGACATGCGGAAACCGCCCGCGAGCGAGACTGGCGCGGTGGACGCTCGTGACATGCGGAAACCGCCCGCGAGCGAGACTGGCGCGGTGGACGCTCGTGACATGCGGAAACCGCCCGCGAGCGAGACTGGCGCGGTGGACGCTCGTGACATGCGGAAACCGCCCGCGAGCGAGACTGGCGCGGTGGACGCTCGTGACATGCGGAAACCGCCCGCGAGCGAGAGCTCGCGCGTGACATGCCGCGAGCGAGACTGGCGCGGTGGACGCTCGACATGACATGCGGTGACGCGTGACATGGTGACGCTCCGATGCGGAAACTGGCGCGAGCGGAACAAAACAGCGAGCGAGACTGGCGCGGTGGACGCTCGTGACACATGCTGGAGAGCGACTGGCGCGTGGACGCTCATGACATGCGGCAACCGCCACGTGCGCGGCTCCATGTGAACAGCCCGGCGCTCCAGGTACGCCATAATTGTCCTTTTTGCCGCACACCTGACCCGAACAAACGGTGCCAATGTGTTTCTAGGACGAACCCTCTCTTCAGAAGCTGTAGCCTCTTGGGGTTCGCCCTACTTATTTGGAAGCAGCCTGGAAGCACGTTGACATGAATATGCTGAGCACACTCGGCCCAAACAAAAGGGCGCATGAACATCCGAACAGCTGACCCCGGTCTACGCAGATCGTGGTAACACTGTGTCTCAGACTTGTTTCAGACAGGCGTCAGACCCACCAAGTGACCGAGGCTTGTCCACACCGAGCCCCCCGCAAAAGCGCAGCGCCGGCCCCGTCTCCACACACCTGCGGCGAATCCACCCAACTTGCCATCCACACGCATCCAATTGACAACGTGCGCGGCCCTTTCCACAAAGTCACCAGTTGCAATTGGTTGCGAATGGGAAAATAGGTGGAGAAACTAACGAATCCAAGCAAGCTTACGAAGCAAGTTTGTGAAGGCCACGTGCACGGCTCCATGTGAACAGCCCGGCGTTCCAGGTGCGCCAAAATTGTCATTTTTGCCGCACACCTGACCCGAACAAATGGTGCCAATGTGTTTCTAGGACGAACCCTCTCTTCAGAAGCTGTAGCCTCTTGGGGTTCGCCCTACTTATTTGGAAGCAGCCTGGAAGCACGTTGACATGAATATGCTGAGCACACTCGGCCCAAAAAGGGCGCATGAACATCCGAACAGCTGACCCCGGTCTACTCAGATCGTGTTGTAACACTGTGTCTCAGACTTGTGTCAGATGGTTGTAGAGCGAGCTTATGCCTTGCTTCCAATTTGGGAGTGGTAGTTTGTGCGGATCCATTTTCGGATTTCTGCGATTGGTTCTTCATGATGAACCAGATGACTTCGTGCCTTCCATGTAGTGCGGGGCCTCGTATTTCACCCGTGCCTTTGCCTTTTTCTCTCTGCTTGGTCAGAGCACAGGCTGCTGGCTGCCAATCCGGCTTGAGTCGCGGTTGCTCCCCTTCTTCATCTGTTTCGGGGCTGATTTCCCAACTGTGAACAACTTAAGGGGAGTGAGGCTGGTTTGCTTTTGGGTTCCCGGGCTCCTCTTGTTTTCCAGGGTGCTTAGGCAAACAGGCGGACAACGCAGCAACGTTCCCACATGGGGAGGTCCCGAAAAAAATGCGGGCCCCTTCGAGACAAACCCAAATAGATTTGCAGAGGGTCAACTACATGTCCCCTTTTTGGGCCGGGAGTCGGAGCGATATCTTTTGCAATCTATGGGATTACTCGGTGCGATGTTGGAAGGGCACGCAGGGTGAAGGCAGTTTCATATTTCCTAGTTGCCCAGTGGTGCCCGTTTTACTTTTTTTTGGGGGAAGGGTTCCCCTTGAAAGTCAACCAAGCAAAAAAGGATGCATTCTTTTTTCCCATGGCCACTGGGCATTTGAGACAATGTTTCGTGCTGACGGCCCTTGACCTTCGGTGCGCAGGGGCTATTTGTCTTTGTTGTTTGCATTCTGTGGTTTTCTCACCTGGCCAGTTTGTGCGCACAAATCAGTGCCAGATGTATCTCGCCTTTGTATTATTTGTTTGCCTTTTTCCCCTTCAACCAGCAAAGAGTTATACCCTGCCACCAGTTAGCATGGAGCCTGACAGCGACCCAGTCCCTTTGAGGAGACTGGTCCAAACCAGGGGCCTGTCGAAACCTCGAACGATTCCAAGTGAAAAGGGTGGGTGGATTTTTCACTTTGGCAGAAGCCCGGCCTTTTGGAGGCTTTTCCCAGTTGTTCAGTGGGGTGCTTCCTTTTTTCAAGTTTTCTTGGAAGGGTTCCGGTTCTTTGCAAGTCAGCCAACCCAACAAAAAGAAAAATCGGGTGCCCTGGTTTCTTTTTCAAGCCATGGACATAACTCCGGGCATTTGGGATTCTTGCTGTTTCTTGCTGACCGCCCTTCGGAGCGCGGCCCAGATGCTTGGTGTTGGGATCCGGCAGGATCATTTGGCGTCCAAGAAGCACTCCGATCTTCCTGGACCGCGCTTGCATCAATGCCGAAGATCACACCATGCAAATGCACCTCGCCCAGGTCGCCCCCCAAAAAAAAGGTGGCCGAGCGGCCGAGCCGACCGGGTAAAAAGAAGCAGAGAACCCGAGGAATGTCTGTCTTGACGATGTGCGGCACGGATCTGTAGCCTTCAACTTGTTGGCAACAAACACGTCTGTGTCCTCCCAGTGAATGTTTCGGGTCGTTGTTCCGGTTCTGTTTCGGGGGGAGAATAGGGTTGTTTCCAACTTTAATCTACCACTGAACGAGGGTGACTTTGATCATGGTAAACTAATGGGACCGGTATGTGCGTAGCCTTCAACTTGTTGGAAGAAAAGCACATATGTGCCCTCCCAGATCCACCAAGATGGTTGTTTACTTGTTGCAGGGGCAATGACCACTCATTCAAACAGGCAAACACAAACATGTCACCACTGGAGGCCTGGAAAACAAGGAAAGCGAGGGGCTCAAAACTTGGGTTTTGACACATACAGATAATTTACCCTCTTGGCATGCGCGTCGAATGCTTGGACATGGAAATGTCCACTTCATAGGATCCTGCGGGTTTTACCATGGCTCGTTGCCATGCCGCAATCGGGTTACAGTTTCCCAGTGTGCGCAAAAGCGAGCAGGTCCGTTGCTGTCCGTTGCGCTACCACCTTGTTTAATCATGCCTTTTTCACCTGACCTCCCAATCCGGAGGACCTCAGCTCAGGCTCCCTTCGGAGCTGGAAAGGTCAGGCTTGCTTTGACTTGTCCGGAGAATCTGCTTTTGTTGAATCTGCTTTGGTTGAAGCCGCTCCCCTTGACACAACTTGAGTCAATGTGCTTGAGTAGGAAACCATGGAAACCCTGAGAAAGCCAAAGCAGCATGGTGAATGGCTACCTGCGCCTAGGATCCACTAGAAGGACCCTGCTCTTTCCCAACAGTCTAAAACTGGGTTGGGGATTGACAAAAACGTAATTAACAAAAAGGAAGCAAAAGAGCAAGGATCCCCTCCACTGGATTCAAAATTGACACCCATTTTTGCTCTGCTCAGGCAAGGGATCCTCAGTATCGGGGCCATGCTCAAGCAGTCGGAGTCCATGCTGGTTCTATGGGACACCACCTTTGTGGAGCGCTCCTAAACCGCTTTTAACGCGCGGTCGAACCAGAAGTAGCGGAATATTTTAGCGCGGGGGGCTTTGGTGGGGTATGCGTCTAGTTTTTTGTTGGCCCCGAAATGGGTGTGGCTGCATACCTGAAGTCTCCATAACCCCTTAAATATGGTTGGTCGTTACCCAAAATAAAGGGGTCATGGGCCCATTTTTAAGTGTCGTGGAGACTCCAGGAAGGTCAATATGGCCCCAAAATGGGTGTGGGTGTCAAAACCCACCTTGTTTGGGGTAACCACCCCTCCCTTTTGTCATGTCCAATTGGTCCATGTTCAATGGGAATCTGCGGGGTGACTATTCGGCTAAGAATGTCAGCAAAAGGCTGGTGTCCCTGCAATCAGACATGGGGGTGACTTTGGTAACGGTAAAGGAACGAGATGGGTACAAGACAATTACATAACACATCCCCTGCCCCTTTCATGACCACAACCCCCCCCCCACCCCCCAAAGAGGAAAACAGCAGGCATGACCTGCACGTTGCCGCTTTCAGCTTTTTGTCAAAAGAGGTGTACGTACTTGCTTTTGTTTTGACGCCCATCCCTTGAACAAATAAAGACTTCCCCATGGTTGGGGAGACATACATCCCCACGCAGTGGACACCCGCTCGCCAGTTCCTGTTTGTTTACCAAGAGGTTTGAACTTCAAAAGTCGTTTGCACTTGGGGCAAGTGGTTAGCATCCACCAGAGTTCTGCCTATGTTGTGGAGAGCTCACTTGGAGCAAGCACAAACAGCCAGCTCACCATGTCCATGTTCCTTTACTTGGGGATCCAAGTCTTGATTAAGAATTAGAATTAAGTGTGAACATTGCAGATAGAATTCCAGCTCCCCTGACTCGGCTGGTTGGATTGGTGGCTTGGGGATTTCAACCCCTGGTTCTTGTGGGGTAAACGGACAGCTACCCCCTAAAATCCCAAACCCACCCAACGAAACCAACAAGTAGTGTGAAGCTGACATACGGAATGGGTCGCGAAACTTCCGAGCCAAGGTTTGTGGTGCATTTTTGAGATCGCCGCATACTTGCAGAGCCACAAGGGCCGGGAGCAGTCGCTGGTGGTGACGTTGCAAGATAAGACTCAGTTGTTCAAAGCCGACCTTTTGACCTTTTGGTCTTCCCATTTTGGTCCACATTTAGTCATGGCCTCAAAAGGTTAACCTTTTAGTTCCAGGTCCTTTGGGCAACTGAGAAGAAGCTTAGGACTTTCCGCGTTTTCCCTTCGGGTTTCGTGATTTTCACTTTCAACCTTCTTCAATCCTTTCTTGGCTTTTGCGACTTCGGGGGTTGTTAGTGTTTTTTTTTTCCTTTTTTTTTTTTTTTTCGTTTTCGGAGTTCGACCACTTCCCCTTTCAGCCAGCCACTTGTTGCTTTTCTCAAGGGTGCCATCAAAAACCGCGCGGCCATTTTGGGGGCTTTGTTGAACGGGATACCAGAAGAAAGCCAACCATTTTGGGGGCAGGGTTCCATGTTTTGATGACCTCAAGGTAAACTTAAACCCAGGACTATTCTCCTTGGGGAAATGAATCAGCCCTATTGTGTTTGAATCTGTTCTTTTAATTCTTTGAGGGGACCCGCAACAAAATTGCGGCTTTGCTTTTTTGGTTTCCCCCCCCCCCCGGCAAAACAGCCACCCAAATAAGCTGGGCTCCAAACAAAATGTCCGGACGCGGCACGTGAGGTAAGGCCGACGGCGCTCGGGGTCAGCACGCTGGCGGTCTTTGGCCTCACCGCCTTCCGCTCAAGCGTCCAGGTGGTGATCTCCTATTCCGCTACTCGGCTTGTCCCCTGTTGGTATTTCCGAATCGATTTCACTACTGGACATATTTTCCAATTTTTCCCTGGGGACAAGCAAATGGAGGGCGCCCATATTGTCATGATCAGGCAAATTGCGTTGACGCCACAATTGTGGGGGTTGCGACTTTCATTGGGGGGTCCAATTCGTTTCTTTTCCGTTGGTGAGTCGTCAAATTTGCCCAGAATAATCAGGCAACCCTTAGTCAGTGCTTTGGATTGGGAGTTTGGGGAAACCACCAGTGAGCGGGAAGCTATAAGAATAGTGTTGACTCGTTGGCCTGGCATTAAAATCGACCGGGTGGATTGATATGGGGGGAGCACCCCCTTCTGCTCCTCGTGGCAGCCCCCTCAGGCTCTCATTTGGGCCCGGAAACTTCACCTCGAGCCCTGCGAAACACGCAACAAAAACACATGGCAGATCTAGTCCGCCCAAAGGCTCCGAAAAGGAGGTGTTCGAGATCCCGACAGGCCTCCCTGAAAGGGACGGTTGCCACGTGAGGACTTGGACCCCGCCAAAGCGGCGATGTTCAACGTCGTCGTCACCGGCTTCTCCATTCTGTTCTTCGGGTGGCCCGGCTCGATGCCCGAAGCGCCCGTCCCTCTTCTGCTTGCCGTTTAACAAAAAACAACGGGCGGCGGCCCCTTAAAGGATACATGTGGGCCAGTTCAAAAGTCACCAAAAGGCTGTTGATCCCCACTTTTTTTTCCGTGCAAGCTTGGGTTCCGAATTTTAATTCAGCATGAATTTGGCAGAAAGCAGGCCAACCTTTCTGATTCGTATTGAAGCACTTGAAAGGGGAAGGGTGCTTAGGAAGTGGTTAGGACACTTCTCGATTGTTGTAGCCCACTTAACATGCCCCCTGAGTGTGTTATCATGGTTACCCCTCTTGATTTAAAGGGAATCCACGATTTGTTGGGTTTCCCCTCCCCCCCCCCCCCCCCCCCCCTCCCCCCCAGCCGCCGCCCCATAGCCAGGCTCACGGCGAGCCTCTTCCGGGCGCACTTCGCGTCACTGGAGACGATGCAGGCACAGCTCAGCTCGTTTAGCATGAAGGACGCCAAGCGCCCCAGGCTGAAAGATCAACAGTTTTTTCGTGTTTTCTTCTTCTTTTTTATGTGGTTGTTTTGTTGTTCCTTTTTTTTTGGGTGGAGCGTGAGCGACCCACCCCCAGTGAAGGGGCCCTTCCCATGCACTTTTCCTGAGGGAAACGGTGACTTAGTGATTTCAGCAAGTCATTCGTAGCCATGGTTTTGCTGAACTTGTGCCAAGAAGTCAGACACCAGCAGAATAGGTTGTGGTGGTTACATACCCACTTATATGAGGCATGTATTGTTTTATAGCAAAACTCGCAAGCTTCTCTTGGTGGTTAGTAGGCATCCATACGTTCAAAATGCCCTAGAATGGAGAATGATCATCCCTTTGAGCACCCGACTTCCATCTTTGTTGTTTCCGGGAAAGCCCAAACAAGCATGTTTCGGGGAACTGACCTCTTGCCCAAAGCGAATCGTTCTTTTAAATTTTTCATTTCCCGTTTTCCAGATTAGTCAAGGTGCCAGGAGGTGATCGCCTTTGTATCAGACCTCCAGCGGGGCCATTGTGTGGTTTGCTTCTCTTACTAGGTCCCCGAGTAGTGCCCTTTTTCCCTTGTTTGGGGGAGGGTTGCCCTACTAAAATAGACTACACAAAAAAGGGCACCTTAGCTTTTGCTGCACTGTTGTTCGCCAAGTCTGAGATCTGAGCTCTTCGTTGCCGCTGAACAAGTCGTGTAGAGCAACAATGCAAGCGCTAGCCAATCAGGCACCTTGCATTAAACAGGTAAGCCATTGGTATGAAAATCCGGATGTGTTCGGCGCTTGACGTTGCTTGATGACATTTTACATCATGAACAGAAACAAAAGAACACAAAACAACATGTCGCACTCTCGGTATGGTAGCAAAACCAGTTGATGTTTGTAGCCGTGCGCGAGATGGCCCGGATTGCGCGTATTCTCCCAGAGGAAAGCATCATGGGACGAATATATCATTGATTTGCCCACATCCACTATTTAGCACCCAGAATGCCATAAACACATTTATTATTGACCATTCTTGGATTACTGCTTTGCTTAACCCGTTTTGCTCACAGGATTTGGTTTCAAAAGTTGAGCAGTTTGATGGCGGCTTCCATTGAAACCGCCGCTTTGAGAGGTTCATTTAGGTCCCTCCGTAGTGCCAGCTTTTACCCACTTTTTGGTTGGGAGGGTTCCCCTACTAAAATAGACTCCAGAAAAAAGTTGGTACCCTTATTCGACTACAGAAAAAAGCAAACGGTACCCTTACTCTCACCTCTCTACTGGAGGACCTAGGAGAGGTTCCAAAGGTGGTTCCACAGGCGGGTTTTTGGACCAAACCGCCTGAGGGCCAGCTGCTGCAGCCTGGGCCATGTGAGTCCCTCAGGGGTGCCAGTGGCCTGCGATGCTCCGCTGCGAATGGAACGGTTCAGCTTTGGGTTTTCCCATGTTGGCCCATGGGTCAAAAGCCAACTCCTACCCCCAGTGAATATCCCAATCCTCACTCACTCTTGTAGACTAAAATGGGTGGTGCACCTACCTCAAAATGGTACCATTGGATTTGACCCACAGCAGGGGTACCTTCCCCATCCTTTCCAGGGATTCTTCTTTTCAGGAAACCATCAAAAACCCAGGGGAAACAGATCCGGTTTTTGAAAATAATGATGGTTGAAAAGAATGGAAAAGGAATCAACCCCTAGAGTTTTCCCATGTTGGTCCATGTTTAGTAGAGGTGCCAAGAGGTGATCACCTTTTATTTCCAGGTCCCTAAGGGGCATGTGAGTTCTTGGCGGGAAACCACAAGGAAAACGTCCGATTCCTAAAAAACATGCATTTCTGGGTTTCCTCAAAACCTCCAAACGTGGTAGTTTCAACGTTGAAACCGCCAGACATTCTGTTTCAATTGATCAACTTTCGAAGGGTAAATCCAGCGACCGCTGTACATTGGCAACCAGTTTAAGTCATTGTTGTTTGAGGGTGCCGTATTTGCTGGGGGTTAAAGGCTAGGTCCCCCACCACTTTTACCGTTACCTTTTTTTGGGGGGAGGGCTCCCCTACCTCCAGGCCCATGGGGTTTTGAGGATCGAGTCATCCTCACCGAGTGCATCGAGAAGTGGTTCGGCTCCGTCGAGGCGGAAATTCTGAAAGCGGAAAGCCGTAGGGGGGGCGCAGGGGGAGGGGGAGGGGGGGGGGGGAGGGGAGTGGGGGAGGAGGGGGGAGGGGGGAGGGGGGAGGGGGGAAGGGGGGAGGCGGGAAGGGGGGCCCCGTGAGAGGAGTCTGAAGGTGGGACCCACGGACCATGCCGGGACCCACCAAAAAAATGCCCCCGAAAAGGAGGGACTAGGGCGATGGAGCTCAATCAACAACTAGGAAGAACAATAATCAATTTCCTTTCCATTTCCTTTCCATTTCCTTCGCAGTAATCAGGGTATGCTCCCCCTACACCCTCTTTTTTTTTGTCAACCAGGGGTCTATTCATCGGGGTCCCCATGAAAAAGGGCCTTAAAGACTTGCAACACCGTAGGCCACTTTGAGTGGAGACACTGGGAACCAGAAAGAAAAACATGGATCCTCAAACTAGCACTGAAAACCAAGAAGCATCACCCCGTAATTTTTGAGGGCAATAAACAACACATTGGGGCAGTTTGAGGGTCCTTGTTTCCTCTCTCTTTTTTGGGTTTCTCTTCAGCCACCAGTCATGACTTTGCTTGCTGGTTCTCATCAGGGAATGAGTTGGAATGACCCCGAAAAAATATATCCCCCATGCATGGTTTCCTTCAAGGGAAGTCGTAGGTTCATTCCCAAACCCTGGATCATGCCCTACTGAGCACCAACAAGTTTAAGGACATCCATTCAAAACCCCTAATGTTGCAAAGGATCCTGTGGGAGTCGCTTGCCATTGCTGGCCTTTGAGCTTGTGGGGTTTTCTTGATATTCCCTGCCATTAAAGCATCACCGTAGGCTGGTGGCTTTTGGATGCATCGGTGATGCACTCCATATTTCTATGTTTAGAGGCTTGGTTGTCAAAATGGGTGTGGCTCAAAATTAAGCAGGAGGGGTTACGCAGGTTTTGGTCCATGTTTCCACTTACCAGGGTTCCATGTTGGGTACCGGTTTTTTCAGGAATCAGTGGGTTGGTGCGGTTCCACGTCAAAAGGGCGGGCGGGTCACAATGGCGGATGTAAAGATCGGAGTTTTCCGAATGCCGGTGCTCAGTAAAAAAGAAGAGTTAGGGAATGATTACGTGGGGCTTCCCTTAAAGGAACACTATGAGGGAATAGTCTCTTCCCCAAGTCGCCCCTTTTTTCCAGCCACTTTACCCACTAGCCCATAATTTGGCAACAGTAGCTGGAAAATAAATAAGGGCCACTGGGGATCGATCCAGGTAGGGGGTCCTTCCATGTCTCATCCCCTTCCCATTTCGCGATGGCGATGGGTTCGAAAACTGCCCAGGCCTTCGAAGAGTCGGTGCAGACCCAGGTGGCCGAAGCCTTGAAGAAGAGCATGGGGGACCGGGTGATCTTTCCCAGGGCCTGGTTGGCCCCTCGGAGCTGAACCGGCAACTGGCTAGAACTGGAGCTGGAAAGGAGAGTCCGCTCTGAGTAGTTTTGGGGTTTTTGGTCTCCAAGGAGGGGCAAGCCCTCAAGTTTCCCTTCAACATCAACCCAAGGGTGCCAAAGCGAGACATTGGCCCATTTGTCAAGTTTTAAAGCCCCAGCCAGGACTGGTTGGTAGGTGGGAAGGTAGGTTGGTTGGTTGGTTGGTTGGTAGGCTGGTTGTGTCAAATTGGCCTGGCAATTGTACCATATACTTCCTCGTTGAGTGACCCACCCCCAGTCAAGGAAACCTTCCCACACACTTTTCGTGAGGGACACACTTGCTGATTTCAGCATAGCCATGGTTTTGCTGAACTTGTGCCCAGAAGTCAGACACCAGCAGAATAAAACGAGGGGGTTCAACAGCCATGCTTGGATTGCCTCCGTTTTGGAATTGGAGTCCTCGTGCCGCTCTGCCGCTCGTCCGGGAAGCTTTAGGATGTGATCTTGGGATTTGTTCAGCTGAGCGCCTGAAAGCCTTTTATAGTCATTTCAGTAGTTTACTTCCATTTGCTGAAGTTAACATGTTTATTTTCCCTTGTTTGGTTTAAAGGGAATCTGAATCACTACTGGCAATAGTTTATCAATGTTTGCAGGGGGCAACCACGCAAATGGAAGTACGTGGCTTTCGGAAAGTAAGCACAAATCCATTCCTAGATATGAGGGCCTTGACCCCTTCGTCTTTGGGCATGTTAGCATTAGGCCCAAGGAACCGCTGTTTCTCCCCATCTCCATTGAGGGATGTTTGTTTGGACAGCTGGGTGGGATATGTCCTAAATCCCGCCTGTTTTCTAGAATCCCTTCCCCCCAATGGTTAATAAAACGCACCCCCCAAAAAGAATACATCCCTCCGGTGAACATATGTTCCATGTTCAGCAACTTCCATACCAGCCTTTATAACTCTGCTGGCAGAACCATCTTTCCGGGTTCTGGGCCGCTCAGTTGGGTGTTTGGGATAAACTTGGGACACTTTCAGGTGGGAAACCCCAGTGGCGGGTGCTGTGGTTTCCTGTTGGCTTCCACTAAATGTGCCTTTTGCGGACACCCGGATTCCAGCTCGTCCGGCTATTGGGTTGGATCTTCGGACTTTAAGTTGTTTGTTCATTTTCCGAATTTTCCCCGCGCAAAGAGATTCACTTTCCGAGGGGTGCCAGCAAGTTTTCGGAGCCCCGAAACCTGATTATTAGATGCCTCTGGGGGTCAAAGGTATGATATTTCGGGTTTTGGCGGCGTGAGCTTCAACAAGCACATGTCAAATAGGTCCCTCAAAAGGATCCGTGTGTTCTAGGTTTCCATTTCAATACGTTCGGAAAGGCAGTGTAGTTTGGAACAACACTCGGGATCCTAGGCACAGGTACCCTAACCTTTAACATCTCAAGTCTGGAGGACCTAGCACATGACCTAACCCCGGATTAATCAACCCCTGGTTGATAAATAGGCGGGTGTCCCCTTGTAGTGGGGATTCAGACCACTTTTGGAGGGAACAGTCCCCTAATGGACGGGTTAATCCTGGGTCAACATCACCTGTCTCTTGCAAGGTGGGCGTGGCCATCCCGGCCTTCTGGGCGACCCTGGACATGGCCGCCTCGCGGTGGCGGGCGGGCGAGACGGCCAAGGGCAACGTGGTGCTCATCCGTGCCATTTGGCTGGCCAGAAGCCAACTCCGGGGGGATGGGGGGGTCATTTTGGTTTTTGGGTCGGTGTTTGCCGACCCGGGGATGTCTTTTAATTTACCTGGAAGGGGGAGTTCCCCCATTTTGGTGTTTTTTGTTTTGTTTTTCTTTTTCTCTGTTCTGACCCGGGTGTGTTTTTTATCTTTCTGTTTGTTCCGACCCCCCCCCCAAAAAAATATGGGTCAAACAATATATGCTTTTTGTGGTTCCGACCCAACCCCGTGGTGTTTTTTTTTTTTGTTCTCCCCAGTTTTTCTTCCGGTTCCGAGCCAACAGGGTGCCTTTTTTTAGTTGGACCCCCCAAAAAAGGTTGGTCTGCCGTTTTGTTGTTTTTGTTTTTTACACTAAGGAAAACATGATGGATACCCTCAACAAAAAACACAGACCCCATTCAAGTGGTCTTGAATGCCGCTGGGTTGGATCTCCGGCCTTCTGTTTTTTGAGGGTACCCTTGGGTTGAGTTAAAGGGAAACTACTCGGGAACATAGGTGTCCTTTTTGGTTGTTTTGGTAGAAAAATAGATGGCCCTGGTTTACCTGGTGGCTTAATCATCTACTAGGGCCATCTATTTACCCTAAAAGGACACCTATGATCGGGAACCATATTTTTTGCGAGGTCCTGTTTTGAGACTGGTGGAAACTGCTCTTGAATGCGATTTTTGGTTGGATCATGGATCGCTAACCCGTAACCCTTTGGGGGGTTTTCTTATTTGTGTTTGTTTTTTAGAATTCGCCCAACCCAAAAGGAACACCACCAATTCTGGGAGTCCACTAAAAAACGATCCAACCTGATTCCGGGAAGATATGTAGAGCGAGCGAGAGATTGCCAAAACAAAAATCGAACGAACCCCCTGCAAGATCTCAACGCAGCGCCCCAAGTGTGCGACTCAAGGCTTTGGATGGGCACCGCATGGCCATGCGGGCCGCACAACTTTAGACTTAGGCCGGGCGTGCCATTTGGCAACAACCGCGGAACCCTTCTGCGACGACAGGACGGCACAGCTTGCTATGAGAACCATGGGGAAATACAACTGGAATGAGCCATGAGGCTCAAGCGATTCTCGGGGCATCTCCTCACACCGAAAACAAGGTCACATCTTCGGGAGTGTGTGTTTTTCAGGGCACCTTGTTCGGGCTGGTTTCAAAGGGCGGCCAAAAGGACTTCAACACGTTGTTGGGTCCTGCATACTGTGCTTCCCTGTGACTTGAAGCCACGATTGGGGCCCGGTGCTGTGCTTGAGGGCATTGGAAACCCCAGTGGCGCCAAGGCTAGAAGCTGCAACTGACCCGAACCCTTTTTCGGGGTCGGACGTGAATTTTAAGAGAAGCAAAAGTTGAAAGGGAGGAATCCTTAGTGAATCCTTACTGGAAAACCCTGAGACGGGTTAGGCCAACGATTGACAATGCTTACGCAACATCCGTTTGCCCAGCTCCCTGCTCATTGTGCTTTGGATTTGTGGCCTCGAGGCTAAGGGATGGAAAAGCGCAAATCCAAACTTCAAACTCGATTTACCTGGAGCGGCTGTAACTCACTCAGAAGCTGGAGTTAAGCGGCAAGTTGCCAACCCCTGGGCCCTGCACCACTTTGAATCCATGGGAAACCAAATCTCCTGTGGGTATTTACGGGGAATCATCCTTCCTGTAGGTGGTGACCTAAATGCAGATTTTTCTATAAATACCAACAAAGAATGGTTTCCCATGGTTTCAAAGTGATGCATGATTTCGTCCACCTCACGCGCCTCACGGAAATCTGGAACCTGGGAACCGCGCTGAGGCGGTGACTTGGTGGTTGGGGGGCGCGCCTTTGGTGCTGTCCTTGGCCTCCGGACTGGGCCACATCTTCCGGAAGCGCCGGCAGAAGGCGCGCTTCGCGTTTCGGCGGGGAAGGCGGCCCCCACAAAGCCAGAGGATGAGCTTTTGACGGGGGCGCTTGTGTTTTTTGTGTTTTTCCCAGAGCTCAAGTTGGCACATGTGCTTTTTTCCAAGCTTCCCAAGAAGAACCCCCCCCCCTCCGGCCCGTTTTCCACTGCGGCTGGGTGAGCGCGAGGTGTGTGACCTGGCCATCACGGGGCTGATGGGCGTTCTCATGGCGCCGCCTGGCCAGATCGCGAAGCGGAGGTCGGGGGGAGCTTCGAAGCTGGATCCGGACAGGAGCCCAAGGCTTGCCTCCGGCTCTACCTCCGGCTCTAGGGCCATTTTGGCCGTCAAGCCAGAAGGCAAGTTTCATGGTGAAGCGGAGTGCTGAAAGAGTCGGGAGTCAAGATGTTTATCACGCTTGGATGACTGCTGCACGTCCGGTCAGTGTTCTTTTCTTGCACTAGGTGAGTATCCTAAGTGGGATTTGCGGATTCAAACAGAGGCCCAGAGACGGATTTCCAGTCATGGCAGCTGACAGCGGGGGTTCAAAGGCAGACGGTCGTCTTGGAGAGACGACCCTGCTTACTTCCATGTTTGGAAAGTGTGTAATTACTGTACGTGGATGACCACCCCACGTCAGCTTAGTGGTAAATGCACCCGCATAGTAAGTCCCCGAGGTTGGAGTCACGCGACATGTAACCCGCGTAGGGGACTTAATAACTGGGGACATGATACACTGACTAAGTGGGAACTCATCCAAGTAGTTGCGACCCCCCTCAGAGCTATCTGTGCTGCTATTTTGTGGCTTTTCTCAACTCTGCGTAGGCCCTCCTTTTCAAGCGCAGCTGCTTCAAATTTCCACTTTGCAATCATAAATTCATAAGTGTCCTTCTGGTTGTCTTGGTAGCAGCTAGATGCCCTGATTGACCTGGTTGTTTTATAATCTGGCAGGGCTATCTATTTTTCCAAAAGGACAGCTATGATTCAACTCCCAATTGTTCTAGCGGTTGATTCCCCATTCTTTCCAGCCATCGTTATTTTCAAAAACCAGCCGTTTCCCCAGGATTTTGGTGGTTTTCCAGAAAGCAGGATCCCTGGAAAGAATGGAACCGAAGGTACCCCTAGAATTGTCCAAACATCCGACTGCCCGCCTGGATTCGCATTTGGGAGGCTATAGACTTGGGGAGTCAGAAGCCAAACAATTCCCCTGAAGGCTCACATCAATCAGGGGTACCTTCCGTTTCCATTGATTCCAGGGATCCTTCTTTCTAGAAAACCTCGAGAAACCCAGTGAAAACGACCGGACCGGTTTTTGAAAAGAACGATGATTGAAAAGAATGGGGAATCAACCCCTCTCTGTGCCAAGTAGTCCATGATAGTACGATTTCCACGGGAAACCAAGGGAGATCGGATGATTTTGGCTCTTTCCAGACCGATTTACACCCTCCCACCTTTTTTTTTGCGGATGGGCCCGCCTCCTTGTAAGTTCTGTCCCTTTGCCCGAGCCGTCCGAGGCTGATGTTTGCCGGCATCGCCGGTATACAGATTGTCCTCGAAGAAGGAATGCAAAACCTGGAGGCAGCGGTGGTGTTCTTGGTGATCGTCGAGTGCTTGCTGTGCCTGGTCCTCCGGCCTCGGTGCTCAGGCTGGCCCCGGTGTTCGGGGGCAATGTGTGTGTGTGTTTCGCTTTGACCCGATTCGGTCTCCTGAGCGTTTAAGGGAAGCCAAAAGGAGCTTGGTTCAATTTACACATGTTTGAACAAGGGGTTCCTCTTTCCTGTCGGGTAGATTGGGGATATACTGTGTACTCTCAAGGTGGCCGCGCAACATGAGGTTGCTGGTGACTTAGCTCCAAGTAAGTTTGAGAATTGAGAACTCCAAATGCGTGGGGCTGTTGCTCCCCTGAGCAACAGTTGGGCTTTTGCAGGATAGTGCGAAGCACACATCTTCAGAGGGGGGCATGGCGGGTTCAATTCCGTGCGCCGATATCCGCCCCAAGCGCGGCGGGCTGGATATCGGTGGCCTGGGGGTCTTTTTGGGGGGGGACATCCGGGCCGGGGGAAAACATAGTAAAAGGAAAGTTCAATGAAGCAAATATTGCTTATGAGATGAACCGGAATATGTTTCAATATGCGAGCCATAAAGTACTAAATACGGTTACCCATTTGTATATTAACGTGCTTGTCTCTGTCGTGATACCTTGTCCTTTTCATTGATTCTATAAAGACATGGATTCAACTTTTTTTCATGTATGTTCATGTTATACGTTAAGTTGTGTTTTGCGTTGTTGAAACACTCAATGTTCAGAAGTTAAGAAGGAATGTGTTTACCTGATTGAAACATAATTTGCTTAACAATAATTAATTTAATCGTGTTCCACCTTCTCTAGGTTTCTATTATGCTTAATCAATTACTGTCATGGAGCAGCCGCACACATCGCAACGATAATGTGTTTTATTTTATGTTTGATTTCTTGATTTTTGCTGCCACCTAAGGTCACCTAAGGGCCTATATTACGTTATTATTTGTCCTTGCATATTCAACTTGATTTTGCTGTGTAGTTTTCTTTACGTTGCTGGTGACGTTTTTGACGGCATCCGATACACAATGCAATTGTTGTTATTGTTGAACTCTCCAAAGTCTAAACACTGAGGGCATGTGGTGCAATGTCTTTTGGTTTCACCTTCCCTTTTGCTTACCTGTGTCTTTTGCTCTTTGCCGGGAGCATAAGCATTCAAGTTTGCAACAGTTGAGAGGCGCAAACAATCGACCCAAACATGATAATCAATCTGACCACTTAGTTGTCACCAATACTATGACTATGTTTACATGATGGATTTTTGTTTACCACATTTCAGAATTATAGTTTCATTGCACGCTGCTTCAAAATCTGGATGTGTCCTTTCTGTCTTCCAATGTTTTTCAAAAACGGCACTCCTCATCAAGTAAGCAAGATATGTCAATATCATGTCTAGCATTGTTCCCAGTTTGCTTGAGTTTCAAGCCTTGTTTCAAATAAACGCGTAAAGTTCTAGAATGCAAGACACATTTGCTATCAGTTTAGCTTTGTATAACTTTGTTTGTTTGTTCATCTCAGGGTTCTTCACCATACAGCAATTTACACATTTGGATTTGTTTACCCTCCCACCAATTAACATAGAAGCTGACAGGGGGGGGGTCCCGGAAGACCATTTAAAATGTTCCTTTTTAAAGGTACCAGGTACCCCCTGTCAGGTTCCATGTCAATTAGTTGGGGTGCATTTGATGGCAGATCTGCTTTTAACATTAACTTCAGGAGATAGCGGAAATCTCATTTAAACCATGTAGTTCTTTAGGGTATCCTAAGTCAACTTCTAAGATATACCCGTGCGTCCATTCTTACACATGTTTTATGCTATTCCACCATCCCATTTCAATGTCTTTTATGGCGACTTCTGTATCATACTTTCACCATCCAAGCTACAAGCATGAAACACATCAATATAACTACTTTCTGTACTTTTATCATATTCTTCCTCTATATATGTATAGAGATTATTTGCTTCAACCGTTTGCCCTTTGTTTGCGCCATACCGCCTCCAAGTCCAGCCTTGATAAGATCATACATTTCACCGCCATGTCTTTTCAACACAGCATCAAATGCGAAGTTAGGGAATGCATAATTCACGGAATCTAAGCCACTGTCTGACAGTCTCTCATACATACTTCTCTAAGACATTGTTCAAAATATCATATCCTCCCATTGTGTTTTTGTTAAAAGTGTTTATCGTAGTTTTGCTTGCTCATATGCACCATCACTTATGGTGACAATAGAACACCCTCTTGGACGGTACTTGTTCTTCCTGAATTTTACAGAAGTACTGTACCATTATAGTTCTGAACGAAACGAGCTTTTCTATTGAGGCCGTTATGAAGTTCAGACTATCCTTAACCCGCAACGCCCGCAAAATGCATGTTCACAAAGTTTAAAGCTTAAACATCCAAACAAGAAGTGGCCACGAGTTCTCTTCGATCCCTTGACACCAGCAATTTGAAGGTATCGTTGAGCGAGCCACTGTGGGCCGAATGGGAACACCCCAAGCAAACAATAAGGGTACATCGCAGATGGTCCCAGCCCAACCTCAGGCGGCAACAAGCATCATGGTTTTGTTTTTGTTTGTCATCAACTGGGATGTGTGAAATGTAGGACCTTTTTCATGTTGAGGTCTAACTTTTTGGGAACAGGGGGGGTGAATCATGTCGTATCCTACGCATACGTTTGAGATATCCCTGAATCCAGGGGCTGCCCCCCCAAAGACCCCAACACAGACTTGAGGTCCCCTCGAAAGATCTTAGGGTGTGGCTCAAATTTTGCACAGCTGGGTTTTAGTCTACCTTTCCATTTGCCAAGGTTCCGTTTTGGACCCCTATTTTCAGCCACACCCGTATGTTGTATTTTACTAGGATGAAGCAGAATCTGAAGTATGATGTTGGGGGTGGCTGGGGTTTGGGCCGAACCACCTTGAAGCCCAAACGTGGTTTTATTTTCGTAGAGTCCAAAAACATAGGGGCCTTGTTCAGCATCAGCATCCCCTTTCAGGCCCAGCGCGGGTCCGAAATGCGGCGATATGGTTGACCACTCTTGGGCGTTTTTCGGGGCAGTTCTTTGACTCCTCGGCCTTTGGACCCTTGGAGTCAACCCCTGCCGTAAAGTCCACCCGATCGATCCCCAGGCAAGGCTCCAGCCTTCGACGCAAGAAGAGGCCGGGCTTGGCTTTGAGTCACTTGGGGGTGGCTTGGTGAATGTTGGGCTCTCCAAAAACTCTTGGGGTGGGGGGTCTTTTTGTTTATTGAGGGCGGCTTGGCGGCGTGAATGATCCCCCCTGCACTGTGAAGGCCAACCTTGTTTGTTGGACTTCATTGGGAAAACCATGTGGGTCCCAATGTTCGGACGGTTTTGCCAACTGAAGTGAGTCTCAAGTGAGTGTTTCATTAATGGCTTGGCTTTCTTTTCTATACATGATATTTTTTTCGGATAGGTAGTGTATTTGGTGGGTAAGCAGCCTTTTGCTTGGGCTTGGCGTTGGTCGTGGATCCCTGGGACTTGCCTGGAAGACCAGGGTTCTGGCGACTGCCATGGATCACATGAGTTTTGACCATGTGGACATGTCCAAGGATAAATGCAAACCAAACATGTCAAGCCTTATGGTCATGTCAGCAGCATCGTGTTCCCGACTGTATGCTTGGACCGCCCCGTAGGTTTTTCCAAAAAACTTTACCCTGCTACAATCTCCCTGGCGAGTTCCCTTGCGAGCACGGGACAGCCCATGCCCGTCAAGAAACAGATTAGAATTAAGATGCGTGGCCAGATGCAGTTGCGTTTGTGAGTCGGGGAGGTCTCTGGCGAAGGCAGTATAGATTTTTGTTCGGCTGGTCAATTCTATTTTGCCCAGATTGATAGTCTATGGGGAGGACACAGGGGCATTTCCCACGCAAATTTCGCACGAAGACATGTTTTCCCATCTGGTCTTGGGAAAAAAGTAGTATATGTTAGCTTGTGATGAATCTTGGAGCAGCATAAGACTCAGCGGTATCCTCTGTGAATTCATTCCAAAGGAATTGCCCCTGCTTAGCATTGGCCTTCCGATGAAGTCAAAGTTGACATGATTTCTTTGACTCTCTTGCTGATGGGGCACCACTGACCCCTCCCCATACCTTTGTAAAGTTGAGAAAAAGAACAGAACACACCAAAACATTATGGCTTCTGCAGCGATCGTTGCCAGCTCAACAGGGTTACACGAGCGCTCCTTTGGTATTTCCGGGTTGCGTGTCCTAGTCCTCCCATCATGGACCCCGGAGGTCCTTGTTCTGTTCCATAGGCGCGTTTTCGGTGGGTTTTTGGCAGCCTTGGAGCCTCGGGCTTGGGGACGAATTGCCTTTGGGGGCCCCGGGGGTTCGGGTTTTTGTTGGATCGCCCGGTTTCCCAAGCCAGCCAGCGGCCCCGGCCACGGGGGCCACGTGTTTTTCGAGAGCCACTGGCTCAAAACCCGGGATGAAGATGGATGATCCCAACCCTTAAACATAATTCGGTGCGGAATTCCGGCTTCAAACAACTCTTGAAGCATGCATTTTTATGCCGGGCTTTGGGTACGACTCACAAGGGAGAAAACAAAAACACTTTGCATTGTCCGAAGGCCACACAACTACGGACCTCGGACAAGGAGACAGATGCTGACGCACGTGGTCTGAAAACTTTTGCAGGGCTTTCGTGCAGATGGCGCGAACAAGTACGCCCTGATTTCGAGGCGTTGCTTGCAAAGCAGGTTAATTCACTTGAGCAGCGCCAACCCCCATTGGCCATTTTAAGTACGTCCACTTGCAGCCTGACTTGGTCTTATGGTGATAGCGCGGCCAATAAACCTGTCTTTTGATATCCGAAGTCAATGAGTCAATGGCTTTCCTCAACTGGTTGTCACTGGTTCTTCCAAAAACTTTCAGGCTGGACACCAAACCAACTCAGGGGTCACTGCTGCAAACCTGCAAGATCCCTGAAATTGGTTGCGCATTTTGCGAGAGACCTGTTCTGTTTGGAGAGGTAAGTGTGAGGATGTCACTTTCATGGACCCAGTACCAGTACAAGGGCAGACAGAAACATATTTTGACTTTCTCGGATCTATCCGGGGCAACAAGTGACCTGAGCCCTCTTTCACCAGCGGCGTGAAACATGGATACTGAGCCGCCGAAAGTCAAAAGAGGCCCAAAGAGCACCCCCGTTCCCCACCCCCCCGCCCCATTTTTAGCCGGCCGCAGGTTGGGATTTTCTGAGCTTCTCTTTCATTTGGTTAAGAATATTTGTTATTTGCCCCTGTTGGTTTTGAAATATTTTCTTTTTTTTCCAGGGGACTTAAGGAAATGGAGGTTTTCTGGGGGCTTCTGACCCAAAAGTGCCCAACTTGGATCGTAAGATCGTCCCAACCTGCCGCTTTTTCCCCGCGAGCCTGAAGCTTTGCGGAGCAGGCAGGGGCCAAGCAGAATTCGATTCCCATCGAAACCGGACTCGGTTCGAAGAACCGCCAAGCTCTGGGTCCCTGCAAGTTCTTCCCCAGAATTAGCTCCCCTTATTGTTTTTTTGCTTTTTGGGTTTGTTTTCCACTAACCAGGCAAAAATAATATTTTTGTTGCTGGGGTCCTAATTCCAGCCTAGAGTTGACGTGGCTCTCGCCCAGGCAGTAAAACTAAATCCACTACCCCCGCTTAGCAAGCATCTTGACGCCCCGCCGATACTTTTTTCTACGGAAATGCATGAGGGAAGACTTCTTTCAGAGGAACGCCCCTAGACGCTCGCGGAAAACACCATGAGCTCGTGTCGTTACCCCCGGGCCCTCGGGAATTCAGGTGCCTTCCAAGGGGTTACTTGTCTCAGGCGAGCACCCCCTTCTCCCCAAACTTGACGGCTAGTGGGCAACGGATCTTTAGACTTTAACGTTTTGGAAAATCCAGCTAGGTGTTCCAAACCCCCAAAAAGTGAGGATTTTTTTTGCCACGGGGGGGTCGTTGCAGCAACCAAGCAAGGAAAGGAAGAGTTGCTCTTCCGTTTGCCTGGCATTGTTTGCTTCCCTCCAAGGAGGTTTATCACTGGAAGTATGTTTATCACGGGTCCAGACTGCAAATGGAAGTGTGCTAGATGTTCCTTTGGCTTCCTTTGAAGCACTCCTTTCACCAATGCTGGAGGGCCTCAATAGTTTCCAAGCACAAGCAGCGATTCGACGGGATGCCGAGTGAAAAGAAAGCTGAGCTTTTGTAGGTCCTGGGAGCCATTTCTTGCCTAGGTTTTGTAGACGTTGCAGTTACCACGTGCATGGGCCTAGTTGCTGAGTCTGCCACCAACCTTCGATGTTTATGCCAGCCAGCCACGGTGGTCCAGCGACCGAAGCGCGACTGGGCCGATTGCAAGCCGAGGCGGAGTCAGAGGTTCACCGAAACCACACAGCTGCTCACTTCTTGACTGCTATTGGGTTGGATCTTTAGACTTCAACTTTAAAGGTTTTCCACTAAACCCACAGACACTTTTGGGATGTCCTCATCTCCCTTTTAAATGCCTGATGTTGCTGGTGACTCTCGCGATGTGCACGACGATCCGTGATTGGCTTTGAGAGATTCTCCGAGCTGATTGTTGAGCCATCCCATGGCCCTGAGTGGAACTCAGAGGCATGTGCTTAAACAATCAACAGTTCCGTTCTCAAAGGGAATCCAACAGGAGGTTGTTCAAAGAATGGTTTGAACATGTTGACACGCTTGCCCTAGGTTTGTGGAACAAACCCAGGGCTTCCTCAAAAGCAGGGGATGGGCTCGGGTTTGCAGATTTTCGTGCGGAGGGGCATCGCCCTTCCGACTCGGGCTGAAAGAAAGAAAGATAAAACAGTGCGCCGAATGGGTGGGTGCCAGATGTTGTTTGTCATGGACAAAACCCTGCAGCAAAATGTCTCCAAGCCGAGACAAGCCACCAACTGTTGCAGGATTTTGTGCACCTGGGTTCCTTCACGAAAAAAAAACTAGACCACGGTTGGCCCGAAAGCAGAACATCGCAAGCGAGGCCGGCCCAACGCTGCAGGATGCGTTCTTTTTCCCTACACGAAGCATTTGTGAAGCAAGCGCGAGACAGCACCAGGCAAGGTGCTCTGCGCAAACTGGTCGGTGCAAGTTGGTCTGCGCAAGTTGCTCTACGCAAGTTGCACTGTGCAAGTTGCTCTGCGCAAGTTGCTCCGCGCAAGTTGCTCCGGCAAGTTGGTCCCTGCAAGTGGCTCCCTGCAAGTTGCTCTGTGCAAATTGCGCTCCCTGCAAGTTGCTCTGTGCAAGCTGCTCTGTGCAAGTTGCTCTGTGCAAGTTGCTCTGCGTAAGTTGCTCTGCGCAAGTTGCTCTAGGCAAGGCGCTCTGCGCAAACTGGTCGGTGCAAGTTGGTCTGCGCAAGTTGCTCTGTGCAACTTGCTCTGCGCAAGTTGCTCTGCGCAAGTTGCTTTAAAATGCAAGTTGCATCTTGCGACGCCCGCCCGCGGACCAGGGAGGAATCGAACCCGCGACCCGCCGGTTCCGGGAGCAGGCGCGCGAACCACGAGACAACTCCCGAGGACCAGTTCGAACAACAAAAGTCGCAAAAAACCTCGAGTTTTTGCACCTCGACCACGCCGATCCCCGCAGAGGGTTGCGCGAGCACCGCAGAAATCGCAAAAAACCTCGAGTTTTTGCACCTCGACCACGCCGATCCCCGCAGAGGGTCGCGCGGGAACTTTAGAAATCGCAAAAAACCATGGGTTTTTGCACCTCGACCACGCCGATCCCCGCAGAGGGTCGCGCGAGCACCGCAGAAATCGCAAAAAAAACCATGGGTTTTTGCACCTCGACCACGCCGATCCCCGCAGAGGGTCGCGCGAGCAGGTTAGAAATCGCAAAAAACCATGGGTTTTTGCACCTCGACCACGCCGATCCCCGCAGAGGGTCGATTTTCGTGTAGTGTCGTCGGCACTACCCCGCCGCCCTAAGAAGAGATTTTAACTCCTCGCAAGTCAATTGCACTTGACTCCTTGCACTTGCAACTTGCACTTGACTCCTTGCTTGTTTCAAGGAGTCATTGCAAGGAGTCATTGCAAGGAGTCATTGCAAGGAGTCATGGCAAGGAGTCATTGCAAGGAGTCATTGCAAGGAGTCATTGCAAGGAGTCATTGCAAGGAGTCATTGCAAGGAGTCATTCATGAGAGCCATTGCAAGTTGCAAGGGGCCAAGTGCATGGAGTCAATGCAAGTGCAAGGAAGTGCGCTGCAAGGCCAAGCAAGGAGCAAGGAGCAAGTGCATGGAGTCAAGCAAGTGCAAGTCAAGTGCAAGTGCAAGGAGTCAAGTGCAAGTTGCAATCCTTGACTCCTTGCAATGACTCCTCCTTGCAATGACTCCTTGCAATGACTCCTTGCAATGACTCCTTGCAATGACTCCTTGCAATGACCTCCTTGCAATGACTCCTTGCAATGACTCCTTGCAATGACTCCTTGCAATGACTCCTTGCAATGACTCCTTGCTTGCAATGACTCCTTGCAATGACTCCTTGCAATGACTCCTTGCAATGACTCCTTGCAATGACTTTCATGATGATGATTCCTTGCAATGACACCTTGTAATGACTCTCATGAGAACAACTCAAGTGAACCCAGCGGAAGAACCCTTCGCCATGCTTTCGGGAAAAAAACAGCAGAAGTTGGCTGAAAGGGGATCCCTCTGGCCAACACCAACATCCAGAGAATCTCTTCGATTTGGTCAAACATATTTTTTGTTATTTTCCCCTCTTGGTTTTAAAGGGCAACTATTACTACTGGACTTTTTTTTCCCAGGGGACGGGTAAGCACATGGAGGATCTGAATTTTCCCGAACCCCAAACCAAGTGGCTCCACAGCCTAGCCTGAGCGAGACATATCGTGCCACCTTAGATCTGAATGATTGACAAAATCCATTTCGCATCACTTTGAAACCATGCTTGAAGCCATTCTTCGTTGGTATTTACAGGGGAATCATCATTTTAGGGTTTCTTAGGTGGTGCCTAAGAGGATTTCGTCCATCCACAGTAGCTGGTAACTGCCCGAGATGCGTTTTGAACCTGGGCATCCTTTCTGGGCTCAATCTGGGCTCATGTGGATTCACGGGTTCAGCTTCAAAGCTGGATTCAATCCGAATATCAAGGTCTATGCTGGTACTTTAGGGGAGTAAGGCCCGTTTGGCAGTTGGAGCCTTTTCAACCAAGGCCCGTAGGGAACCCTCCCTTTGCAAAGGGCATTTCTTGCTCAATTGGTTTGAAGAGTACCCCCCTGAGAACCTCACAAAATGAGTGTAACTACGTTACAGTCATAGAGGCATTCGATGCACCACGCGGCCGACTTTTCTGCTTGTTCTGAGGCTCCCTCAGAGGCTCCGTCGGCAAAGAGGAGGGGATAGACTTGCTCGAGTTGTCTATCGGCCCAACATTGCCATCGCTTGGTGTGTTGGTGGTAGAATCTACAGGTTTCCGGGGGAATTCTGAGCATGGCCGATCGTGGCAAACGTACCCCTGGTTAAGTTACCTCTTGTATTTTCTGGGAAGTAGGGTCATTGCCACACTTCTGTTGTGTGCCGTGAGTGCATGTTTGGCCGTATGGCTGTGGGTCAAAACCAATGGTACCATTTTGGGGTAGGTGCAACACCCATTGTAGTCTATTTTACTGGGGATTGGGATGTTCACTGGGGGTACGGGCTTTTGACACATGGCCATTTGTTGCCCCGGAAGGCAATGGAGGTATGAACGCATTCTGCAAAGTGCTTGGGCCTTTGGGTGTCACCTATGTTGTTGGTCCCTTGGGTGGTGCTTGCTTGCAGCTGCCTGGTTTTGAACATTCAGCAGGATTGTT